GAGAGGAGGGCAATGTGTGCCGTGGATGAAAGGAGGCTGTTGCAGCACTGGTTTCACTCCGACAGACCAGGGCAGGAACATCAATGTTCTAGAATGCAATCCAGGACCATGTGGTCTGGTCCATACAGCATCACGCTAGGCAACACGTGCCCTGGAAGCTGAAGGACATATCACCGCCCTCCGATCGTGTCTTCGGCCTGCAGAAACTCATCACAGTAGGGATCCAATCCGAACAGCAGAAGACGTTGTGACATACACAAAACCTGCCGTTCAGTCACCCCCACAACAGCTCTTCAGTTCCAGACCAGATCACAGAAACCCCTCAAAAGAACCTAACTGGAACATGCCTAGGTAGGTAGGTCACACACCGAGGCAGACCGACACATATTCATTTCTTCCCCTTCCCATGCGCGGTGCTGATCATCTTCCAACACAGCAGGTGAGGTGGTGGTGGTTTCTTGGCATGGCATTTCTTCTTAAAACGTTCCTCGGCGACGGGACAGTCTTGGAAGAAAAAAAAACGTTCGCACACCTTGCAGATGCAGCTTCTCCCCAATCAAGTGTTGTCGATGGCTGATGAGAGAGGAGAGAGGGTAGGAAAAGAAAATATAAGGGAGGTTCGGATTAGGTAGACTATACGTAAAAGCTAGTTTTTTTTTTCTAACCCTAGGTCTTTGAAAGTGCCGAGGTATGTTGGGGGAACCAATAAGATGGCGAGAAGGATGGATAGGTATATGGTAGGTGCCAGGTACCTGGTAGGCGAGAGTCAAGGGACAGGACGATCTTAAAGGACAATTCGGAAATGACTAAGCAGTAGGCATCCGGATGACTAAGCCTCGGCACGGATCAACGTTAGCTCCGGCTGAACATCACTTATATACATATATATTAACTACCTACGTAAAGCACTATTCAATACTATATAATCTACTACTTTATAGCCTATAAAGTACGTTTAACGACCCCTAGCCCCGTTACCCTCGACTATACGTCCGTTACCGTTACCGTTACCGTTACCGCTACCGTTACCGCTACCGTTACTACTACCGTTACTATTACTAGACGCTAAACCGTTAGTCTCGACTAATTTACTATATATAATACTACGACCGCGACCGCGACTACAACTACGGCCGTATAGACGTCTACGGCCGCGTCTACGGCTACGGCTATATACTAGCTCGGTAGTATTAATCTCTACTAACTTATTACTTATAGCTGTCTATAGTACGTCGGCTATAATAGTATACTACTAAGCCGCGAATTCGGAGTATAACGCGATAGTAGCAGCCTTCTTAGCTAACGCTATATCTTTACTAGCTACCTCTATACTCGTTATAAGCCTATTAGTCGTCTTATTGCCGCGCTTCGGCAACCGTAGTAGTAGTAGATACTAAGCCGGCTTTATAGGTACTATAAATAGAATCGCTTCTAGTAGTAAACGGTCGCGTTAAGTAGCCTATAGGCCGGTTAAGTAAACGGCTTCGAACGCTTCGAGCTTGTCTATATAGGTATTATAGTCCGTAGCTCGTAGTAATAGTAAGTAACTTAACTAGCGTAGTATAGAAGCCTATATACGATTATAACTGTCCGCGCGTTACGGTAATACCTCCTATAGTCTATCCGTCGCGGCGTCGTATTAATTCTACTAGTTCGGTATCTACTAGACGGCGTTACTAGCGTAAACGGAACGATTGCGTATAAAGTAACAAGGATATAGTATACTACAAGTAATCGGCTTCCGTTTAATTACTATAGGTAGTAGTATATAAGTATATAGTAGTCTGTATTGTTTAACTTTACTACAATCTATATAGTAATCGCGTATCGGATACGGCTCTACTATTACTACCGAGCGCGTATAATTAGCCTTGTCTACTATATGTTTAAGGCCGAGGGCGTTATACTATAAAACTAGTAGTCTGTCGATTGTCTATATTATATATTAGCTATTAAGTTATACGAAATAACCGAGGTTATTAGCCGCTACGGCCTATAGGGGTAACCTAACGTACGTGTTTTCTTCTAACCGTTCTAAATTATTAAATAGCTTATCTAGATACTGCTTAATACCTTTAATATACTGTTCTAGTAATAAGTACGGCGGTAGATACCCCTTTATACTACGATTACCGCCTTCCGTATATTGTAACGAGCGAGCCCTATTATTCGGTAGATGCTTAATATAATACGTTACTAGTCGCTACTTAATAACGATATAGATATTACGGAAATATTTAGTATCCTCTATAGTTAATCTATCGATAATAGCTGCCTCGAGTTTATCGGCGGCTTCGGCTATATCCGCTTATAGCTACGGCTATATAAGCGCTTTTAATTCCGTCTTCTGCTCGGCGGTATAGCCTAGTTTGCGAGCTCGCGTACGTCTTAGTACGTCGATTCGTACGGTCGATTCGTCGTCGTTAGTAGCTATAGTAACTTAGTATATCTTACTATCGGCGGCCTTAGTACGTACTATATATATAGTACCCTTGTCGATATGCTTATAAAGGTTTTAAGCCGCGTACTAATACTATTAATAGAATTACTAAATACAGCGCTAAAATAGTAACTCCGGAATAGCTATAATAAGGTTAGCTCCGGTATCTAAGATAATTACTTTGTTAAGCCGATAGTTATATAGATAGTTGTTGAATACGACAAGTAGTATAAACAGCTAATCCTCTTTACTCTCTAACTTTATTAGTAAATAATATATCGGAAATAACCGTCCGGTATTAGTAACCCCTATAAATACGCTAAGTAATAGGCCGGCACGATTAGTACTAAACGTAGTATCTATCTAGAAGCTATAATCTAGTACGAATCGCGTAGTAAAGCGCGCTATACGTTACTACTAGTAAACAAGCTACTTAAGCAATGCCCGTATAGTACTACTAGTCTATAGATTAGTAGTAAACAACTAACGGCCTTTATATTCGAATCCGAGAGTAACGAGAATACTAAGCAACGCGTTAATAATAGTATCGGCGTCGCCGGAGCTACTAAACGTATTACCCTTAGCTAGGTTATAGTAACGTTTACGATTAAGTTAGAGTTCGTAAAGCGAGAGCTATTAGTATATAGTACTATATAATTCGTTCGTAAGTCGATACTACGCGGCCTACGCTACGGCTTTACTAAAGCTAGGTATACGTATCTCGTAGATAGCGTAAACAGACGGATTTAGCGCTAATTCGTATATATAGTCGAGTAAATTAATAGTTAGCTACTACTGTTTAACCGTCGTACCTTGCCTTAATTGTACGTAACCTAGTCGGTAGTTCTATCTATATCCCTACTATCGTACGTTTCTCGCGTTACGAACGCGTAGAGTAAGTAATTCGTCGTCGCTATCGCCTATATAATCGTCGAATCCGTCGTTATTCCTAGTACTAGTTCTATAGTAAATATACTTATATATAGCTCGGCTAACGTTACTAGACGTATAGACAACCGTAAATCCTTTACTAAACGCGTAATCCTATAGCCTAGCCTTATAATAGTCGGGATTTCGGAATATCTCGCCGGTACGTAGATACTTATAATAGCGTAGATCTATAGTATCGATAAACTCGCGGACAGCCGGTATACGGCTCTCGGCAAGTAGTAAATATAGAATCTACGTTAGATAGGGCTACGGTACTAGGAGTTCTATATAGAAGATAGATAGTAAGTAAAACTTAACCTTCTTACTACTACGTCCTTTGTCGATAGTTACTTCTATAGCGGCTAGCTCCGGCTGCTACCGTAAGGTAGGGTGTTTAGGTAGCAATAACTTAGCGTTGTCGTCGACTATAGTATTATCGATTATAATAGTATTAGAGGTATGCTTGCCTTAGTATAGCTATAGCCGTAGACTAATCGGATTGTCCGGCGTAGGTAACTCGTTGAATATACTAGTATTATTCTACGCTAGATCGTAACTGTTCTCCTTTTAATTAGTTAATAGCTCTTAATTAGTTAATAGCTCTCGATTAGGGAATATCTCTTCTAATAGCTTAACGCGGCGGAAGCCGTTCGGTAGTATAGTAAATAGTAAAGATAGATCTAGTAGATAGAAGCTCGTATCGGTATCGTTATTAATAAAGAGGCTATTATTCGGGCCGTTCGGCTCGTTCGTAGCTATTGTTTCGTAGTTTGTTATAGTACTTATAAACCGAGAGCTATATCTCGTACGTTTGTAGGCCAAATCTAGTAATTTTCGCGGTATAGTGTCTATATAAGTATATAGAAGCAATTAGAGAGGTATATATATATATATCGTTATATAGAAGTAAAGATATTCGGTATTGTAGGTATTGTAGATATTGTAGGAAAAGTCTGTATAGCAAGTAAGGTTAACCGGAACTACGTTACTCTACGCCGAGCTATAACTTATACGCTACGCTGTAACTTATACGTACTTAGTCATCCGGATGCCTACTATACGTGCTTAGTCATTTCCGAATCGTCCTTTCAGATCGTCCTGTCCCTTAACTCTCGCCCTAGTAGTATAGACTGCTAAGGATAAAATACTAAGATTAGGAAATTGTATATTGCAAAAACTGTAGGTGTTTCGTTAGAAATTTATATACGAAAAATTTATTTAGGAGAAATTTATAAAATTGAATATATACACAACTGCATGGCAGATGGGTTTGTGAGGTATATGAACATATGTATTCACAACCACGTTGTGCAAATAAAGGATTTTACTGCCTGAGGCTCTGAGTTAGGTACCTTTCGGCTGCTTGCTAGATTGGGAGCTCCTTAGGAACATCACTTTGCCTCTTCCAGCAACCTCTCCGCACTTGAAAGCCAGGCATACAGTAGCTAAGATCTGTCATCCCAATGATCTCATGCAGCCAATGTCACACTCCCATCGAGGTGGCTATACCATGATTTTGACCTGGGATGTTGCTGTGCAATGGAATCATTTTCTCGCGCCACTAATCACCTCGATCGGCATGAGTCGCTCTCTTGTCTACGCCTCGACCTCGTGAGACGCCACGATTGGTATGGCAAGCCTCATCGTTGTCGTGGAGCTGGAATTCATCACTACTCTGTGGAAGCTGAAACCGCGAACAGGGAGTGCCGCCTCCTGGATCGCATTACAACAACAAGGAGAGGCGAGGAAGAACATTGGCGTGATTGATCGTAGCATACGCTGTCCACATGAGACTTGCTATGTCTACGGCGGCCGGCGTCACAGTGCCCAGAAACTATATCCAAGCAGGTCACATCTCGATCGGGGTCACTGCTATGACCTGGAATCTTTGACGGCAACATCCGAAGTTCTCATTGCTATTGCGGGAACGTGGAGCACGCCCAAGGCTTTGTTTCCGACATACAGGACTTCCAGATGTGCCCTTTTCTGGTGATTCAATACATCTAGACGTCAAATGAGCCTAGACAAGTTTTCAGGCACATCTAGAATCCCCCAGCTAAAAGACGCCCCCGAACCGCGGCTTATGCACCCCGTGAGCGGTGCCAAATATGCAATGCATCAACCAACCACTGTGCTCAAGGCACGCCATCTACTCAGCTAAAACGCAACAAGCACGCCTATAAACAGTCTTGGACATGAATAAGCTCCACGCGGAGTTGTTGAGGGCTCCGCCGTGGCTTGCTCGCAGCTCCTAGACTCATCTTTTTCCAGTCAACACCGAGGAATGGTACATCGATGTATACAAGAGAACTCGAGGCCGTTGCCATTATATATAGGTCCTGAAGCCCGCGCACTCTGGAAGTGAACCATCTCAATCATCACCTACCACTTCTCCAGCTGCCACAATGTCTCTCAGATTCGGTGTGGTCGCAGCCTTGGCCGGCCAGGCTGTTGCATTCCCATGGGTTGCCAGCCATGTCGGTATGGATCCTGTCGAGATGGCCGAGCGTGATGCTCTTGTCGTTCGTCAGGCTCCAGGATCGAATGTTTGCCCATTCAACCCAGACCACAGAGGTGCTGTGCCATTCAACCCCAAATACCCATACTGCGGTGCTCAGAATGGTGCTCCGGGCTTTCAAATCTGCGCCAACAACCGGGTGCCTGCTAGGGTATGAATATGTGTGTACGTGAGGATGGATTGCAGCAGAAGCTGACTGTAGTTCCAACAGGGAGACACCGCACACGCCTACCAGGCACCAGGCCCGAATGACATTCGTGGACCATGCCCTGGTCTGGTGCGTAGTAGAGATATACCGTCGACTCCTGCTGTCTGTACTGATAGATGCGCAGAACACTGCCGCCAACCACGGTTTCTTGAGCCGTGACGGTATCGTGACATTTGCCGAGCTCACCGACGCCCAGCAGAACGTGTACGGCGTGGGCTACGATTTGGCCGTTTTGCTCGCCGTCCTTGGTGTCGGCCTCGATGGCGACCCAATCACGACAAAGCTTTCTCTGGGATGCGATGCCACCTCTCGTACCGCTACTCCTGGCCTTGGTCCCGAAGGTGGTCTGAGCACGCACAACAAGTTTGAGGGAGACACTTCTTTGACCAGAAACGACTTCTACCTTGCCAATGGAGACAACTTCCGCTTCAACCGAACTCTTTACAACATGATGTCCCAGACTACCGGCGGTTTGCACAACCGTAAGATCCTGCCCTTGCAAGACCGATCTGATCGCCCCTGGCTAATACCGTCATCTAGGCGAGAACATTGCTCTGTACCGATTCCAGAGATATCAGCAATCTCTGAACGAGAACGGCAACTTCTACTTCGGTCCCAAGTCCGTTCTGCTCTTTGGTGCTGCATCCTTCTTGTACGAGCTGTTCCCCAGCTTCGGCGGATTCGGTACAGTCTCCCCTCCCATCCTCGACATTCTTCTTCTTCTTCTTCTTCACCACTGTCTAACCCTCCCCTGCAGGCACTCCTGACCAAACAACAATGGACTTCTTCTTCATCAAGGAGCAACTCCCACCCAACTGGTTCTCCCGCGTAGACCCCTACACCATCCCCCTCATCGCCGCCGAAATTGCCGCTCAGTACTTCTTGCACCCAGTCGCCTTTGGCGGTAACACCGGCAAACCCGTAAGTCCTTATACCTATTCTACCTATCCATTCTATTCCCCATCTCTCCCGCCAGCTGACTAACACTCCTCACCTTCTCAGAACACTTTCGTCGGCGTCGGCACGCAAGGCCCTTACATCAGCAACAACACTATCCCCGGTTCACCAGCTGGTGTCGCGTGCTTGTTGTACCAAATCGCGACCGAGAACATCCCATCTGCTATCGGAGGTGGAGGTGCTGCGAATGATGCTATTCCGGCTTCGAGCTTGAACTTTATGAGGAATACTTTGAACCCTCTCTTTACCAACTCGTCGCTGTCTGGCGCTGCTGCATTCGGATGCCCGATTGTTACTGGTACTGCTTCGTAGGCTTGGAGAAAATAAGGGGAGGATTGTCGAAGTTTCTGGGGAAGACGATGGAGAGATGATAGGGGATGGATTTGTAGATATTATGAGAGAAGACGAATGTGATGGATAACTTTGTTTGTAAACACTGTTTATCTTTCATATCATCTGTTTTTCCCTTGTGACACTGCTCTCGACTTTATCGCTCAATGATGCGTAACTAGAAGCCCCCAGCGTGCTCTCTTCTTCACTGATAGCGAGAAAGCCAGATGTAAGAAATGAATATCCGCAATTCGCCCGTTCAAAACGGTGCAATTTTTCCTTATTCACTTGATTTACATAGGTATCGCATACTGCCTGCAAACTAACCAAAGGACCCCATAACTTCGAACAACCCTTTCCAGGCCAGAAACCCAGCCGTTAAATGATAAAGCAGACCATAGAGCAAGACAACGATACATGCAAACCAGCAGACCCAGGAGCAAGCGAGGCAACCTAACCAACAAACAAAAGCCACATACTCGCAACAAACAGAGCTTGCTGCTTACCCCCCCACAAACGAGGCGTTCTCCACCGCCCACGGCGTCTCCCTCCCTCACGAATGTGCCGAGGGCGTTTCTTCTCCCCAAGAGGAGAATTCTCCCATAATAGCCAGCATGGCTGACGAACGGGGGGCGTGTGATCCTTTTGCGGGAAAATCCAAAACTCCCTTACGCAAAACAAATGTCACTTTTAGTTTGCATACGACAGAGCCAACGAGAACTCGCCAATTTAAACTGCAGTGGTAACATGTCAAGTAAAATGTCAAGTAAGTACATGTACCTACGTCCAAGGTAAAAGTGGGCGATGTTCATCACCTTCCTTACGGAGGTAGACCAAGCACGTTTTTCGCTTCTACTTGCTTTATAGGAGGGAGGGTACAAAAACAAACACGTGTTTTGTCCAGGTTTCTTCGTCCTGACTAGGAAAGGTATGTGTGCATGAAAGCCACACTTTAATAATAAAAAAAGAAGGAGAAGAATAACAAAGTCTTCTCATCAAAAACACCGAGGAATTTTGGGCGATATTCCTCGGTTGAAAGTAATCGAATTCTTGGAGATTCCTATTGGTTCCCCCAAGAGCGCCTCGTGCTCAAAATGGGGCAAATATGACACTATTTTCTCCGCAGTGGCTGAGTGATGGGCTTGGACCGAATGACGGGGTGGAAAAAAGGTTAAAAGGAAAGGGTGACTTATAGTGAGTAGGGGAAACGCCTCTGCCGTAAGGTTCACCTAAGATGGGTGAGATCTACGGCTTGGCGACTTGGTGCTGGCTCTTGTTTAATGTTTTGATGAAGACGATCTCTTTCACGCGGAATATCGGATACTTGTAGAGAATTATCTTCTAGAAGCGCGAAGAGGAGGTCAGTTTGATCATATATTCAACGGGGTAGAAGTTTCTCCTGACTACCTAGTCGCGAGCATCTTTTGATCACTTTTCTCGCTCCTATATCTTTTTTCCTCTCTCCCTCTCCCTAAACGCTGAAAAACAGCTAAGTGAAGCCAAGTCCTCTCCTTCAGCCAAGAGGCGTACCAAGAAACCACCCGCAGCCCGCAAGACCAAGCCAGCCGTTGCTCAGGCGCATCAATAATCGCCTATTGTGACTCTGTTGTTGCATCGTGATCACGCACCGCCCAATCATGCATGCCGTCGTCCGTATTATTTTCCAAGAAACAAAAGCCTCACCACCTAAGACTTTTCCTCTCTGGAACCCACAAGATTGAGTAGTGCAGTCTGGCTTGGCTGCTTTTCTTGCTGCGTGGCTCACGACTTGCCGCTCCCGCCAGCGTCCTGTAGCGCCGCCCGCGAACTTGTGGATGAAGAAATTGCGGAGATGGACGGATACTTTTTTCTCGTGGCAAGTTCCTCGGTGGCAATGAGGTACATGTGAGCCAAGGAGGCTGGCCATGATAGTTCGGAAAGGAATATAGTATATAGCTTCTAGAAAGATTCCCCCAAAAGGCTTCAGATCAGCATCTCTGCAACAACAACTCTCTTTATCCTATCAGCCGAACAATCAATCCTACGGCAGCCCCATTGTTAATCAACAAAAATGAAGTCTTTCGTTGCACTCTCCCTCCTATCGGCGGGAGTCAACGCCTTTCCCTGGGTCGCCCACGCTCCCGGCGTAGACTCCTCTGCGCTGCACAGCGTCGAAAAGCGCCAGCAAGCTCCTCAACCTGGTGGTCCAGGAAGCGCTGAGACATGCCCTTTTAACGCTCAACACGTCGATGCCGTGCCTGTTAAGCAGGGACAGTACAACAACGCTCGAGGTGGCCGCAAGGGTAATGAGAAGGGTGGCTACCAAGTTCCACGACCAGATGATCTTGATCACCAATTTATTGCTCCGAGACCAGGAATCGATATTCGTGGTCCTTGCCCTGGACTGAATGTTGCTGCAAACGTGAGTTACGACTACTTATATATACTTGGTGAAGACTTTTTTGCTGATGGAGAGAATATAGCATGGTTTCCTTGCACGAGATGGTGTTACGACTTTCAATGAATTGGTCGATGCGCAACAAAATGTCTACAATGTTGGCTACGACCTTTCTCTCTTGCTAGCTTTCTTGGGCCTTCAGGCAGATGGTGATTTGGTCACTACTAAGCTCTCTATTGGCTGCGATGTGAGTATCATCATTATCATCAACAACAACAACAACCTCAAGGAGGTCGAAGACTTGACAACGACTAACGGAGGACAACAGGCAACCACACGCACGTCCATCAACCCAGCCTTAACCGGCAGCCAGCCAGGCCTAGCAGGCCACAACAAATTCGAAGCCGACACCTCTCTCACGCGCAACGACTTCTTCACGGGAGGAGGCGACAACTTCTCATTCAACCGCACGTTATTCGACATGATGTCTCGCTCCACAGGCGGTCTCCACAACGTCGAAAACCTCGCCAAATACCGCGGAGAGCGCTGGGACCAGTCCGTTCTAGAGAACAACAACTTCTTCTTCGGCCCCCTATCTCTCCTCCTCTTCGGCGCAGCCTCCTTCTTATACGAACTGATGCCTTCGGGACCAAATTACATCCCCGACCAAGAAACTATGAACTCGTTCTTTATCCGCGAACGTCTCCCTGAGAATTGGATTAATCGTGTGGAGCCTTATACTAACAGACTTGTGACGCGCGAGATTTTGAAAATGTATTTGCTCAACCCACGTCCTTTTGGTGCGAATACTGCCGATGGAGGTTTTACGGGTCTCAATTGGAGACAGATCCAGAACGGGAAATTGGAACTTAGTGTTGAGGCTCCCGAGACTCTTTGTTTGCTTTACCAGCTTGCCACGCAGGTGCAGCCTTCGACTCTTAATGGTGTTATTACGCCGACTGTCGAGGCTTTGTCGTTCTTCCTTACCCGTGTCGGCCCTGAGTTTGATAACCTTGGTTGTGCGCGTCCATTGACCAAGTAAGGAGGAGGTTGGGGAGCAGATGGGAATGGGGGAAGCGGGATTTGGGTGATTAAATGAGTGGGTTGGATTTTCCATGTCGATAGTCGTATATCAGAAAAAGAAAAACAGAATGATATTGATCGTAAAAGATTTTCTACTTACCCCGTTGTCAACAAGTTTCCTTCTGTGTCAAATCTTCATAGATATCCAAAGCAAAAAAAAATAAACCAACGCGTAACAGTAGCAGAACCAGGGAGTTGCCCTACCATCTCCCCCTTTGAATCCCGTAAAACTCATCAAACCTCCAAAACGAATCATTCACGCATCCTCAGAATTGTCCTAACCCAACCTGTATCTCCTCCTCCACTCACCATCTCTCCTCCCAACACAAAGAAAAAAAGAAGAAAACTCTACCTCCTACCTCCTACCTCCTCCTACCATCTCAACAAAACCAAAGCAACAACCCGCTTCAACTTGCCGTGCATACAAGAGTGAGTTTTAGGAAAAAAATCTCTTGCGTGTAAAGATGATCAACAGGTACACTACACGTGCTCAATGTTCTAGATACACTAGAAGCCTTGCCTTACCTATCCACCCATCTATCCATCCCGTCCATCGTCAAAAGGTCTAGAAGACCGAGTAGTGCATTGCATGCTGCGCGTGCATACATGCAGAGAAGGAAGGAAAAAGCCGAAAGCTCGTGGGAAACACATGGTTTGTACGATCGCACAATGAAGTTCTTTTCTCTTAGACTTTTCGTCGTTCGGCAAAAACATTTACATTGTGTAGGGTGTTGTTTGTTGGGGGCTAGCTGACTAGCTATGACCTTCTCTTTCTGTGAATAGGGTTGAAGTGTTTTCGATGTAGTAAGGTGACATTCATTTTGGGGGGGTTTGTTTGGTGAGTGTATGACCGTACGGGGCGTGTGGATGGACGGGACGGGATACCTCGTAGGAGTAGAGAGAGGTAGGAGGTAGGTCGGGACGTTTGGTAGACATGTGATCGACGAAGTAGCGTTGCATGAATTGAATGAGTCGATCAGCAAGTTAGATTAGGAAGGAGGGATGTCAAGCATCTAGGACGAGGCTGCGGGAGGCTGTGATGAGAGCTGGGGCGTAGTGTGGCGTAGCGTAGTGTAGCTCCGGAGGCGGTCTCCGGGAAGGCTGGGCGTTTCACGTAGGAGGCGCAATAGCAATAGCGTAATGGTGGCGCCTCTGGGGAAAGTGGAGGTCGAGGAGGGTAAATAAGGTCAGCCTCGGGATCTTCTGACTTTGTTAGCTTACCTGCTATTCAGATCTAAATTACAGTATTCCTAGTGACCTCGCCCGGGAGGTGCAACGTACAATTTCTCTTCGATCAGATCGAGAGGCAGGGAGTAGCGATGCTGGCTTGCCGCTTGCCAAGTATCGGAGGAAAGGATTGGTCTGTATCCTGTACTTGGCAGCCGATTGGGAGTGCAGTGGTGGTTGGTTCAGCTCTCTCATATCAACCAAGTTTGAGCCCTGTCAGCTTGATTAGTTACAACGACCCCTTTGCTGTCTAGGTAGACTTTGAGGTTCTCTCAGCCTCGACTGACAGCCTCGACTGACAGCCTCGACTGACAGCCTCGACTGAGGGGTTCGCAAGCACCATGACACCGCAGCGAGACTCAATCTTGCTTGCTTCTACTTGCGTACCTCCTACCTCCTAGTCGTACTGCTAAGACTCCAGATAGAGTTGCTAAGCCTTCATGGAGGCTGCATGAAGGAACCGGAGGAGAAAGTGCCCCGCGCAAGCCACGCCACGGCACATACCGGGGCCTGGGACAGGACAAACGCCACGAGGCGCTCGTGAGCCGCTCTTTCAAGGAGAACGATTGGATGAAGTGTCTCTCATGCGTGCCAAAAGAAGTAAGGCCAGAGAATGCCGCATCTAGACCCTGTCTGATATAGGAGTGATGACCACCTTTTACCAAGTTTTGATTGGCTGTGTCGTTGAAGCTGTCCTTTATTAGCCAATCAAATGGCACGTTCGACCTTCTTGTAGTTCTGGCTACAGATGTTCGCCTCGGTCGTCTGTTCTGCACGGTCAAGACTGTGATCAGCATCTCGTGGACAGCCGCAAGTGATGTGGTATGAGTCGATGATGCGGATTGTGGCGTCCCTGCCACAGGCAGTCATATAATGATTGATCGTCCTGTTCATACTTCACCATCCTTCGATCGGCATTCATACTCACTCATATCATCTTTGTCACATATTCCCGTACAGGATGAAGTCTTTCGCTGTCACTGGCCTTTTGGCCTCCACTGCTGCGGCTTTCCCAGCCGCAGTACTCAATGCCATTGCGGATGGATCGCTCAAGGCTCCTGCAGAGCTGACTGCGAGGGCTGCTATTGCATCGCCGCAAGGTGTGGGCGCCCTTCCACTGACGCCTCCACCATTCGACGCCGCAGCACAGTATGTCAGCAACCAAGGCGATAACAAGTTCATCGCACCTGGGCCTGGCGACGAGCGCGGAGAATGTCCTGGGTAAGTCATGCTCTCAAACCTCGCAAGTATTTGGGGCAATGCTGATGATCCTCCAGACTCAACGCCCTTGCCAACCATGGCTACCTTCCTCGCAATGGTATCGCTACCATCCAGCAGCTGGTCGATGCCACGGAGAAAGGGTTCGGAATGGCCAGGGATTTGGGAGGTTTCCTCGCCCTGTACGGTGCTATTGTCGATGGAAACGGCCGTGGCTGGTCCATCGGAGGAGTGCCACGCACTGGGTGAGCATCATCTGCACAACTCATCATAAACCCGATGTAGCGCAACGACAAGGGCCACACTGTTCCGGGTGCTAACGAATTGAGCCAGAATCCTTGGATCGCACAACAACTACGAGACCGACAGCTCGCCCTTGAAGAGCGATCTGAGCCAATATGGCAGCAACACGAAACTCGTCATGTCCCAGTTCTTCAGTCTGTACAACCGTCAGCCAGACGCAAGCACCGCCAACTACAATCTCGAAGTCTTGCGTGACTTCCGCAAGGAGCGATACTACGAGTCCATCGCCAAGAACCCAAACTTCGCTTATTTGCCCTTCAGTGGTATTGAGGTGTCCCAGGCCGCCTTTACCTTCATCTACCGATTCATGGCGAACAAGTCGGCCGAAAACCCCGAGGGTATCCTCAACAAGGAGGTCTTGAAGAGCTTCATGTCCATCTCTGGTCCAGAGGACAACCTGAAATGGACCCCAGGAAACGAGAGAATCCCAGACAACTGGTACAAGCGCAACCCATCAGACGAATACTCTGTCCCATACTTCGAGGCCGACATCCTCTACTTTGCCGAGACTGTCCCAGAAGTCCTTGGACTCGGCTGCAACAAGGGTGCTGTCAACACCTTCTCTCCCATCGACCCATCCCAGCTCACAAGTGGTGCGTACACTGCTCAGCAGATTGCTAAGAGCCCACTTTGCTTCGCTGCGGCTTTCGCAAAGGTTGAGATTCCTCTGATTACCGGCCTTGCTACTTCCTCTCTCGGCCCACTCAACACCCTGCTCGATGGCCTGACTACGGGCATGAACTGTGCGAAGATTGGACCTGTCAACCAGACCGCACTCACTGCCTGCCCTGGCTTCAGCTTGTACGGTGGACCAACTGCTCCTGTTGCCCCTGGTGCTATCCAGTCGTAAGGACAGGTGATGGTGTATGATGATGATAAAGTCAACAAAAATTGTGTTTGTACGGAGGCAAGAGAGTTGTGGATTCGTGTACATATTAGCAGGCGAGCGTGAACTCCTGAGCGCTTAAGTTAGATTCGAAAAGAATTGTCTTCCAATGTCCACCTTGTCTTCTTTCATACAGCCAAGCATTATGCCTTTACAATCAAAGGGCATTGAAAATAGACAGCTCGAACGCTGTGTAGTGTGGAAAGTCGGTGGTAGGGTCCCTTGCTGCTGAGGATGACTCTGACACGGTACGCAACTTGTTTTCGGTATGCTGGATTCAGAAGAGCGGAGCCTTGAACGCCCGTCTGTAGTAGCCATTGGATACACGGACCGTCCAATGTTCCTCTTTAACGCTTGAGAGTCTCTCCAGGTTCAAGGCAAGGTAGTTCTCTCTGCGATAGGATGGTCTTCATCAAGGTAGAGGCTTGTACGCGCAGGCGGTGGCGCTGCTGACCGGTCTTGCGTGTCAACAACGTCTAGGATACGCATATTATAGCCCGCCATGCAGGCCTTCTGACCTCACCGTCGCCATTGGATGATGATAATGATAATGATGATGATGATGATGATGGGAAAGATGTTCCCCACCTGGAATTTGCAGCTCATGTCCCGGTCTTGGCATCCCCGCGGAGTTCATCCCGGACCCTCCACCACAAATCCGATTCCGCACCATATACCGGGGCCGGACAGACAGACAGCCATCTGAAACCTCGACAGTAGGAATGAGAGTGAAGGACAGAGGCAGAAATGGCCAAACGACCTACCGCCCGCGCAAAGGCCTCTAAAGCCGCTGCCTCCTCCATATCCTCCCCTTCCGCTGCCCTCTCCAATCTCAAATCCGAGTATCTCGCCGCTACCAGATTCGGTAACACCAAAAAGGACAAACGAATAATCCGCCATGGCCAACTCCTCGCCAAAGTCCGCGAGGGGGGAATCAATAAACAAGCATCTTCATCCGCTGGGGGCAAAGTGAGAAGACCCAGCAAGAAACTCAAGACGAGTGTGAAAGATTTGGGAGATGCGTTACCGGATGTGGATATGGGTGATGGAGGATCTGTTGGTGCAGATGAGATTGGAGGAGGAGAGAAGAGTGGCGTTTATGCTGAGGATGAGTGGGAGGGGGTATCCGATGAGGGTGGTGATGATGAGAAGGGAGACGGGGCGGTGGCGAAGACAGCGGGAAAGAGACGGAGGAAGAGTAAACCCGTGGGAGATGGGAACAAAATGGTCATGAAGAGTTTGTCGCATCGCCAGGGGAGTATGAAGCGGAAGAAGGTGTTGGAGGAGAAGGAGATGGAGAGGTTCAAGAGGAACTTGGCCCAGCTCGCTTCCAATCAGGCGGTGGAGGAGATGAAGGTCAGTGGTGGCGGTGGACAGGAAGGGAAAATGAATGAAAGTCATACGCAGAAGTGGGCTGCGCTGAGGGCTTTCATCGGGACGACCATGGAGAAGGACAAGGCGTTCGAGGGGAAATGATCTGCCAAACAGACGATGAGTATGAGCTGTATTCCCCTGTCTCTGAATTCTCCCAGCGAGTGCGCTCTGCTGGCATTCGACTTCAGCGCATTTGGTGCTATTCTTCACGCTGGCGAAGAGAAGTCTCAGCGTGAAGCGGGCAACACCGATCACTTCGAGTACTGACCTGTCACCGCTGGGCACTATACCACGCTGGCTCAAAGACATGGCTTAGTCCTCCGCCGAATAGCAGTCGTGGCGCAGACATGTATGGTCAGGTTGCAACATCTGGGTCAAAACTCCGTCAATCTCAAGGTCCGCAACTAGCAAAACGCCCTGTATCAGTCGTGTTCTCGGCGGACCTCCGATTTCGAAAAGTTAAGTTTGGACCTCGTCTGTACGAAGACAGCCATCTTCTGGCCCTTCATCCTGGCGTAGATTGTGGTGCTGTCATGGAAGAACATTCGAGCGTGTACCAACCTTATGAATCAGCTGTCCGGGTCCGCAGAGTCGCAATACTGCCAGCATCATATGCTAGGATTGATACAACTCCCGCTTCCACTTTCCGCTATACGACGCGAGCGTCTGGCCGCTGGTATCTGCTCTTAATTAGCCCTGTCCTGCCGCTGTCGGCTAACTGGCCAGAACGCTGTACAGAGAGCATCAGCCCGAGTCACGAATAAAGCATGGCTGGTGAACAAATGGTGTGGTAACTGGTAGTTTGAAATTTTTAAGCAAATTGGCCATGTGACACCAATCGTCGACATACTTCGCCCCTTACTGCCATCGCTGATCAAGATCTGGGGGTGCCGCAGCATATTTCTCTTGCCGACGCTCTGGTTCTGTGAGCGTACACTATATTGCTTTTACGGACTCGGCAGGGCCTTCAACGATGGCATCCAGAACAGGTAATTGTGGCCTACCACCTCATCTCCGAGGTATAAAGCCGACTCCCTCTGACTACTTTTTGTAATCATCGTGCGCGCACAAGCTCAGCTCTGTTCCTCCATGTCGAGAGTGTCTACGACGACTTGCCTTCTATCGCTACTGAAACACGCGTCGCGCATGCCCATTCACGTCTTGTCCAATCTCCTGGAGTCCTTACCATGTTTTGTCTGGATACGCCAACGTGATGCGTCGCGTTATTGGTCTGCTTTCAGACACTTCCGGACCTTGTTGTGGCACAGATTCATCTTGCTGAGAACAAAGAAATCGTTCCCGGGATAGAACAATCTGATCTGGGGAACAGCGTTTCTTTGTTTAAGATCGGTACAAGATCTATATTGAAGCGGCAACCCATCGTGACTCTCCCACTTACTGCATTTCGACCTCAATAGCCAACTGAGTATATACCAGAACAACGGCTATCGGCACCATGGTTACCTCCACAATCCTTCTCCACCTTTCACTATACTATCGAACACTGGTTTCAAAACCAACAGTACCTCCACATTTGCCCCCCTGAGAACCAAGGCAACACAACAACAAAACCAAAGACATGCGTTTCTTCGCCGCCTTCCTCGCCATGCTCGGCGTCGCCAGCGCCATCGAGAGCTACAAATCTGTCCAATGCGGCAGAAAAAACCAATACATTGTCAACACCGTGAACCGATTCTGCGCCAAGACAAACATGGTCGCCCCCAGCACGTACACTCGTAATGGCCTGCTGAGCTTGAACACGTACGTCTGGCTGGGCATCAACGGTAAGTTAACTCCCACTTCCACGCCTTTCTCGTGCTACTTACCAAGATGACCGAGTTTGACTGACACACATTCCTTCGTTTCAGGTAACTGTAACCCTGCCCAATGGGTCCCTTCCGCCATCTGCAAGTCTCAGTTCTTCGACATGTGTATCAGCGGCAATGATCTCGGTGCCAACTACCGCAGATACGGTAGAAACAACTGTCAAGTTTGGGAGGTCAGCGCTACAAAGAGTCAGCAGTAAGTTCTCTTCCTTCTAACCCTTCTCCTTCTTCTTCTTCCCTTCTTTTCTTTCTCCTCTCTTTCTTTGCTCTCTTTCCTGTTCTCCCAGAATACTCCCTCGCCGTGCTGAACAGTCGGTGTTGGTAGTTCGGGTGAAAAGAAAAAGAAGCTGGGGCTTGGTGGATGATTGCCCAGTAGTACAGTGGTGGTGGTCGCAGCAACAAAAAGGCTGACATGATTTTTCTGATAGTGGCGGCGGGAGCGGCGTACAGCACAACAATGGACTGGGAAAACAAGGCGGTTGGAAAGATCTAAAGAAGGCTTTTGGGATTCACAAGCGCGATGATGAGACTCATGAGTCGATGAAAGAAGCTGAGAACGTGGAGGGGACGACCAACGTTGAACAGTAGATATGAGCACGATGGTCGAAGTTGAAAACAGTCGTTTATAGATTCTTGTTTTGCGTATGCGTATGATATACAATCACTTTCTTTCTCGGCCTCACTCGTCTGATATTCGTTTGAGCTGAGCTGCATCTGTCTTCTTCGTATTGGTATTTGTCGCGTGCCGCGTTGTCGCCTTCGTATCAACTTACAGCTACGTGCTCGATGTTCTTATATCTCTTCACTGCGCGACGTAAGCCAGAATCAATTCGGAATGCAGTAGTCTACACTTTGCGAGCAATAGAACTTCCCTGACTACTTATAGCCATGCTCGAGTGCTAGCTGTAGCTTCGCACTAGCTTTCTGCTCTAGGGATGTAACGGCCACGGGGCAGAGGCACGCGTTTTGCTCCTCGCACTGATCTCACCCCTTATCCAACTTACACGTTCAACAACTGTCTTACCTTTCAGTCGCGCTCTATCAGACGTGAATTGACTCGCTGTTCCCTGCAATGAGGACAGACACCAGGACGAACGGATGCACGCGTGGAAATTCAGTATGCTGTTTTCCCGTCAACGATGCTCAGATACTCTGGCGAGCCTGGGGAGGAGTAGAAGCATTGCAACAAGTACGAGCTACCGTATTAACAGCCTCCCGAGTCTCAAGTACAGAGGATATTAGCACTACTCTGCGATATTAGACTAGGCTATAGGGTACCTACGAGTCTCGGTCCTTGATTCCGCTCAACTAGAGAGGCCCCCTTACGCCAAGGCTAACTTCCTCCGCGCGACAAAAGGTGATGTCCGTGCTGCAGTCGACAAAACAAAAACAACAACTCGCGATGGCAACAACCACCAGATCTTTTCCGCCCTCCACCACTACTCAACACAATGTCGACCCATGGCAAGCAGGGCGAGGTGAGCATCTAGCATTGTCCCGTCACAACCAAAACTTGAAGCTGACGGCAACAAAATCCCAGGTCAAAGACGAGTCTACCCACCGTCGCGATTCTCACGGTTCGACGAGACCTCATCTGCGGCGCGAAGGATACATCAGACGTCTTCTGTACCTAAGTCAACCCACCGTCACGACTTCTCGGGGAGCTCGCCGTCCGTCCCCGTTCTTCGCTTGAAAACGGCTCAGGAGCCTCGCGCGCCCGATGCACAGCCTCCCACGAGGACCATTCACCATCAAAAAAGTCATCCTCTCCGCCAGCTCATCTCAAGCCGGTCACGACCACCATCGCATCCAGCTGTCGCCAGTCAGGTTCGCCCTCAGAATCTGGTCCACTTCGCCTCGCTCAGTGTTCAGCCCGGTAAGTACTCCTACCCATCACATCTTTTGCACTCGTGATGACAACAATGACAATATCCGACTGAGCTTAACAGCCGTGAGGAGAAGAGTCTCGTTCGTACTGAAGTAACCTGTTCCCGGCACCATTTCGCATCATGTTGAGCGAAGAAGGATGCTAATTTCTTTGGTAGCTTGCGAGGACGGAAGCCGCTTCTAGCTCTTCTTAACGAGATTGCTGATCGCAGCAGGTTGCTGGGTGTCCGGGAGACACTGGTCGGCTTTGAGACGATCTGGACGGATGGGATAGGGATCAGGAAGGATATGGGTGCAGAAGGGGATATCAGGGGGCGGAACGGTAGAGGGAGATTTGGCGGAGACAATGGCAAGATGTTACGAAGGCGCTAGGTCTGATGCCCACGTATCACGGGATGTGAGCGACACAAAAATGCTTTGAAGCACTCTCAGCCGTCAGCTGTACACCGTTAGCCACTTTTTTCTTTGACCCAAGGAGCCCCCAAGGTAAAGCAACCGTTCCTAAGTAGCCTATTGAACCCTTCTCACCCTCTACCGAGTAACCGTGCAATTCTATCCAAAGACATACCGCAAATCCCACTACATTCACTACTCGAGACCGCCCATGCAACCCTACCTATTGTCATGCACGAAAAATCAACAAAACATGCAGCCTGAACGCCTAACTTCCCCACCCCCCTGCTAGCGCCCCCCAGCCTCCTTACCCTCCATACAAAACCCTCTTCTCTTCCTCTTCTCTCTTTTCTCTTCCTCATTTCTCATCTTCCCCAAAAATGACGACCCCCAACTCAACCTCCCAGCAGGAAACTGCCGGTGAGGTCCCAACCTCCCTGTCGCCACCAACACCACCAAAACGACCGCTGCGACCTCGTTCTCGTTCTCTCGTCATACCCTCCAAGTAAGTTTTCCCCGCCCCTTTTGCCCCCCGGCTGATTGTGCGGTGGCATTTTTTTCTGCGGCAGATGGCTTTTGGCTTTGTGGCTTTCTGGATTCTGGATGCTGGATGTTATACGGTAGGGGTTTGGTTTGTGTGAGGTCCCGTATGTGGTTTTTGGTACTGACCCATCAATGTGTTGGTACCCTCGTTTTTTGATGAGGGGTGCTGGCGCTTGGAGGGTTGGTGCGTGTTTATGTTGTTGGTCGCGTCGCGTCGCGTGGAAGATGTTGTTATTGTTGTTGTTTTGGGAGATGGATGGGACTTGGACATAGATTGTTGATGGATCTTGATATCTGTGCGTGTGTACATTGTTATTGTCCCGCTGTCGCACGGGATACATGTGAATGTACTGTCTGTCGTGCGCGCTATAAGCAATTGCCAGCGAGACTCTTCATCTTCAATCAGGGGCAGTAAGAACTGCTATACCTGCGTTGTACCCCGATATCCAATGCTGTCTCGCACCTACACCACCATCGTCCCTATAGTAACCAGCCCAGCAGTACCTACTGTAGCCAAGCCCGCACGGTCCACCACTCGAGAATAAAACTTGCGAACTTTCCTCCTTCTCTTCCTCTTCCTCTTCTTCTTCTTTTTTTCTTTCCAACAACAACAACAACAGCAGAGCAGTGATTAGATCCTTGCATCTTCTCTCGCATCTGCTTGTTATTGTTATGGCACCTTTTTTTTCGGGTCGGTCTGCTCTACCTCTCCCTGCTCCAAGCAGATTCTTCATGAGAGTTGTAGAGATGTAGCTTTCTTGCTTTTTTCGGCACACTAGCAAGAAACTACATGTACAGGTGCCTAGAGTGAAACAATCTGCTGTTAAATGTACCTTCGTCTCTGCAATTCTTATGGAGCAAGGCGCTTAGGCAGCAGGACATTTCGTATTGGGTGATTTTACTCTCTTCGTTGTTTGTGGGTTTTTGTTGGTGCTCTTGGTTTGGATTTTTTGACAACTGTAGTACTATTACTGCAGTTGGTAGATGAGGTCTGTAGATGGAGCTTGACCAAATTTTTCGCGTGTGAGTCTTGTTGTTGTGCTTTGCTTCCTATTCGGGGCGGTTCAGGAGAGCGATCTCCAAGCTTTGATTTGTTTCTATAGGCTATCTCTCGCCGTTAGTCGACTCTCTCGGCAGCTTTCCACCACGCAGACCCCGGAAGAAGGCTTCCAACGGTGGCCGTCAGAGGAGAACTAAGAGGAAGAGCGAGCAGTCTGTAAGCCTCAGCCGAGTCGCGTTGCTTCGAAATGGTATAGTGAAGCACAACCTCGAAGTCACCCGCGAGTCTAACAAAGCATCTGCCTAGTCTTCAGGATACAAGGAGCTAGGAGGATAGACTGATCTCTATTATGCGACTCATTACTACCCTGCTCATACCATCCCCCTCTGCAGACCTTGGACCTTGGATATCTACAAACTCAGACTACTGCAAACGCGACGCCCCGTCAAAACTCTGCGCGAGCATACCCGGTGACGCTGGCGATCTCCAGGACGGATAACACTTCGCGGGAAGGACGAACACATCTCAGGAGCGGGGAGATTATTCGCCCGATAGAGGAAAGTAGAGAAAGAAAAGGAAAAACACACAAAAGGGCCGACTTTGGTCAAGGCGAAGGAAAATGCGGCTTCAGATATAGCTCGGAGGAGAATTTCGGCCAGAGCGAGGAATAGAGCAGAAATACTCGAAGGTACGAAGCGATATACAGTGAGCCCGCAAGGCGAATTACAGGTATAATAGGTAGGTATGTGCATCAAGCCTACGACGGACAACTGTCAAATCTTACTACAGTAGAGACAGGAACACATGCACCAAAAGGAAAAAAGAAAAGAAAAAGAAAGAAAAAAAGAAAGTAAAAAAGAAAATCGAAAATCGAAAGTCGAAAAGTCGAACAAGAAAAGAATTTCCCATTCAAATAACTAACTCTGTGTATGTGTGAGAGAGAGCTAGAGCAAGCATATCGCAACACCCCCTCTTACACACAAATAAAAAAGTCCGCGCAAACGAACTCGATCGTTTTCTCCCTTTCCAAAAAAAACAATCATTATCCTCCTCTTCCTCCTCCAAAGAAGAAGAAGAAGAAAGAAAAAGATATATTCCCCCGTGGTCGTCGAAAGTTTCAATATCCTCCTCCCTCAATCACCTCTCCTCCATCATCCTCATCTCCTCTCCTCCTCTCATTGTAAATCTCATCCCTTTCAAAAATTTACATCATCTCACAAGCAGCACCAATCGGCTGCTTCGTGCTATAAACTTTGCCCTGCAGCACACAAGCCGCACCAATCGGTTGCTTCGTGCTGTAAATTTTTCCCTGAAGCACGCAAGCGGCTCCAATGGGTTGCTTGGTGCTGTAGATCATTTTGGTAAGCTGGAATTGCTCGGTGGGGGTGTTGTTGGAGAACATATTTTTGGTTGGGTGGGTAGCGAGTGTGTGTTTGTTTGGGGATCTGTGAATGAGTGGATGAGGAGGAAGAAAGATGGATGGGGGGAGGGGGGGGGGGTTTATGTAGGGCGGTATGTGGGAGGTGGGGCTTTGAAAGGGTTGGTGGGGGGATGGGAATAGATTTACTGCAAACGATTGATCACGCGGGTAGGGGAGGTTAAGGCGGGCTTGATATTGTTCTTGAGAGGTTTGTGTCGGGTGGATGCTATGCATTTTTTCTTTGTTGCATTGCTTGACATTGTACTTTTTGGATCAGCAACGACCGGCCTTTTACGAGGTGTAGAGAGAATAAAGAGATCTCATGGGCGTGGATCAGTTTCACGATGTTGGTAAAGACAAGTTGGTAATGCAATGCATACAGTGGTGGAGATGACCGAGAGTCCAGAACGGCCGAGTCCAGCTGGTAAGTCTTGTTGGGCGAAGGCTTCAGTGATTGGCAAAATCTTCGTATCAGTATCATCTTGTCACGTCCGATGGTAAGCTGATGTCGAGCGTTGTGATCGCTTGGGTAAGTCGGTGCCAGCATCGAGTAGTATTCTCCCGGGCTAGCATAACAAATTCCTCCGTCCCTTAGTAGCAGTATGAATCAACTCTCTTTACTCTAGGGAACCAAAGCACAGCTACCGCATATACTCGAGCGACGTCTGCACAAAGGATAAGTTTCGCAGCCAGAGCTATCCTCTTCTATACGATCAAGCGGCGTATTGTATTACCCCTTTCCGCCTCTTCGCTATATTACGGGCTTCGATCTGCCCGCCTAGGAATGATGTTAGATGAAAAAGACTTGCGAGTATGGATCATCCCAAGCTGCAGATGTGCTATAATGCGAAGAATCAAGGACTTTTTGAGATATATAAGCAAGTAAACCGAGGGCTGGACTTCAGCTGGTCTTCAATATATAGAGCTTATAGCCGAAGTGAAATGTCTTTCTACGTATCAGCTTCCTTGGGAACTCACAAAAATCTCGGCAGGATGATAGATTGACGGTAGAGGCATCGCTATCAGTCATAACGATACATACTAGCATATAGGGAAAAAGACTATAAGGCACCCAAAAGATCTTCAAAAGATGTATCCCTTATAAAAAAAAGAACAAGCAGCGGCGCACGACCACAATCGCCTAGCTGATAATCTACCAAATCTGACATAACAAAACCATCAACCATACCACCATAGGTACTCTACTCCAATGCATCCCAATCCCCCCCTCTCCCAAGAAAAACGAAAAGAAAAAAAAAATCACCTCCCCCCCTGATCCCCCTCAGCAACCGCAACAGCAGTAGTAGAAGAACCATTCCCCTCCCTCTTCAACCACTTCTTCAACGAATCCTGCCCCGAATTCAAACCCAACACAGCATAATCTTCCTTTGAAAAACTACTCATAGCTTTCGAAGGTTCAGCGGAAATTCCTGCTAAGCGAGGACATTTACTTTCTTTGTGATTGGTTCCGTTACATATCGGACAGGTAATTTTTTTGGGTTGGGCGTTGGTGTTGCTTTGGGGAGGAGAGTCGAGAGTGGGTGGGGAAGATGGAGATGGAGATGGTTGCTCGTGTGCAGATGAGGGTGTTGGGGTGTAAGCTTTGTATGGCTGTTGCTGTTGCTGCTGCTGTTGCTGTTGCTGCTGCTGCTGCTGATGTGTAGAGGGAGGAGGTGATTGTGGGGCTAGGACCACAGGCGAAGGTGGTTTTATCTTTGATGTAGATGGAGCTGAAATATCAGTCAAGGGCCGAGCGTAGGGCTTATAAATTGGTTTTTGGGCGAATGGCGAAGAAGGGATAGGAGGGAGAGGTTTAGGTTGTTGATTCACTATAGGCGAGATTTCGTCGTCGGTTTCGATGATTGGTGTTTCTGTACTCCCTGGGAGAGGTTTTGTTGGAGAATTCTCTTCGATGGTTTCTAATGCAATGGCTTATTCTGCTTGTTAGCTATGGCTTTTCTCTTGATTACTCTCTCTCTCTCTCTCTAACAAGAGACTGCACATCTACTTACGAACTGGTGTCTTGGCCGCTTTCCATCGCGCCTCTCTCTCCGCTTGCTTCAATTTGTCTCGTTTCTCCTCTAGCTCGTCTGATCCCATCGCTGCGAAGCCGCAGAGTAAACATCCAGCCCAGGCCTTGGGGTCTCCATTTTCATCCAGAAAGAACCCCATTTCTCTAGATTTTGATCTGTGTAGTCGATTTTGTTTTCTCCTAGTGTCTGCGATGGTTTGGAGCACAAGAAGGCAATGACTTACAAAGATTTGCACCCTCAATAAGAAATCTGCAATAGTCAGAACAAAGAAAATTCTTGCGCTCCGTAACTTTGCTGTTGAGGACTCGCGCTGGATTTACGCATTTGGAACAAAGAAATATGATAGCGCAGATCTCTTCTACTAAGCCTTTGAGTCTACAAATTGCATTGCAGGTAAACTTTTGGGTAGGAGTCTGGCTGACGGGACTAGTCTGGACATGCGTCGCTTCTCGGTATGCGATTGATAAGCCTCACTGCTGTTGGAGTAGGTGAGATGATGGGTCCTGCATGATCTGCAAGCGTGATGAGCATGGTCAGGGAGAGACTTCATACGTCCACATGAACTTTCACCAACTCCTAGCAAGATCAGATGCTCCAACGTCTCTTCTTCCAACTACTTCGTTGTACATAGTTGTAGGAGATTCGTTCATGTTTGACCAAAGGTAGATATGCATCTCGTCCAGAAGTGAATTCGTCTCCTCTACATTCTTCTCACTCATCTTTCCCAGCTATCCACGCTTCCGCCAACGAGCTTCACAAGTCCTGACTTCAAACCTCGACAACGTTGATTTCTCATCACTTGGCCACACCCTGCCCGTTGCAAACACACTCATACACGCACACACACGCACACACATCACCAATCTCCAACCCGCAACCTCACAACTCACACCCCGTAAACCCCTACTCAAAAAATCAGCCATCAACACTCGCCCACACCAATCCCCCCACCCCGCAATTCAAACTTACCCCTTTTTTTACAAAATCTCCCCCCCTTCCTCACATCGCAGGCGGCTCCCCCCCATTCGTATCATCCCCATGTTTTTCACCCCAGCGATAATAAAACTTCTTCTGAGCATCAGTAAGATACTCTCCACCTGGCCAAGTACAACCATCGAATTTCTTATTGCAAAAAGTGTTCGGGAGTTCTCCGCAATCGAGATCATCTGCGCAGCTGAAGAAATCGCACACTCCACCGCTGCATTGTAGAAGGTCGCCGGCGCAGTAGTGGGCGTATTGGGTGGGGTTGCATTTATCTGGGGAGGGGTTAGCGGATGGGTGGATGGATGGATGGAGCTGGGGGTTGAGGGACTTCTGTTGTTGTTGTTGTTACGTACCACCGTAGATGGGATCATCATGACCGAAAATTTGCTTCGAGTCTTCTCCCATTGCTGGGAGAATTGCCACCAAGGCTGTCAACAAGATGGCCGTTGCACGCATATTGTTTGGTTCGCAGGTAATAATGCGGGTTGATGTGTAGAGAGAGAGATTCAAAGAGTAAGGTAGTGAGGTTGCTTCCGACGCCAAAAATTTCGAGCACAAGTCGTTTCAAAAAGCTCGAAACAAGAGGTCTTTCGTTCGTAAGCAGAGCAGAGCAACAAAAAAAGAAAGAAGCAAAGAGACGAAAACTGATGTACCTGAACTAGACTTTATATCCAAGGTGTCTACGGGGGCGGGGGGGCAAAGGGGAATGAAAAGGGAACTCCTGATGACCAAAAAGCCAACCAGCTGGCTGCAAGGGTCTCTCATACCTTGATACCCTTACCTTTTTTTCTCCAGTAGGGTGGACTTTCCCTTCTGGACGAGGGAGGGACAAGGACCACGTGAAGACGAGGTTCCAGCGACAGAACAGACTTTATTGCCCAATCTTAAAATTCAGCAGCGTGGTAGTCCGTAGTCATTATCAAGCATTTGGCGAACATGCGTAGCGGATGCGTGCCTAGGGTAGGGGCGAGATTCCAACAAAGTACATTTTCCTACGTGGTCTGGCGAGGGGGATGGTTGTGGATTATGGAGTCCTGGTAGGGAGTGTGGAATAAACAAAACAAAAACGGAAAACGGAAAGCGGAAAGGGGAGGTCAGGAAATGTATACCAACATATACATAGGAGAAAGTCCTACCTACCCGGCCGGCTGCTTGCTTGTGTTGTAGTAGACGTGGATGTCCATATTTTCAATATAAAAACAAAGTTGAAAGGGGTGTGGAATTAAAGTTTTCCCCGTTGGGTGCTTGCAGGGGTAGAAGGGGGAGGAGGAGGAGGATTTAAAAAAAAAGCCCTAGCCCAGTCCGGGGTTGTGGTCTAGAAATATATATATCCTTGGCGCGGGTAGCCTGGGGGGCCGGGGTGGTCTCACAATGGTGCTGAGGTCAGCATGGTTTCGTGGTTCGCAAGGTATGGAAGGTATACAAATGGAAGTGAAGAAATTAGACCAACAATCGCTGTTGTTTTTGGAAAGGGAGTGTTTGGTGCGATATCTGGGATATATCGTAGATCTGATCTGATGGACGATTCTGCACAATCTGATAATTGTGTTGTTCTCTGGGCAGGCTAGTATTATCGTCAATGTTACGGACAGATTCAATAGACAAGCCTTTGCAAGCGTGCCAAGAAGAAGCGCAATAGGGAAGCTGTCCACAAATGGCGAGAGAATGGGTCCAAGTCAATAGTGTTGGACGTGTTGGTTTGTATGATTATTCACTTGATAAATATACCGAGCCGGATTCAGGCTAAGTAGATGTGTAGTAACTCCGGAGAGGTGGTTCTAATAGACTTCCGCTAACTGGCTCACTACCACCACTGCACCCCACCCAACCCACGTCATGGACTTTTCACTTTTGTACTTTGTGATCAACTTCTATCCCAGACTCGACCACATACTCCAATTTCCAGACGACTTTGCAGTATGTTGCCCTTCGTCCCCCTTGCCCCCTTGCCCCCTACAACATGCAAATTCTAGACTCCTTCTCGCCCACAAAACTAACACAAAGCTTCAATCAGCCGCCAGCGGCATATCCTTCCCAAAGCAGAACAACCAACACTCTCACTATGTCCAACATGCCTACCACGCTCCTCGATCTGTCCGACGAGCTCTTGGCACACATCTGCAGCTATGCCATGATCTCCCTCGCCGCCGATGATAATAATAATAATAATAATAACAACGATGACAATAATACTTCATCTTCCCCCCAAACCAGCAACCCAACAACTCCATCCAACCCTCGCCCCAAATTCCCCACCCCCATAAACGGAGTCATCACCGAACAAATTTCCAAGCGCCTCCGCCATCTCCTCCAACCCTTCCGCTGCTGTCATCGACTCTACAAAATCGCCAAATACCAATTTCTCGAATCCAACGTCATCGTTCTCAATTTGAGCGACATTCGAGGTTCGGCGAGTAGATTGGAATTTACTTCGGGTACTACTCAAATGATTATGACGGGGAATCCGGATCCTCTTTTGCGGAATCTCGTGCATGTACAACTCGTGGTGAGTATTTCTGATATGCGGGCTCCTTTTACGAGACCTTTTGCGTCTTCCTCCTCGGCTTCTTCTGGAGGGGGAGGAGGAGGAGGAAGTCAAGGGTTGACGGGTTTATGGAGACGTGGCGGTGGTGGGAGAGAAGATATATTATCTCTTAGCAAAGAAACTGAAAATCTTCGATGTTTGAAGGATTTATGTCCTGCTCTTCGTACTTGTCATTTATTTTTAAAGGTGGATGAATGGATTTTATATGGTAGAGGGCCGGAATTGAAGATTGCGAAAGGAGAGGTTGCGTTGGGTGACATTGCGAAGAGATATCGTAGGCTTGCGGAGGCTTTGATTGAGATTTTGATCGAGGAAGTTTTGTTGAGGATTGTGACGGTTTCGTTTTCGTCTTGGAGAGGGGATGCGGAGGTTTTGAGGATGGAGGGGGAGGTGGAGGAGGTGGACGTGGAGGTGGAGGGGGGAAGAAGAAGAAGAAGAAGACGGGCGGATGAGATTTTGGATGCGTGTTTGATGGACAGTATACAGGCTACTTTGACGGGACCTATTGTACGAGTGAGATGAGATGGATAGGATTCGAGCAGATGCTTGTTAACGGAATCCTCTTGGAAAGCAGTAACTGGTTCCCAAGTGGCTTAGTAAAGAACGGCGGCTTCATCGATAACAAATCGGCAAAGAAGCCTATACACAACGAGCTAGAAATCGTGCGAAGCAATTAAAAACACAAAACCCAAGATTAACACAACGCACCACCCATCAAAATCGAGTAACAAACAAATCCCAAGCCTACAACTATACAAAAACTACCCTTACACTACACACCCAACAACCAAAACCCCTCATCACATCATCGCCCTCCTCGCCTTCTTAGCCTTCCTCGCCTTCTTCTCCTCCGCCTCATGAGCAGCAAGCCCCGCAGCCTCCGCCTCCTCCTTCGTAGCATACATTTTCACCTCAGGCTCCGCCTCCGGCTCAGCCATCGCCTCTGGCAGAGCTTCACGCTTCTTCATCGGCACATACCACGTAGATCCGTCCGAACCTTTGACGGGTTTGGTAGCTCCTGGTGCATATTGGATGTACTACACATATACATACACAATGTCAGAAAATATTATTTTCTCGAAATTCGCGTAGGAGGAAAGTTCTTTTTTTTGGGGGGGGGGGCACGACTTACCCAACCTTGACAAGACAATCTTCCGTAATAAGCCTTCATTTTATGACTAGCGCATTCGGAGTAAAATTGTCTTCGGCAGATTCCTGTCGGAACCCATTGTGGAGGGTTGCAGCCGATGCCGTTCAAGATTCCCACTTCTAGAAAAATACGAGAGAAAAAATTCAGCGAGGGAGTTTGGAGAGAAAAGGGGGTCAGAAGGGGTAATGTACGTACTAGTAATCCAAACTCGGCCAGTAGGGTTCGTTCCGGCACCTTTTTCAGCGTAGTTTGAAGGAACGACAATGTCGGTTTTGAGACAGAAAGCGTTGATTCTGTTGAAAATTGTGGGGTGCCAGTCTTTGCAGACGCCTCGGTCGTCGGCGACGGCGACGTTGACCATGGCTGCGGCGAGGAGGGTGAGGAATTTCATGATTTGTTGGATAATTCTCTGACTTCAAAATCTTATCGATTATGGGAAAGGAGAAGGTGGATATGTGCGGTACACTGCGTGAGAACTTATAGTGGTGTATCACACGAGTAGAGTTCCCCTTTCGCATTGAATGAATTTTGGTCGTTTCTTTGTCCTCCAAGTTTTTACCCTCATCAAAGTGAACAATATGAAGCTTCTCCGATCTCACGCATGCGACATTTGCCAGAGAACGACTAGCGACAAGAATAGCCCGTAGACACACTCGAGAACAAACGCCATCGGATATAGTGTAGCACGTGAGGCCAGTTGTAGAGAAAGAAAAAGTGTGTGAACGGCAGCTTTGCTGAATTGCCTCCTTGCTTCGCGGAGATGTATTCCAGATCTCACTCGCTCGTAGCCTTTCCAATCAAGCTTGACATCTCGTTTTCCTCCTTTTCCATGCATGACACGTCCCTAGGAAGTTTTTCCACTGTCCTTATACGAATGCTGAATCCTATGCCAGGCCTGTTTGCCCAACATCATAAGGCTACCAAGTCGCTTGGCATGGCCTTGTCATAGTATTGTTCCTCGCAGAAGACAAAGAAGCGGCCAAGAATCCGTCTAGAGAGCGAGTGACTGCCTGTCTATCTTTCTGTATGTAGTATAATGGATACTTCTGCGGCTCGGGTTGTTAGAAGAGAAGGCCTTCGATCGCTTGTAGATTCACATAAGGGATGCGATTTTGGTGAACTCACAGATGACTTATGTCGTTGCAGTGCCAAAACGGCAGTCCTAATCGCTAGAGTGTCTTAGGTGCCTGCTAGAAACACGTGCAACGCATTCCAAGTGTGATGCTCAAAGTGTCAAACACAAATGTTCACTTTGAGGAAGAATGACTCCTTAGTGTGTCTCAAAAGGCGTACCCCGACTTCTCTTGATTGCGCCTCTTCCTCCATAACCTGCTCTCGTAGAGCGCATGAGTATATTTGCTCTATGTCATTCCTGTCGTCAAACCCAAAGAAAACCCGGGAAGATGCGTCGACGGCGCTAGGAGGCATAGGCCTAATCAGCCTACAAGAGGAGACAGTCATATTGCATATATGTCCCTAGAGCCAACACCCGCAGCAGCAACAACAGGACACTAATGGACGCAGTAGATACGGGCGTACTGTAGAATATAAAAAGGTAAAGCAACCGCCAACATTGCCCATTTGAATACCCCTGCGCACGGACCACTGAAGAATGGCTACATGTACCCTGTATCGTAACAACGCCGACAGGGCAGACTCTGGTTACGATATTACGTGCCGCGTCAAGTACTGCGTACGTACCATTATACATCCTATATTTCAAGCGAAAAACAGGTCTACATATCTAGCAACTCAATAGCCACCGGTAGTATCAGGGGGCGCGACGTCTTGGCACGCTTCCGCAATTCGACAGAATGTCTCCTTGAGCTGAATACATCTACAGCTTGACTTATGATTACTGTACACTTTCAGGCTTTAGCGAACAAGTCTATTAAGATCTAGATACCCCTAGGTCAGACTTTACCTACCTTAGCTAAGCATACGACTTCCAACCCCCTTTTCTGTTTGCTCTAGACAAACTCCCTACTATAATTCGAAGAGACCTGAATTAGCCTACGAGTAATAGTAAGTTCTTTCTCTAACTCTTCCTATTCCGAGCAAACGGCAAAGATACCTCTTTAGATTGTTTGTTAACCTTAGGATAGATATATATACTAACATATCCCCTAGTCCTAATATTATCTACTTACCAACAACAGATACTACTATATACAATATTCAACACTACAGATTATACCTTCTTACTGCCAACGACAAAAACCTATTAGATTTGGCGTATTCTTCAAAATACTCTAGCTTCTACTAGTCTGTAGCTATTTGGCTACGTTAGGTATAAACAACTTATATAAGTAAAGAGAAGCTATAATCAACTATTATCTCTCTCTGCAGTCAAGACTTATGATGGCTTCGTTGCGGTAAGTTTAAATGCAACTCCTACCCGTATTATATTCTAACAAATATCTAGTTTTGGACTTCTAGCGAGCTTTGATCAAGATGGGCCAATAAGAAAGCCTATTTTTTGTGTTCGTCGAGAAGAAGCTACTCACTGCAGTTCGCAGTAATGGGTACTAGACATCTTCTCTTGGTGCTTGCCCTCTTTGCTCTTGTGCGAGAAGTGCTGACGAATATATATATATATAGGTACTATCTAGTCTTCTTGGCTATCTCAGCGACGACAGTCTTCTATCCACACAACAATTCCTCGAATGCAAGTGGCGCGGTCTGTAAAGAAGACTACGGAAGAGATACGGGAAAGATGAACAGCCATCTGTAAGGTGCGCTGTTTCTGTCGCTGCATCTCTGCCGTCCGCACTTCCAACTACTCCTTCGACGCTGGACTCTTCCTTGGAGATTTTCTCGGCTTAGAAGGGCCAGGTTCACCATCATCCATTTCCTCATCCTCTCCAATCTTCGACTTCTCTGATTCCTTCTTCCCCCTCCGGCTCTTGGCCGGCAGAATCTTCCTTCCCGTAGGGCCTCCTTCCTCCTCCTCCTTCTTCTTCTTCTCCTTCTCCTCTGCCGCCTCTCGCGTCCGCTTCCTCCGAGCTTCAGTTCTAGCCGCTAGAGCTGCATGCGCGCCTGGAGCAACTTGCGTGGCCACCGGTCGCTCTCTACGAGGACTTTCCGGCGACTTTGGAGCATCCATAAAAACTTGCAAGTACCTCAGTCCTGGTGGTATGTGAACCGTCATTCCCACGCCCCCTGGGGCATTGGAATTCTCGAACGGATTCTCCGGTCCTAGTTCCCTCTCTGGAGCTGATGTTGCGTTGGTAGAAAGTACTCTGCCTTGCATAGCTTGGATCGCTTCCTCGACATCCGCTCTGTCACTTTCCAAAACTCGAATTATGTCGCCATTTGGAGCGAACATTTCGACATATCTGGCCGTCTCGTTCGGAGCAGCACTGCGCCGAGCTGAGTTTGGCGAGTCTTGACTCTTTTTCTTCGGCGGCGTGGTGTATGACATTTTGGGGGGATTCATTGCTTCGAGATCGCGTTTAGAGTGTCCAACGGGTAGGTAGCGCGGACTTTGTGGAGGTTTTTCTGGTAAAGTGGAATATTCGGGGGAATTGGTGTGCAATTAATGCGTGGCCGCCGCTGTCTGAATCCGGAGAGCATGATGTGTAACAATGGAATCGCTGCATGCGGTCAATTTCGATCTTGGAGTCTGTTGGGGGGATGAAGTCGGACAATGGAGAGAATTAGATAAGCTGAACGAACAAAGAAGATGTTGACGGGAGCGGGAGGCTTCACAAATCTTGAGTGCGTGCGATGCTCGCCTAGGTGAGAGAAAGATGGATGGTAAGGCGGAGATGTACTTTACTGCTGTTGCCTGTCACAGCGCTGAATGAACAGGTACTGTCCTATGTGTATCATCCCTCCGGTATGACAACTGCCTGCCTGCGCTTTCAGACAAGCGAAATCACTGGACGGCTATTCTAGTAACTCTGACCGAACAATAATTCGCAATTAGGCGACAATGTACGGATTTGAGTGTGTAGTAGCCCAGATAGGGGTGAAGCACCAGCTTGATTACCGTTGCTGACTACGAGCTGCGCATAAGGTTGCTAGGGCGACTCAAGCTGCTCAAAGACTATCACCGCAGTTGAAGAGCGGCGACTAAGAGAGGCTAGGAAGAGTAATATAGCTGGCGTGTGCTCTACTACTCTTTTACCTCTTACACTACACACTATACACATACTACCTTTCTCCTAACACTGCCTAATCACTTATCTTCTACTACTAGATTCAACTGTCAAGATAGACTTCATTCTTCAGGAACTGTACTAGACCCGCCAGCAGAAGCGTAGAGCGATTATCGCAAGACAGGAGAGCCTTCTTACTGTAGCCGTACAGTACGGGGACAAAAGCTCACTTCCTAACACTTCTACCTACAAGGGCATTACCGATCGCTAGGGCTAGACGTTCGATTTTTTCTTGAGACTTCTATCTGCTTGATAGTGACTCTGTACGCAACGCAACTCTGCGTTTTTCATGATCTGTTGTCCCGGTAACTTGGTCTAAGGTAGCTAGATAGGAAGAACCTCCTCGCTGGAGGTCGCTTTGACTAGTGCAGAATACTCTATTGTCTTCAAGGAGGCGCGGTCTACGAGTGTTACGTTGCGGTTGAAATTCTGGAGTCTGTTGGTAGTTCTTAGGGGGAAAGCTTGTTCAAGATATCAGGTAGCAGCGCAATTAGAGAAACATGTCCAAGAGTTAAGGAAATCGACGGTATAGGCTTAAAGAGAGAGATCTGACGGTAAAGAGTCTATATCTTCTAGAGTACGTACTTTGCGGTAGGACAATAAGCTAGTCACTAGAAGAGGGGAAAATTCTATACTAGGTAGGATAAAGGAGTATCTAGTATATCGAGTATTCGAACCTACGATCTAAACAAGAAAAGCTAAAGTCTATCTAGGGGCAGACACTCGATATAAAAAGTACTAGGCAAGTCGAGTATTCGAACCCGCGACCTAGGCAATAAAAGAACTATTTCGATATCGAGGATTCGAACCTAGATACGACCTAGATAGCAAAATAAAAAAGATATTTCGATATCGAGGATTCGAACCCTTAACCTTGAGTAGCAAAAACCAATTTTCATTGGGGAACTGCCTCTCGCGATAATCAAGGTGCCTACCTGATCGGTCATTGAGGTCGTTCATTAACGAGGACGAAAGAAACGTGAGACGTACCTTTTCCACACCGACCACCTATTGGTGGTCGGTGAGTAAGCACCCTGGTCGATTGTATATATATTGTAGATGTAGAGGAGAGTCCGTTTAGGGTGGTGGGAGGTGACTTGACCGTCAGCGAGTCGGGTTTCAACATGAACTGACCGTCGGATTTACCGCATGTTACGTCTGTGTGGGCTTTACTTATGGATGCAATAGGGAGGATTTACTGCTACTGCCTGCGCTTGATAGTTCTTCATCTTCTGACGGGTTGAGCGCTGAAGATAGCCGTCCCGTTTACGGTTGCTAGGCGAGATGGAGGTGTCTTAACTTCGAGCAAGACAACTGGTATTGACGCCGGGATAGACACGAAGCGCACGACCACACGCCGGCGACCGTACGATCACTTTCATCTACCGACTCCCCTGTTGAGAGGCTGCTCCTAGTGCGTCCATCTTGAGGAAGACGTCCTTGCGACGCGACGAGGAGACGACGGTTGGGGACACCACATACAATTTTCTGCCACCACCACCCCAGGACCACCCACAAAACACTCGCCTCATCCGTATCTGGAGCTCGAGAGACACTGAATGCGCCAGTTTCCGCAGTCCGCGAACCGTCCAAAGACCCAGCACGGCGCGACCTCAAAGGCCGCTTCACCTCAACGTGAACGGTGACCATCCTTCTACACTCATCTGCTAAGCGCACAACAGACGCATCTACTGATTTTTTGTGGCAGCTAGACTGCGCAGGACGCATGAGCGTTCTTTCGCTCCAACACGCCGATTCCTAGCTATTCGATGGCTCGATCGCGCAGTACCACTCGAACCACTCGACGAGGTTGACTCCAGATCTGACGGTATTTCCGCGACGCAACCTCTACATGGCCTGAGCGCAGGCGGAATTGGCGTCTGGATGATGGACCTGGTGGACGCGATACAAGTCAGCTGTACTTGAAGCTAGATCTGAAAAACGAACGAACACACCATCTCTTCGCTGTAGGCAACAAGCGCAGGAGGGAGAGGGGTGGACGATCCCCCCTTTCAAGGTCCACCACAGCGTCTGAAAGCACGGGCTAGATTCGGCAAGAGATGGCGTGTCTACATCGTCAACCAGCGAAGAGGGACACAAAAACCACAACAGGACTTTGTAGCGGAAATGGATCCTTTGAATAGGTCGCCGCAGTAAACAGTCATCAAAACTCGCCAACCAGGGAGTCTTGAGCCGCAAAATCAGTACAAATCTGTCACTTTGTTAGCAACGGTCAGATGTCAGGACATTCGTTTAAGCTATAGTACACTCAAACTTTCCGACAACCAACCAAGTAGTACGGGACCAGCTGTAGTCAAGCTTTTGAAGCTATATACTTTTACGCAAGAGCTAGCTGGAAAATCTCCTATTTTGGGTCAAGGGGCTTTCATCGTTCACTTGGCGCCGCGACACATTACGCGCGAGGAAATCCAGGGACGTTTTCTTTTAGCACTGGAGCGGTATACATATCAGTTTTCCGTCAGTAAGTGGAACATCAGTAGACAGAAATTTCATGAACGAAAGACATTTCTCAAAATAATACATGGTCTTTTTCCAGCAGTCCGGCTGCTTGATGCATTACATTACCATACCAAACCTGGACAGGAACAGAACGAAAGATAGCTCGTTCCGACAATAATTTCCACAAAGGACATTTCCTCGTCCGTCCCAGTCTCGCGGGTATACTCAAATGGTATTGCCCCATCGACTTCACCATTGAGTTGCTTTCCATGTGTTGAGTACGATGCTGATAAAACTTCAAAATATCACACTGTACTAGTCCACCCAAAAATGCTACGACCTCCTTTTAGCAAACCGTAATTCTACAAATCCATTATCTCCTCTAAATCCAACCCCACAAGCATATATCTCCTACACTCAATCTACTCCCGCACCAACATTATCAACATCTCCCGCCATCCAACTCCCTTGAGAGATTTACCCCCCCCCCCCCCCCTTCCAGGACCCGTCTCAACCCCTCTTACGAGCAAACAAACCACATCTACCTTACCTCCTAACACCATCATCTCTTTGTCTCCCGCCCACCACAATACCAAGCCCACCAACTCCACTCCATCCCAACCCTCCATTCTCACCCCCATCATCATTCCCAGCCTCAATCCACCTCAACCCCAAATCTTCTTCTTCTTCTTCCCCAACAACGGCCAGCTCCCTCAACTCAACTGCCACAGTCGTCCTCCAAAAAAAACAAAATGTCCCTCGAACTCATCCTCTTCGCAATCGCACTCGCGCTACTGCATGTCCATCTCGTCGTTAAGCAAGAGGAACGTAAACGTCAACTTCAACGCAGACGCGGTGGGGAAGGTGGGGAAGAATGAGATTGGATTTTTGCGGTTTTGGTGGAAGGGGTGGATGGATGGATGTGACACAGAGGGAGGCTGTTGGGGATATGACTTTTTTCTTGGAGCTGGGTGCTTATACGCTGTCGTTTATCTCGAGAGGCCGATTTTGGGCGAGATTTGGGAAGGTGGGGATAGTTGGGCTGGGTTGAATTATTGTTGATTTGAGCAGATGCAAGTTAAAAGAAGAAAAAAAGGAATACTAGGGGAGTGGATGTGATGATAAAAGTTTTCATTTTTTCTTTTCCCGAATACAATACCTATATACTCAGTATAGCAGCGAAAGTTGTCATTCAAAAAGGGGTATTGCAATTGCGTCGTCAAAGACATTAAAAAATTTCATTTCTTCGTGGTTTCCTTCTTCGTCGATTCGATTGGGGGTACTTCGCTGCATGCATGCTGTGTAGTATGCTTTTTTCTTTTGTGTTGATTGAATACTACCTACTTTCTTCGTTCGTAGTCTCCCTCCCCCACCCCCTTTGACTCTCTCTTCTTCGCCTGGCGGGACTTCAATCTTCTTGGCCCTCACATCTACAGCATGAGGGCGGCAGCAGCAATGCCAATCACACCGGCAGCGGAGCCAGCAAAGGCAAAGTTGGTCGCCATTGCTCCCGAGTCAGAGTTTGTAGTCGTGACGCTGTTTCCGCTGGAATCGGTCGTGGTGGCAACAGTGTTGCCAGTAGCTTGTGCGACTTTGATGCCATACGAGGTGCTCACGGATGTGATCTGGCTTCCAGCACTGTCCGTGATGGTGAGGGTGGTGGTAGCCGTAGCAGTGGTCGAGGCTGTGCAAGCGGACCAACTTGTCCAAGGAGGAGCTGAGCCCCATGAGTTCTCTGTCCAGCCTGTGGTGTTCACGTTAGCGATGCTGCTGTGATTTGCGAGACGGTGATGACTTACCTGACCAAGTACTTGCTGGACAAGCCTGAGTTCCCCACCACTTCGTCCATGGTCCGTTCGTCCAAGAACCAGTGCTGTCCAGAGGTCCGCGGCCCCAGCCATTACCATGTCCGAAAGGTCCTGCAGCGCCTGGTCCTCCGTGCCAGCCACCCGGTCCACCGCCAAAGCCCCAGCCAGGATTCGTCGTCCACGCACCAGGCCAGTTGCCGGAGAAGCCTCCGCTCTTCCAGACGCCGGCGGCAGAAGTCAAGTCGCTAGGCAGGGGATGGGCAGAAGTGATACTGTCCCACTCTGCGCTGTCGGTCGGCATGGCTGTCAGGGAAGCGGCGCTGGTCCACGATGCAAAATCCGAGTATGCGGAAGTGGGCCATATGCCTCCCATACCTCCATGTGCAGAGGCCCAGGAAGACCACGCAGAAGTGGCTGTGGGGAGGCCGTTTTCACTTGCCCAGCTAGACCATTCTGCAGAGTTGGTCGCTCCAGGCAGGCCAGAGACGCCATTGTCGCTGGTCCATTGCGACCAGTCTCCATATCCCGGTGGTCCTCCCTCTCCTCCTCCTCCGCCGCCGCCGCCGCCGGGGCGCTGAGGCGAGGCGAGGACAACGGGCAAGAGGCCGGCTGCGGTGAGAGTGAAGGTATTGTACTTCATGATTGCTGAGCTGTGAATGAGGAATTTCTGGGGCTGCAAGAATATTTCCAAGGGCAGGAGACCTGATATAAGTGGGAAAAACTTCTACGGCTGACATGCCGTGCATCAGACTTGGGTTACTGTGCTACAACAGCTGTAACATGCCAGCTGCGTCTTTCGGAGAATACGCGTCATGCCGGCAGAGGCACGAACGCGTAGACCTGTCATCCTGGCTGGTGGCCTATAACTGAGGAGGATTGACTAGGCAGTGAGCAGGCTGAGGGGAGACTGCTCCTATAAAAATAGGAGATAATAGTGGGAGGAAAAGGAGGAGCTGAAGTTTGGCCAAGTGAATTGCGCTGTTGCGGGGAGCCGAGAGTGCCAAGGAAGAGGTCGACATTGAAGAATAGGTCGATGATTAAGCTAACACGGACAGCAATGACGGCATAGCATGGGTTGAGTGAATCCAAGTGAATATCATGTGTTGACCAGGATAAAAGATGTGATCTTCACTTGGATATCTTGCTTGTTGTCTTTTCCTCCACGAAGGCAGCAAAATAGTTAGTGGTAATACTATTATTGTATACAGAGACATCCTCAGGCACCCACAACGTCTGCCTTCCGTCCCATCCTTTCTTTCTTTCCCCTTTCTCAGCCTCCTCTTCCTCCTTTGTCCTCCTTGATCCGCCCACAAATCATCACTCATCAAAGCACCATCAGCAGAAAATATGCAGAGACGCGAACTCCTTCTCACCTCAGCCTGCATCCATCATTTCCATGTGTCATGCTCCGCCTCCACGACTCCATTGATGATTAATCCCACGCATGCATGAAATTCCCAGCTTGCATGTCTCCTTCTCTAGGGAGCTGTACACGAGCATGTACTATCAGTAACATCATCCATGGCACAAGCCTTGTTGACCATCTTTGCTTTTAGATCGTGTCGAACGGACATCGAGGATTAAATGTTTGCGGTATGAACTTGACCGACCAGGCATTGCTAGGAGGAGGCATTCAAATATGTTCTGAAAAGTAGAAGAATATTCCCAAGCCCTAATCACTACAGAGTGCCTCGTAGCCCTTCGATCAGCAGCAACTCCAGATGGCAAACCAGTCTGAATCAGTCAGATCCTATGCCCGCCACCCTCAACATTAACCAAATCATCTCGTCACCACGTGTCGTATCAAAGACAGATTCACTTTCTTCCCCAGCATCCGTGAAAGCGTCCGGAGGCGTTTTCACTCTCCTATACAAAACCCTCCCTTCCATCGAATATCATTTGCCTGTCTACCTCACCTTACAACTTCACATCAAATCCCCAACCTACCTCCAAACCAAAGCTTCCCAAGCCAAAAAGACACTCCTGCATCCAACCCACCACTCCCAACAAAGAAACTCCAGACTTCTTCATCTCCGAGAAAAAAAAAGAAGAGAGAAAGAAAAAAGAAAGAAATGGAATACGACCGCGCCTTCGACGGAGGCCCTCCCAGTCGGGGCTTCAACATGCGTACTGGTTGGTCCGGAACCAATCGTGGAGGTTATGGATTTCCCTATCAGACTTCTGCGCAATTTTTTAATTCTTTGAATGGTTTGCAACAACAGCAACAACAACGACGACAGTATCAGCAGCAATTGCAGTATCAACAGCAGTATCAACAACAGTTGCAGCAAAGACAGCAGGAGTATCAACAACAGTTGCAGCAGCAGTATCAGCAACAGTATCAACAACAGTTGCAGCAACAACAGCAAAGACAGCAGCAACAAACCTACGGCTATCCCCAACAATCTTCATCATACGGCTACTATGGAGGCAATAATAATAACAACAGTATTCCAGGATACATGTCCTCATGGGGCAAACCTTCCAATAGAGGATACTCGTATGGGATGTTTTGGTGAAAGGAAAAAAAGGAAAAGAAATTCCTCAGGTACGGTACGGTACACATTGATACCTATTTTTTATCTTTTGTATATACGGAGAAAAAGAAATATCAGCAAGGAGGCGGTCGTGATATATTTCGTGTTGTCTCCATGGATTTATTTCTCTTTTTGCATAAGGTATGTAGGTAGGTAGTCAAGGTACATTCACGAAAGATATAACAAAAAAAGTCAAGTTCCCTCCTCGTAATACGCCCTAGCGCCTGCGCTGAATTGAAAAACCCCCCCCCCCCCCCCCCCCCCCCCCCACGGAGAAGGGTGTTGTTTGCGTCCTTCTCGGTCGTCCAAGATCGAACTCCCGTTTGGACGAAGACAAGGCAGGGCAGGCATGAGGGCCTCTCTCTCTCTCCTGTCCTGTCTCTTAGGTATCCACAATCATCATCACCATCATCATCATCCATTATAATTCTTTTCTCTCATAACATTATCATTCACATCATTAAGCCACCTAGACAACAGACAGCAGCTCTTACACGTCCAAACCCTTAGAGACATCACTCGCCTGACTAGCCGCCGAGCCCTGTCGGCTTCTTCCCACAGGGCTATCCGGATCGTCAAATGGGTCTCCCGTACTTCCGCGCGGGCTGTCGCTATGATGTGTTCCACCACGGTGGAGGATCATGGTGGGACTGCCAATGGACATGCGCGCGGCACGGGCGGAATGAATGGAAGCGTTGTCTGAGTAGACGTCGCTGTTGATACTCGGCGATGTGCCGGGTCGATGTTGCTCGTGCAAGGAGGGGCTGGGCGAGAGAAAGCGCGGAAGCAAGGGCGAGACGGGCGGGATGGGCGCCAGCATGGTGGTGGTGGTGGTGGTGGTGGTGGTGGTGGGATGGTGATGTGGGATTTGGAGTGGGGTCATCTTTTGCGGTCGCAAGTCGGTCAGGCGTCGTGATAGGCGGCGCGAAGAAGGCGCTGCGGTATGGGTCATATCGAAGGGATATGGAGGAGGCTCGTCGTCTTGCAACGAGCTACTCCGAGACGAAGTGTCCAGCCCCGTCATGTAGCTGTTGTTGTAGTGCGATGTGACTTCAAGTCGGATGGGTTGCTGCTGTTGCTGCTGCTGCTGCTGCTGCTGCTGCGAAGAGGCGCTACTTCTCCTGCTGCCGCCCCATTTCTCTCGGAGGCCGAAGATGGCTCCCGATCCTTGGTTGTTGTTGGTTTTATTGTTGCTGCTAATGCCGCTGCTGTCATCTGGGCGAGCATGCTGTGGTCGCGATCCATCTCTCTCTCTTCTGCGGCGGCAGACGAGGACGGCGAGCAGAACGACTAGCGCAGCCACGGCAATCGGTACCACGATTACTGCCACTAGCTGTCCCGTAGACAGTTCTCCACCACCGTTATTGTCATTAGCATTCCCCGAATTCTGTGCAGTTGACAACGATGTCTCGGTAGGACCGGGTAGGGAGGTTTGCTGCTGTCCATACGCCGTTAGGGTCGAACTCGACGTCGGTCTCGTTGTAGTCATCCCCAGGCCCGTAGAGGAGGAGGAGTAGTAGTAGGACGTCGTAAAGCTGTCTGCTGTACTGCTAGCTATCCCAAACACATTGTCCGAGCCCATAGTGGCCGTGAAGAAGGCGCCATTATCGCTGACAGGAGTCGTCGTATAGCTCACCACGCTCACAGTGCGGGTCGCTGTCGTCGACTCGGCCACATCTTGAGTACTCGACAAGATGCGAGACAAAAGTGCACTGAACTGTTCTTCGCTATCCGGACCGTCTCCTCTGTTGGGGTTGGTCACGCCCTGCGGACCGCGCTCGAACTTCCTGGCCATGTCTCAAACGATGGTCAACAATCACCTGGATTGGAGCTTGCAACGGGAAACGCACGTCTCACTGCCGTCTCCGTCATCAGGAGAGCCGACAGGAGGGCGGAAGAGGGTGGAAGAGGGGGAAGAGAGAGCGTGGGACGACGGTGAGGCGGACCTACGAGGCACGAACTCGGAAGCTCCGGAGAGTGGGGAGAGAGTGCATGGCATAGTGAAGTATCCTACTCCTGTCACCCTGTGCAGGCCATGCATGATGATGAGCATGGGCGGGCGAGCTACACGAGCACACTCCGGCTGGGATGATCATTGGCCGCTCGCCTACATGTACACACACTGACACTGCTAACACCTAAGAGCGTTGCAACTTGCTGCCAGGACCAGAACACATGGATCAACAGGTGAGTGAAGAAGAAGAAGAACAAAGACCGCCGTCCCCTTGGGAATTCACCATTGGAGCAATCAATCCGGCCTGCCCCATTATCGGCCTCTGCCCACTCTTCGCCCGCACCAGCAGCCAGCATCCTCTAGATGAACACATTCCTCCGCCCAAATGGCATAGCCATCATGACAGAGAGAGATAGATGTGCGATAGTGCCAGTGGTGTGAAGGCACTCATTCAATCTTATTATCTGATCAGCATGAAGCAACTCCTCACACCTTCACATGCTGCAAGGTACATACCAACTTTGATCGCACTGGACCTGAGATTTGCATCGCATACCTAGCTCAAAAGCTATCATCTGCATCACATGGCGCCTCCGAGATCCAGTTGGCGTTTTCGCCGCCAGATCCATAGAAGCACCAGGCCACATACTTGCACTGATTGGATGTCTCCTGGCACTTCTTGGTGAATTCCTCCGTAGCAGCCTTGAGGTCGTTTTGAAAATCGTAGTTGAAGCACTATTGATGATTCAGTCAGTCAGTCAATCCGTCAAAACACCCTTCTTGCTACTGCTCCATTCTTCGTCTTCATCTGATGATGATGATGGGGAGAAAGAAAAAAAAAGCTGATAGAATTTACTTACAGCACCCACGAGATTCAGCCCTACCCGACCGGATTCGAATACAGCAAAATCGCCATTTGGATACTGCCTGCAGACTGCTTGGGTCAAGGTGTCATCGGGGAAATGGTCCTTGTCAATACATTCACAGAAGGACTCGTCATCCGGGATATTCTGATCGCTCTGACGTCTGTCGAGTTGGTATGCCATTGCTGCAGTCGCCGCAGAGGCGAGGAAGAGAGCTTTGGACAGCAGCATTGTCGTTGTCGTTGTCGTTCTCGTTGTAAGAGGGAGAGAGTAGTTATTTTGAAACTAGGAATGGACGCTGAATGGAAAAAATCGAGACTCGGGTTTTATATCTGCTGATGACCACCTAGGGCATACATAAGATTTGATAATGTGGTGGAATGACTGGAAATTTTTGCCAGCATGGCTATTGCCTATTCGATTCCCTGCGCAGTTTTTTTAATTTGCACCAACAAAGCATACCATAAATAAAGCCGTGTCTAGACTCCCCCTAGAATTCGTGCGACAGTTGTTGGTAAAATCCTATTTCTGGCTTTTTGGCAAAGGCCCTGGGTTGTCAGATTATCCAAAAGGACACACAAGCACGCGATACTACCTAGAAGAGGAAAGGAAAGAGAAGAAGAAAACATGTACTCCTATATCGTCGATGGGATATCTTTGTAATGATACTGAGCACGAGGCTAAGAGGCATATAGGAAGTGAAACTTATAGTGAAAGCTCTTTTTGCAATAGTCAAAAGAAAAGAGTAGAACGTTCTTGTCCCTATCCGGTCAGTCTGTTTAGTTTAGCAAGGTCTTTTTAGGTAGGTACCTAGCGAAATTGGAAGGACTCAATAAAACTTATTAACCTTGTAGCTGTAAGGTATGTCTATATTTCGCTTTTCGCGGCTACGGGCTATCTTCCTCCTTTTCTTATTCTTTTCGAGAATCAATTTTTCTTTTGATATGTTCGTTTCTACTCTTTCTCTCTCTCTCTTTCTCTCTCTTTTCCTTTTCCTCTCTCTCTCTTTCTAGAGATAAAATCTCCTTTCAAAATCTGCGAATTTCGACCTTTCTTTCGTCGAGAGTAGACTACATCGCAAACATTAATGTACTAGATACCTGTCTTGTAAGATAACTACGGCAATAATACCCTCTCGCAAGGCGTATACTAGGCTCGTCTTCTTCTATATCCGTTGGCTAGTTCTCGCGAATTCATTCGGCTTTTACGTCTCTCTCCGTCGGGAAGTGGAAGCCTAAGACCGATGTACTTCTCTAGGTACAATGCTTTCCTTAGTAGTAGTCTCCCGTGATGCTTCTCTTCATGTTGCCCTTGTCCTTGTTCTTGTCCACGTGGTAGAATTTGCGGTTGATGACGCCGAGTACATGTGACTGAATCTATCTTTGCCGGGCTGATGTATAGGGATCCCATTGTAGACGTGAAAAGACTGCAGTGCAACAACCAGCTCTGTAAAAACGGACCTTAGTCAGAAGGCCAAAGAGTCGACCGGATAGATACTACCCGGCTGGCACTACTCTCCAATTATACGACTGCAGTGAAATCAATCGACGGTTCTCTCCTCCTTTCTGGCTGCCCCCTTCTTGCAGAGGCTCCATTGGCGCTGGGCTCAGGCGCTGGGCTCAGGTGGAGGAGAAAGCTTGCATCGGACGAGGTGGCCGATGAATATACAGTCTTACCGTCCTGTATGCACTTCGGCGGCACTTCGGCCACCCTCTCGCTCTCACCCGTGACCCGATATTTTTCTTGGCTGATCCATCGAACCAGAGCCCTGCCTTCTCCGCAACACATCCTGGCCATTGGGACAAGCTTCGTGGAGGCCACGAGTTGGTTTCGTTTTTACACTCGGTAGCAGACTGTAGTAATATCGTAAGATATCGAACAATTTTACAGCTTCTTGTAACCCGACTCGAATCGATCGGATCCGCATACTCGGGCGATATAACCAGAAGCTGTACTACATCGGAGGAGGCACTATAGCTCTGGTGGAAAGTGAATCTGGTGTCCCTGCCAAGAACCCCGTATTCTTGGCGCTGTGATACCGGGCAAAAAGCTGGGGCGTGTTCGGTGGCGGTAAAGTGCTACTCCAGCCTCTCTCCCGCTAGCCTTCGTACCGCTAAAACCGACCAACCTCAATCCCTCCACATCCCGCTCGCTCACAATCTCTCCTTCTCTCCCCGCACGTTGTTTCTAGCGCGGCAGAGAATTACGTGCAAAAGACCGGGAAGACCGCAGATCAGTCGTGACAGGTGGGAGGGCATATAAATAAGAGGCTTCGGCCTTCTGTGTACATGTATCACGGGGGCTTGGCTGTAGACTGTGTTGTTCCTCGAGCACACGACGTGCTTACAGAGACCAATACCTCCATCATCATGCGTGGCTCCAACGGTATTGCCCTACTGGCTTCACTCACTAGCGTGGTGCTTGGCCAAAGCGGTATGTTGAATAATGCCAATTTCGACTACCTCACTTTCAAGTTTCTTGCCTAACATGCACGGCAGCAATCCAGGCCGATGGCACCAACTTCACCTTGACTGGTGATGGCGTCTCCTACCTGTTCCACGTCGATCACGAATCTGGTGATCTCGTTTCCGACCACTTTGGAGGGCCCACGACCGATTTCGTCCCCGCCGCACCAATCAGCACCCAAGGTTGGCACGATGGACTGGCCAATGTTCGGAGAGAGTTCCCAGATGTGGGCCGAAGTGATCTTCGTTTGCCGGCCATTCACATCAGGCACAGCGACTCCAGTACCGTGTCGGCATTTGCCTACCAGTCTCACGAAGTGATGGACGGCAAGCCACCACTTCCAGGTCTTCCGGCAACGTTTGGCAATGCCGAAGATGTCTCGACTGTGAAAGTGACAATGTACGACAATTACTCGGATGTTACTGCGGTGCTCTCCTACTCCATCTTCCCCCGCTACAATGCTATTGCAAGAAGCTTCCAGATCATGAACAATGGGTCGAACGACATTGTCATCGAACGTGCGGCATCGTTTAGCACTGACATGCCCAATCTTGATTTGGACATGATTGAATTGCAGGTAAGAAGCTTCATGGGAACAAGGTCGTGACACTCGGAAATACTTGCTTACCCCCCGTTGCTTTCAGGGAGACTGGTCGCATGAGATGAACAAGGTCATCCGCAAAGTCCAATACGGCGAGACTGGCTTCCGCAGTACAGAGGGATATTCTTCGCATACTCACAACCCTTTCTTCGCTCTCATGGAACCGACCACGACCGAGACATCCGGAGAGGTATGGGGCTTCAACCTGGTCTATACCGGAAGTTTCGCCGCAACGGTAGAGCGCTTCTCACACGGTTACGTCCGTGTTCTTCTCGGCCTCAACGAAATTCACAGCAGCTTGACTGTCGCGCCCGGTGAGACGTTCACATCGCCCGAAGCCGTTGCCGTCTACTCTTCGCAGGGTCTGGGTGGAATGAGCAGGAGCTTTCACAGCCTGTACCGCCACCACTTGTCCCGGTCGAACTACACGCTCCAGACTCGACCCGTTTTGCTGAATTCATGGGAGGGCTTGGGCTTCAACTATACCGCCTCGTCGTTAGAACGACTTGCAGGTGAAGCAGACGCTCTGGGAATCAAGCTCTTTGTGAATGATGATGGATGGTTCGGAACCGAGTATCCGCGCAACAATGACACTCTAGGTCTAGGTGACTGGACACCCAATCCCGCAAAGTTCCCTGAAGGTCTGGGTCCATACGTCGCAGCAGTGAACAATGTGTCGACGACAGGTCCCGACCCAGAGCCGTTGAAGTTTGGTCTCTGGCTCGAGCCGGAGATGGTCAATCCCAGTAAGTTCAAACATTATCCAGCCCTACTCCAGTCAGGATCTTGTGCCGAGACACTCACACATCTTTTACTCACACCCCCCTTTTTCCAGACTCGACTCTCTACCACGAGCACCCCGAATGGGTCATGAAATCCGGCCAACACGCCCAAACGCTCACGCGAAACCAACTGGTCCTCAACCTCGCCCTCCCCGAAGTCCAAGACTACATCATCCAATTCGTCTCTGAAATTCTCGACTCCGCCAACATCGAATACATCAAATGGGACAACAACCGCGCGATCCACGAAATGCCCCGCCCATCCACCTCACACTCCTACATCCTCGGCCTCTACCACATCATCGACATCCTCACCACCAAATACCCCCGCATCCTCTGGGAAGGCTGCGCCTCCGGCGGCGGCAGATTCGACGCCGGACTCCTACACTACTGGCCACAATCCTGGACATCCGACAACACAGACGGTTCGAATCGCCTCACCATCCAATTAGGAACATCTCTCGCCTACCCGCCTTCCGCAATGGGTTGCCACGTCTCCAAAGTCCCCAACGGACTCACTGGAAGAAACATTTCCATCGAATATCGCTCTCATGTCGCTCTCATGTGTGGTTCTTTCGGGTTTGAACTCAACCCTTCCGAACTCTCTCCGGAAGAAATCTCCGCCATCCCAGAAATCATGGCCCTCGCAGCTCGCATCAACCCCATCGTCATCAACGGTGATTTCTACCGTTTACGAACCCCCTCCCCTTCCTCCTCCTATTCCCCCTCATCATCAACATCCGACAACTGGCCCGCGGTCCAATTCCTCTCGGCGAACAAAACCACCGCGATTGTGTTCGCATTTCAACAATCCGCCATGATTAAACCTGCACCGCCTCCGTTGAAATTGCAGGGGTTGGAGGCGGAAGCGAGGTATTGGAATAGTGCGGATAATGGGACGTATTGGGGGAAAAGTTATATGTCTGCGGGGTTGAATTTGGATTGGGAGACGAGGGATTATCAGAGTGTGGTTTTGTGGTTGTATAAGGTGTAAAGGTGAGGGGGGAAAGGGGGGGAAAGGGGGGGGGATGTTTGTTTGTTTTGGACTCCGCTGGAATTGAGCTCGATCGATACTTTCGTGAGATCGAACGGGAGACATATATCTCTCTCTGATTGTGGAGATGATCGATGAGATAATATATCTAGGCTTGCTTCGCAGTATATAGCAAGCAATCCAAAAAGAAAAAAAGAAAAAGAAAGAAAAAAGAAATCTCATCCACTAAAAACCCTCCCTTTCCTCATCATCATCTTCCCACCACCCCCATCATAACCTCCAGGCCCCTTCTCCTCTCCCGGCCACTCCCCAACCCACTCCCCCAACTGCTTCAAAACCCTCTCCTGCACCTCCCTACACGCCTCATTAACCTCCCCATTCATCGTAATCAAATCCGACGTATGAAACCCGCCCGTCACAACCTCCACCGGAACATCCCCACTCCCCTTTAACGGGCCACCAGGTCTCAATTCCGCACTCACGCCACTTTCTCTCCAAGGGTCAAATTCACCATTCACATAAATTAATCTCTGCGTGGAAGTAATATTCCATCCGCCCGTGTACGCGTTGACGTGAGCTTCAGTGCGGCCCCGAGCGAGACCGTATGTGGAGCCGTTGGTGCCAGGAGGGAAGTATAATCCGCATTGCCGAATCCAGTAGTCGGCGGTGACGAGGCGGGAGACGATGGAGGGGCGGGAGGTGGGGGCGCCGTCTTGCCAGTAGCCGAAGGGTTCGTTGCAGGTCATCCAGACCCATTGTCGATCGATGGGGTTGCTGAGAGAGGTGTCGGTGTAGAGGGGTGAGCTGGCGTTGTAGGTGTCGAAGCAGGCGGTGTTTAAGGGACCTTGGAATTCGGGGTAGTCGTATGCGGAGCAGTAGTCTGGGAGCATTACTTCGGTCCACCATTTGGCGTAGCCGTTGAGTGCTTTTTGGAGGCCTACGCCTTCGGCGCCGGGGACGGTGAAGTTGAGAGATGTGACGTTGTAGGCGTTCTCGACATAGTCGCACCAGTCGAAGAATCCTGTACCTGTGTAGAATTGGTTGCCTGTGCGGAGGGTGAGCATTTCCGTAGTAGTATATCTTGTGGGCGGAGAGAAAACTTACCTTGCCACAACCAAGGCCCATTCTCCAGAGCTGCCATGAAATCGTCGTTGTGCTCCACATCCGCCATCTTGAACTTTGCCTTCAAGGCATGCTGTTCGGCGGCAGTTCCGTTCATGAAGACTAATAAGATGATGAGTACGCTGATCATGATGCAGACGAAAGCACGATACTACGCACCTCCGTCCATGTAGTCGATGACCTTTGAAACATCCTTGCTGCAGTTCTGTGACGCCGTCAGCCAGTCTATCAACATGATTTGGGCGAAGTTCCGAGTGCAATACGGACCTTTGGCATTCCCTCCTGCACAGGAAGGAAGTAACCCCAGTAGTCCGACACGGCCTGCACAGGAGCACTACTCGCGTGATAAGCCCACAGAGTGCCCGGATCAACACTTGCAGTCCACGCGGAGAGTGCGCCAGAGTAGCTTCCACCCATGGTGACCCATGGCACATCCTTTGCATTGCTCTTGGCATGTTTAGCAAAGGGAAGCTCGACCTTTTGTGCGAAATAGGTCAAGTCCTTGATGGAATTCTCCAGCGTGAGATACTGCATGTCGTCGGTGGTGAGTTCTGTCACAGGAGTACTAGTGCCCCAGTAACGATGCTCGAGGACAATGGTCGCGGCACCAATCTGCTGAGCAAGCAAGCCAGTGGTGCGGTTTGTCCCGAGATAGCTGTAATATCTGGTGGCATTAACTTCTCCTGGCGTGAAGAGAATCACAGGCGAGCCCGGGCCCTTCCAATAGGTGGTATCATAGTAGTAGAACTGGTCAAAAGTTCCTATGCACAATTAGACTGGACCATCCTTCCCCGACTACAGGTCCGTGCATACCGAGATCAGGATTGTTGTGATCGATGAGTTGCTTAAAGGTGGAATTGCTGTAATAGTCTTGTTGCATAGGCTTCTGGCCACCGGGCATATGTCGAGAGGTACCCCATCCTGCTAGTGATCAGACAATGCTCTTCTCAGCCAGCTCGATCCTGCTCACTCACCTCCATGGGGATAACCGCCATTCCAATCCCAAGGATTGTGGTCACTGTGAGCGGCAAGTTGGCTCTCAGCACACACAAGAGCCGCAGCAGCTGCACAAAACGCGAAGAAGCTCTTCATCCTTCCGACAAGCAGATGCTGATCCGGGCAAGCACGGCACTGCATGCACAAGCATGCTGGGCAAAGCTTTTGTATATGTCCATGGCGGCGAAAAAGTGCCGCTGCTTCTCATTAGAGAGCCGTAGTGCTGCTGCACTGCACATCTGCGGCTCAGCAGTAGTGACACTGCAGCGCAGCATCATGGTGGACTCGGAGCGAACATCTCCTGCCTTGTTGGTGCAAGGCTCGAGGCAGTGGAAGATCGCCGTCACGCATTATCTCTGCTTCGGGACGCAGATTAGTGTGTTCCACAACATGGCGAAGTATGCCACTGTGGTTCCTTTGAGGCAGCGCGCGGTCATTCAGATCAAGTCTGTAGTAACGTCCCGGATGCACCTCCATACACGTCCACGATAGAGTGATCGAACGAGACCGGCAAAGGCCCTGATCCCACAACGCTCGGTGGGAGGTCAAGATACGGTATGGCGGCTTTGCCTCCTCTAGTATCGTCCTTCTCGAACGAGATTGGCGCGGTGGAGAAGTTTGTGTCGATCACGTTTGAACTTCGCGGTATGCCGAGATGCGATATCGCCACGCGACCACGAGTGGGAGAGAGATGTTACGGTACCTCCTACTTGGTACTGTACCTCTAGCATAGCCAACCGCATCTTCGCATCACCGCTTCATGCAGCAAATCAAATGCGTGCGACTGGTGGCTGATATCGTGGTCGTGTGCGCAAAAATGGACCAAAAGTCCACTCTCGGCTTTAGTCATGATCTGATCAGCCATATCGCCGCCAATTCACCTGCGCTTTCACATGCGTGGCAAGTGAAGTCAAAATATATACCTATTCGAGAGAAAATCCAGCTATGTCGTAAAGGTATGTCGCTGACAGGTTCGGCTTGGCGGTCAGGGTCAGCGGAGCGGAGCGGAGCGGAGCTTCCTTTTCGTGCCAAGCCTTGCCCAAAGTTGCTTGAACTCAACTTCACCTTCCATGGGTCGTTACCAGAACACAACAACCAAAAAGACCGAAAATTAAAAAACTCCTGACCTCCTCTCCGAACTCTCGGGGAAAGAACATCGTGGCATCCCGACGACACAGCATATGAACTCTTTTTTTTCCAAATAGGTACCTTACTCCCTCTGACGCGTGACGAGAAAAGTCTGTAAGACAAACGCCATGTGCTGCTTTTTATGTAACATAGATCGTATTCGGGCAGCGCACAGGCACTTGGTCGTTTGTACGACGAGGAGGTAGCGGTTACTACCTATTTGATTAACGATACGATTTATAGCTATCTCGTACTTATCATGCTTATTGCAATAGCTAGAACATGATAGTTGTACCAAATACCTTACTCGTGCCCGATCTACGTACAACTTCGCAAGGTTAATACCGCTACCTATAGCCGGGCATATCTGTCGAGCCAAAAGAATTTAGTAGGTAAGGCAGACATGTTGCTTACGAGACAAATCATTCTCCCTCTCCCTCTCCTTCTCCTTCTCCTTCTCCTTCTCCTTTAATCAAGTGAGCCTTTTTCCTATATCAAGACAGCAAGACAAGGCAAGACAAGAAGATAATTTCGACAAGTGCGTGTCCTTAATAGGGTTCTCCCGCCTTTTATAATTTATGCTCCCGCCTTTTACAAATGCCTCCAAAATACTCTCATATACAATAAGCCCTTCTCGCCTCCCCCTCATCCTTCTTCTTCTTCTTCGTCACGCACCCCACAAACGACCAATCTCTGACGTTCAACCCCCCCTCCCCTCCCCTAATTATCATAACCATAACAGTTTCCCCCCTCCCCCTCAGACAAAAACAGTTCTTCTTGCCTATAAATCCGTAAATCCGTATAATCCCACCAGCCAGTAATAATTCCAGCATATGTAAATTAAAAAAAAAGGAAGGAATATATATAAGCTTCATTCCTCTTCATTATGGAATGCGCTACCTACCTACCTAGGTACTTGAATTGATATTAATCAATGACAACGACAATGATGACGAAATCAATATCAAAAAGGTGACACAATGTCTCTGTTGTTGGTGAAGAGAAGGAGAAGGAGAAGGGAGGTAAAAGAAAAAAGGGAAAAAAAAACAAGCGACCGAGAGTAGAATTGTTGCAAAAAAAACAAATCTTGTAAAGCAGAACCCGTTGAAGGACCGGTTGAGCCAGTCAAGCTAACCAGCCATCCATCCAGATTTCATTTCGAAAAGTCAAAGTCAAAGAAAAGGAAAGAAAAGAAAAAAAAAAGAGAAACTAAACCATCTCGACCAAAAGCATCCATCGTCACGACGACCAGATTCGGAAAAACAAAAAGGGTTCGCCCCATATCTGCTTTGTCCTTGTCTTGATCAACTTCAACTTCACTTCACTTTTGGACGACAATAACAATGAGAAGAACAAGAACATTTCCTTTGTTTCCGAGTAACTCGCACTCGCACTCCACTTTAGTCTACTTTCGTCTACTCCACTCTACTTACTTACCCAACCATCGATCAAAGATACGCCTCATAAGATATAGCTAGCTGACATAGCACTTCCTCCTTCATTCATTCACCTCTTTGAAGAGTGTATGAAATCGATGGATCCGGCGAAAAAGGGTCTTTGTATAGAGATGCAGATGCAGATTCAATGGTCTTTTCCTGCTGCTCTAGTAGGTAGTAAGTAGTAAGAGTTTACAGTAAGTCCGTCCAGTTCACTCACCTCAAATCAACTCGGTCAACCATTTCCCAATCAACCAATCAATCAATCTACGTCCACCATGTCCGTACACCCAGCAGCTTCTCACCCGCAACACCAACACCACCACCCCCTATTCTGGTTCACCTCCCTCTTCATCTTCCGCTACCTACGCCTCATCGTACACCTAATTTCCTTCTGGCTCTATCGTCCCGCTCGCATCCCCATCCATCCCAGCGTAACATCTCGCGATGTGACAGTAATTCTCCCGACCGTGGATCCCGAGAATCGCGACTTTCGAGAATGTATTCAATCGTGTTTGCGAAATCGCCCCGCGGAGATTCTGATTGTGACGGTGGGGAGAGAGATGAAGAGACTCTGTGAGAGAGTGGTGGACGAATATGCGACGGATGACAGTACCAGAGTTCGAGTGTTGCAGGCAGAAATGGCTAACAAACGACATCAGGTTGCCGTGGCGATTCCGCATGTGAGAACGGCAATTACGCTGCTGCTCGATGATCATGTCTTCTGGCCCTCGTCTCATTTTTTGCAGACCGTGTTGGCCCCGTTTGAGGACCCGGCCGTCGGTGCGGTGGGGATGAATAAGCGCGTGAGACGGACGGATGTGGGTTTCAATATTCGGTCGTTTTGGAATATGATTGGCGCCATTTATTTAGAACGACATAATTTCGAAACTCGCGCGACGAACACGGTCGATGGGGGCGTGTTCGTTATTTCGGGGAGGACGTCGTTGCATCGGACGGAAATCTTGCAGAATAAGGAGTTTTTGAGGGGGTTCAAGAATGAGATGTTTTTCTTTGGCTTGTGTGGACCGCTCAATCCCGATGATGATAATTACATTACGCGATTCGAGGTCCGTCAGGGCTGGAAGATTAAGATCCAGTATGGCCCCGATGCAGTCATCGAGACCACGCTGGGCACGTATCCCAAATTTCTGTCGCAGTGTCTGCGCTGGGTCCGGACGACATGGCGGTCGAATAGCTGCTCGCTGTTCACGGACCGTACGGTATGGTTTCGGCAGCCTTGGTACGTCAGCCTCTCGAGCAAGAAACATGATCACAATACTAACAGATTGCAACCATACCAGGTGCGTATACGCTGTATATATTACCTCATTCTTCAACTTCGCCCTCTTCAATGACCTCGGACTCGCCTACCTGCTCTGGGACTCTCCATACGGCTCCCGACAGAACTTGTATCTTCTCGCGGTGTGGATCCTCGCAACCAAAATGGTGAAGTTGTTTCCATATTTCCTTCGTCATCCCGAAGATTTGCGGATGTTGTTGGGATATTTCGTATTCGCCTACTTTCACTCTTTCGTCAAACTGTACGCGCTACTGACCTTTTGGAACTGTCATTGGGGTGGAAGGGACCTGAAGAGCCTCAACGAAGCTGCTGAAGTGCGGGAATCGAAGGGAAGTGGAAGCCGGAGCCGAAGCCGAGGAAGTGGTGCCGAATATGGTGGCAACGCGGGTGTCAGGCGCAGGGCCAGAAGTAGCAGACCGGGGAGTAGAGTGCGGTCTGAGAATTGACGCGAGCGATGGAAGCTCAATACGTGTATATACAGCGCGTAACTGGTATAGAGTCAATCAAGTAGATTGGTCTAACCGCACAAGAGGAAAGAGGCAAGAGGAAGGTCGGTCAAGATGGATTTCCCATTGCCGATGCCAAGGCTCTAACGTGTTTAATACCTCACCTACATGTAGCTCATTATCGTACACGCGTCACGAACAAGGGACGCGTTAAATGTTGGTCATCATTGAAACTTCCAGGTTGGAAAGTTGCGTTGCGAGTCATCATCATTATTCACGCTATGCAGTATATACGCACGTACCGTTCCAAAACGATAGGTAACATCAAAAGTCGGCAGAGCGAGCATGTGCGCATCAATACCATCCTTCCACTCCGACACGCTCCTTCTACGGTCGCGGTCGGATGTGAGCGATACTGTTGGCGCGAGACGCCGATGGGGTCCCTCTCGGAGTCTGGCGTGGAGTCACGCGGTTCTCTCCAAAGAAGCGCTGCGATTGGGAATATGATCGGCCATTCATACCGGGACGAGCACCAGACGCGGTACCTGCACATTGGTCAGCTTCGCTCGCCATATATGATCCCCTGGGACCGCACTCACTTCCGTTCCGGCCAGACTTCTCCACGTCCATTCCTCCCGCATTTCCCCCATCGTCGCCAGCCTTAGCAGACGCCAGTTTCTGCGCAAAGGGCGAGCGCTTCCGCAATACGGGTCCTTTCCAGTAGATGACATAGACTGCTGCCACGAGTAAGAACGAGATACAGAACAAGATGGTGTTGGAGTATTGCAGATTTCTGCCAGACGATGCACCAATGTTCGTGAAAAAGGGCGTGGCGGGAACGGTGAGGACACCAGCCAGGAAGTCTCGGGCCCAACCATTTCCACCCGTTGCAGAAGCCGAGTAGGGCCCATATGCACAAATCATGTAATCAATGGTGGCCATGTAGATGGCATAATTGGCAATGCCGATGATGGCGGCAAAAATCATCGATGCGATCCAGGGCAGGGGCGGGCCCTGAGTGGTCCAGGCGAAACCAATGAGTCCGATGGGCAAGCATGGTGCCAAGTACAGCAGCAGATCCAGTCTCGACTCGTACTGCGTTCTCTCGTCATCGGGGCGCGCCTGGCGTTGCTTGACGTTGCGCCTAATGGCGGGGATGAATAGGCCCCATGCAATCAGATAGCCGACTCCGATGGGAATGAAAGCCAGACCAATCTGCACGGTCGAGAATCCCCATTGCTTGTATACCAGCGAGAAGGACTGAATGAACATGAAGATGAGAGCGTCGGAGAAGCCCGAGAGCAGCGAGAGCACCAGGACAATGGGCTCGGTCAAGAACATCTTAAATGGACGAATCCAGGTGAGGAGCACCTCCTTGGCCGAGAATCTGTCACGGAAAGGCACCAGCTCGTCTGGCCCCCAGACATTGGCGCTGGGATCCTGCTTTCTCCGCTTCTTCGCAATGCGGTTCATCATAATGGTGGTTCGCGTTTCGGGGACCGTAGCAAAGTGTAGGAGTTGTACGGCGCCGCCTGTCAGATCCGTGAGCCCATGTATCCCATCTACAGTCAGAAAGTCTCACACACAACGTACCAAATATCAGCTGAATCCAAATGCTCCATCGCCAGCTCAGGTATGCTTCCGTAAAGCCACCCACGATGGGACCCAGGATGGAGCCACCCACAGATGAGAAGACCACAAAGGCCACGGCGTACTGCTGCGTATCCGACTCCCAGAGATCGGCAATCATACCCAGGGTGACGGAACCGCCGGCGGATGACAGACCTCCGAGAGTACGGCCGATCATGATGGTGGCGAAGTTGGGCGCAAGAGCCACGGGAAGTTGCCAGATGTTGACGAGGAATAGAGACAGCTGCAAGATAGGCCAGCGCCCAAATTCCTCGGACCAGGGGGCCCACAGCTCGCAGCCGAAGGCATACATGACCAAGAAGATCATGGCACCACATCTCGCGGCTTGAGCACTTACGCCAAACTCTTCGCTGATTCCGGGAATTGCGTTGGAGTAGAGCGAGGTGTTGAAGTTCATCGAGACCTGCACGATGAAGATGACAGTGAGGATGTACCATTTCTTGGCGGTCGGAAAGCAGAAGCCCAGCTCTTCATAACAATCGTCCTCGGTGAGTTCGTATTTGTCGTAGGTGCCAATTTGCTCGAGTTTCTCGCCGTTACCTTGTGTCGCGTTACTGGACCATGTCAGCAATGAAGGGGTCTGGTATGTGTAAATAGCAACAATAGCAGTGCCAAGCATGTCCTCACCTTGCCGCGATTTCATCTTCTGAAGTCTTATCCGAGTGGTGATCCTGGGCCAGCTTCTCGTTCGCGCGATCGAGGTCGGCCTGGTTCATGACCTGGGGCGGGTCCTCGGAGAAGTGGGTGCCTTTCGCCATGGCGGCGGCGGCGGCGACGTCGATGGGGAAGGTGGAGGAAGGGATGGGTGGGAGTGTATCGATGTGGTTTTATTGATACTGCGGCATTGACGGCGTGGTGGTGATGGTGGTGGTGGTGGTGGTGGATATCTTTGCTATCGTTGTTAAGGTATTGTTATTCGATGCAAACAACACATTGATGATGGAGCAGCAGCAGCAGCAGCAGCGAGGCTGATAGGATAGGCAAAGAACGCAGGAGCCATGTTGGCGGGTCGGCGGGTACATAAAGGAATGGAGGATGGAAGAGTACCTAGGTAGCGCCGACAGTGAGGGCAGAGGTCATCGGGTGCGGGCGAAGGATGGGATGACGCTGTTCAGTGCTGTAGGAAGGACCCACTTTGGGACCACATATCTCGGATCCATTGGAAGGTACCAATACCACCTAGAAGGTACAGTTACTCTTTAAGCCTGGAGGTAAGCCTTGGAGGACAGTATCCATTGCTTGCCATTGCTTGCCATTGCCGCCCAGCCCCACTCCGCTCCGCACCGCCCCGTCTTCCCTCTCCGCCCTCTCCGCCCTCTCCGCCTCGCTCTGTCTCTCCAGTTCCACAGCATTGCTTACCTCCTAGTTGGTACCTTACCTGGTAATGAAATGGATTTTATTCTCACCAGACACGTCTAATGCGCAATGCGCAGCTGTCAGTAAGTTACTCTCACAGGGCTACATTAGTGATACAGTAGTGCGTCGGGCTCTCACGAACGGGTGGCGTGGTGGGTCTTTCGCTTTCTTTCCTGCTTGTGCCTCCTACTATTGACCGGTACTTTAAACACTCACACGACTGGACGTGCATCTGCATCAAGCACGTCCCTACGCAACGCCGATCGCATCCCCATCGGTCGTCTTGCGAACTGGCCATTCCCTCCCGCCTCCAAGCCACTCCGCTCCCAAAGCTGGAGTCAGTGTGGGATACCCATGGGCGCCGGTGCACGTGAGAAGCCCGAGGCGGTTTCATCTGTCTCTCCTCTCCTTCAATATCAGATGCTGTATGGGACCACGGCAGCGATGGAGCGACGGAGCGATGTCACATGTCCGCCAAGAGAATGTCGGCTTCGGATGCCTATCGTGGTGTTGCCGTGAATCCGTGCCGTCAACCGTCTCGCCGTCCAAGCGCAAAAGTCGTTCAAGGATACGGGGAGTGGAGACTGAGGCGACGATGATTGTCACACCGCATTTTGCACATGACCTCTTCTTCTCCCTCCTCTCCCTCTCACACTCCTCCTCTTCTTCTTCTCTTATTCACCCTTTGTTGACATTGTCATCTTCCCCCTTGCTTCACTCTTCTCCCTCTCTCGAGTAGAGACACTTGTCCGTACATGTAGGGCCGAGGCGTCGCTGACCTCACCAACATGACACTTGAAACGGGCGTGGAAGATGAAGCATGGATGGAAGACGGAAGGGAAAGAGTCCAAGTCTCGCAATACGATATAGATCAAAGGCCTCCTTCTTCTTCTCAGTCATGCTAGGGAGCCAGACTCTCTATATATAATCAGAAAAGTACGGTATGCATGGCATGAACAGGTATGCCTGGCCAGAAAGCCGACCAGGAGCCATGTCCGGCCAATCTCGGCTTGCCCTTTCAACAAGTAACAACACGACAGATTGTGAAGTTTGAACAAGCCAGCTGTTTTTACCTGTGGCTGTGGGCAAGTACCTGTATTGACTGCTTCTAGAATGAGGAATGTGATTTCCTTCTGATTCTTGTGAGAGAGAGAGAGACAGAAAGAAAGAGAGAACGAGAGAGTACCTACCTACCTAGTTCTTGTTACTGCGCTGGTAGGTACCTGATGGACCAACAGCGGGTGTGCCTGTCCTGCTGCGATGCGCTCTCTCATCAAATCCCAATCCGCCGCAGTCTGCAGTTTTCTCGTGCTCGCCGTCTTCTTCTTGTGCTTTCACACCTCCCGCATCCAGCAGGAATACCAACGCCAAGACCGCTATCTCCGCATCAGCCTCGCAGAACAGTCTGAACAGAACCAGAGACTACAGGACGCCCTCCGACAGCAGCAGGCTGTCCTGGCTGCTCCCTCTCCTCCGGACGACCACAGCGGCTTCGCCTACGCCTTCTACGCTACCGCCGACAGCTATGCCTGTAGTGTGCTGGTCAACATCGAGAGGCTCCAATACCTGCACGCGCGATATCCCGTCCACATTCTCGCCTCTTCCGCCCTATCCCAACCCTATCTCGATGCCTTTGAAGCCCATGGCGCCGTCGTCCATATTGAGGAGCCGCCTCCTCTCCCGGCCAGCAGATCGGGATACTACGACGACTGCCTGTTGAAGCTGCTTTCCTTTAAGCTCCACCAATTGAGCCCCGGCTTGCAGCGTGTGCTGGTCTTTGACTCGGATCAGTTCATCATGCGAAACCTCGATGACCTCTTCACCGCTCTCCCCGCCGTGGATCTCGCCAGTCCACGAGCCTATTGGTTGGGAAAAGACGTCCTGGCCACGACATTCATGATGATCAGTCTCTCCGACCGGCTGTGGGACGCAGTGAGCGACGCTCTGTCCCACCTGGAAGAGGGCGATTTTGACATGGACGTCATTAACAAATTGCTCGGTGAGTGCATGTACATGTATATTCCCATGCCCATGCCCATGCGCAGCAGCTCATCCATCTTTCTTCTTTCTGTACCTAGGCGACCAAGTGATGATGTTGGGAGGCGAGTACGTCGCGCTGAATTCCCATTGGGAAGACTGGAATCTGCCCAAATGGTACCATCCCGAAAGCACACTGAACATGACCTCCATCGACCGCGTCAACGAGTTCGCCAGATCTCATCCGGGCGGCAGAAAAGCCAATCCTATGAAAAGCAGATTATCGTACTCGCAGCACAGACAGAGACCGAAAATCCACCCCGGAGCTGGAGCTGATACTTCTCCCTACAACCCACACCGAGCACAACAACCACGACTCCGAAAACAAGAACAACAAGAACAACAAGAACAACAAGAACAACAAGAACAACAAGAACAACAACAAGAACAACACCAACAACAACAACATCAACCACAACAACAACCACAAGAACAAGAACAATACCAACAAGAACATCAGCCACAACAACATCAACCACAAGAACAATACCAACAACAAGAACATCAACCACAAGAACAACACCAACAACAAGAACAACAACACCAACAACAACAGCAACAACAAGTTGAACAAGGAGACCAAAAACCTCGACAACAACAACAAAGACGCCAAGAAGCCCATCCCCCTTCTCCCCCCTCAACCTCCCCCTCAACCTCCCCCTCAACCTCCCTCTCAGCCTCCCTCTCAACTCCTCCAACTCCACAAACTCCCCTCCGATTCCCCCCACACCACCCCCTCACCCTCGAACTCCACAAACTCCAATCCTTCGCTGCCGTAATCCACTTCACGGCCGTAGGAAAACCCTGGACAGTCACCGATCAACTCCTGCAATCGACGCGTCCCGATGCCCATCCCGTGTTGGCGGAACAGTTTCACACGTGGAGGATGGCTGCCAAGAGGATGTGTCCGGGTTGGGGGTCCTGGGGGGTGAAGGAGATTGGGGAGGAGGATAGCGAGCAGGATGATGGGGGGGATGAGGATGATGAGGTGGGATTGGAGATGGGGAGGGGGGGGACGGTAGTAGGGAAGGGGGTCCAGGGAGGGATGGTAGTAGGGAAGGGGGTCAGGGGAGGGGAGCGGAGGGGAGAGGGAGGGTGACGGGCGATGAGTGATGGTTGATGGGGAATGAATGAAAGCGATGGGAGGAGATCTTTATTGTTCGGGAGGGATGGGATGGTGATTTGATTTTCCATTGGGGTTGGGTTGGGATACACATAGCATATGCATGCATACATGGGATTTTTTTTTCAATATATTAGAGGCACAACATGAATGAGCTGGTCTTTGCTTGTCTCTTGCGAGGTCCTGTTTGAGAAAAGGCTGTGTTTCCATTACTTTTGATTATTTTCTTCTTTTCCACTTCATCTTTTCGTTTTTTTTTTTTTCCTCTTGTTTCTCTTTTTCATCCTTTGTCCTTTTTTGAGGGAGTGAGAGGGGAAGTAGGTGGCCGGTCTCATCATCCATCAAGTACCTTACGGTATACACTTTGGCCATTGATCTCACTACACTACTAACTGCTACTACTGACTGCTAGTAGCTATTCAGGCACTTGTCATCAATCAACTACACCTCTTCGCATTCCTCCACTTTAATCTTACAATCCTCCTCTTCTTTACCCTCCTCTTCTTTCCCCTCCTCCTTTTTCACCTCCTCACAAGAATAAGAATAATAATCATAATCCTCTCCTTTCACTCCCCCTTCTTCTTGCTCCTCCTTCCCCCTTCTCTCCCCAAAAGTCCTCTCCATAAACCCCCTCACCGTCTCATCTGCCCGCATCTGCCTCGGCGCCGGAAGCGTCTGTACCGCCATCGTGTGCAACGACCTCGCTCGGGAAAGCGCTACATATGCATGTCCGGGCGCGAAGCATTGATCTAAATTTACTACGACTTGGTCTAGTGTCATGCCTTGGGATTTGTGGATGGTAATCGCCCAGCCGGCGATCAGCGGGATTTGGGTGCGGCTGAGGAGACTGTAGGGTGAGTCTTCGCCGAGTTCGGTTATGGAGCAGTGGGCGGGGATGACGCGTGTGAGATTGTTGGGGGAGAGGAATTTGACGATGGGATACCATTGGTGTGGGGATTGGGCGGCGCGGAATCTGCTCATCATGATTTGTTGGTGGGCGTGATGGGAGCCGGCGGGGGGGAAGGTTTGGTGGTGGTCTTCTTCTTCTTCTTCCTCTTGGGGTTTCTTCGTGGCGAGAGGGGATAGGGACGTTTCGTAACTGCGCATCGGCACAAAACCTATGATGGTGCCACTGCTGCCGTTTGCTAAACCTGCTGGGAGATCTAGGTTGGCGGTCAGGAGCACTTTCATGCCGGTTTTGAGTTCGAGCTCATGTGGATATCGATGGTCTTTTAATTGCTCAGACGCGTCCAGGTCGAGATATTCCGTGTGTCGCGGCTGTCGATCAAAGGCGTCGATACAACGATATTTGCGTGGGATGGCCTGGAGCTGATCCATGTGATATGCATTGATCGAGTCGACGACTTTGCGATGTGGCATGAGTTTGATCGCCGCGTCGTGGTCGAGATGCTCGTTGTAGTTGAGCAGTGCATTCTCTTCATCGTCTGTCAATTCCACGCCCAATCTGACGTTTCGCAGGATACGCGTGAAGACCGCATCGGCCTGCCGGTGTACATGCTTGAGCTCTACGTTGACCAGCTGCAAAGCTGCCCACGCAGGGCTCTGAAACGCCCACTTCTCCTCATCCTGCCGATCCCCATGTTGACACTGGAAGACACCATTGTGAAGCTTTTCACCTACAAGTCCGCATTCGAGACAACTACGGAAAGGTAGCACGGGTGGAAGCTGGTAAAAGTCGCCACATATGATCACCTGGACGCCTCCAAATGGTCGCGGCCCATGGGGTTCCCGCGAGGCAGACTCCATCATCGCAGACAGTCGGGTGAGCGTGTCACTCTCCACCATGCTGATCTCCTCGATGATCAAGACTTCGGTGTCATTGAATCGTTTCCAGATGCGAGTTCTATGGGCCTGATCGCGCAGGCAGGTGAGAGAACTCTGCGATAACTTGGCCGTCCATCCCGCGTACGTGTGGATTGTGGTACCATGAGCTGCGAGGGCTGCAATTCCCGTGGGTGCCACGATACGTACGTCGACTGTGCGGTCCTTGTGGTGGAAGAATGCTCTAGCGGCCTCGACAATCTTCGTCTTGCCTGTTCCTGCCGCGCCCGTGAAGAAGACATTATACCCTCGAGCTATCAATCCAAGAACATGGGCTTGCTCCGCCACCAGTCCATGTTCTTCCGCACAAATTCGAATCGCGTCTACAAGGTCTGGGCCAGAGATGCAAGTAGCACACAGGCGTTCGTTGTTGGCCTTGGGGCGTTTACCGCAAAATCGACACATGCTGCGATCTCTTTTCTCTTCTCTATGTTCAGGCGGAATGACCTGACCCGGGTCGGCCTTCACGGCCATGTCGACCGCGAGCAACCGGCACTTGCCACCGCAGCCATACTGGCAAGTCTGAAAAGTGTGATTCATATATGTGACCGCATCTCGAATGGCGTCTTCGGCATTTGCAGGTGTGAGTGCCGCTTTCTTGCTGCCTCGGGGAAAAGAGATGTACAAGCCATCACGGAAGCCCCTGACTTGCTGCTCAGCGCCGGGCCAGTCGAAGTAGAACCCAGGCTTGCGTCCCTGGAGTATGCAGTAGACTTTCTTTGCTGACGCCGGGATGTCTTTCACATTGAGGCTCCATGTCGGACGTCCAGTTGTGGTGTCGGAAGTACATGTACTTCCCAGCTCCAGATTGTTTGTCTCGCCTCTGAGATGACCGGGTGAGGTCAGACGCCTTACGACTTCAGGATTCCCAGTTTGTTCCGTGGAGACGGTGCCAACGACATCCACAAAATAGAAAGGATTGTTCTCGCCGTCGTCTCCTAAAGCTATGGCGTCGGGCCGTTTCTGAGGCTCATATGGCGTATATCGCGTATTCTGCTTAGGCAATGATGGTCCACCGATACAGCAGTAAGGCTGCTTGGAACTCATGGGATTTCGGTGTTGCTTCTCATGACTTCCCCTCTGCTAGAGTGTGGCTGGTACCTGTTGTATGCCGTCTGAAATGGTTCGTACTCATATCCAGGCACATTGATAAAGGTTGAGTACCAAGGTAGGTAATTTCAAGTGCAGGACTGCTATTCATCGGCTGGTTCAAATTTCTTGTCGGACTACAAACCAAAATCCCACAAACACCTGGCAGTACGGTAGGAGGTACCTTAGCCAGTAGGTAAATGCACTTTGCTGAGAGGATATTGATTGTTGAACTCTATTTCACGCCAAGCGGACTCACATGGCTGATCCCTGTTCACGTCGCGTCTCAGTGGGATCCGATAAGTCGCGTCGAGATGAATGTCCCACCTCTCTCTCCTCTTGTGAGGACTACCTGTATGTACCGGCGAGCGTAATGCCTCTGCCGTCGTCGTCGCCTCCATTGCTACCGCAGTCATCCTTTGCTGAACTGCCATCGTCTCCTCCTCTTCTGCCAACCACTCCCTCTTCGGCCACTCTGCCATGGATCCCCGCGACGCGAAAGCGACAACTCTCGGAACAGGACTGCCATATCTCGAGCGATCCATTATTCTCAGATGACACTTCCGGCACTGAGGATGCCAGCAGATATCAGCGACCAAAGCGAAAGCGTATGATCCGCGGTCCGTGGTGGGAGATTGCGAATAAGGAGGGACGCCGAGGGACACAGGACGTAGCGACGCCAAAGCAGAAGGACTTTTCCAGGAACGTTGACAGTGGTATCTGGATGGGAAGCGACGGAAGCGAGGACAGTACTGAGAGCACATCTTGCTACCCGGATAGCATGCGCCGATTGCATGTCACCGACCATTCGCGGAGTCTGCAGACACCCAGAGCTGCACCTCAGCAGTTCGTGCTACACCCTCTCTCTCTCTCTCTCTCCTCTCCACACCAGCGTTCGCAACTGACAGTGTTCCAGACCTACACCACAGAGTATAGCCGCCAGTATTGTGACTGGATGCGTGGAGAATGGAAAGCAGACTGTGGACCTATCAGACCTTGGACTCGTCGATATCCCCAGCTCGACGCTGAAGCCATTGCACGAGTTGATACGCCAGCCGCTTTTTGATGCATCGTTGCCCCCCTCCGACGACGAATTCGGTCCTCTAACACCAGACATACAACTATTTCTGGCCAGCAATGGACTGACTACACTGCCTGATGAGCTGTTTCAACTCGAGAATATTACTGTGCTGAGTCTGCGGAACAATGCACTGACTCAGCTTCCCTCCGACATTACCCAGCTTAAGAGATTAAAAGAATTGAACGTAGCGGGCAATGGTATCGAATACCTGCCCTGGGAACTGCTCGATATCCTACAGTCACGCCGCAGTCGACTCATTGTGCGACCTAATCCGATGCTTGAACCTATGAAGGACTTCAGCGAGAGCTCACCTTCGCCGCTAGCAACGCAGCCTCGGTCCAAGCAGGGTATCAAGTTACAGCACTGTCCTGATGCTCGAGTATGCATAGAAGATGCTCGGACGCAGTGTGCTGCGAACGGCAGTCTGGACATGCGGACTGAGCTGGAGCTTCGATTGCAGCTAGGCCATGCGCTTTGGGAGCAGCATCTTCAGATGACAACAGCAGTTCAGGACCAGGGCAAACGCCGGGACGAGTTGATATATCTCGCATCCTCTGCTATTCAGTACTACGATGTTGACGGCCGCCCGAACAGTCCTACATTGGCGGAACATGATGCTCTGTCTACTCGTGCACGTTTAGAACAGTGCGAAGCGACGCTATCTTCAACGCGAGTGCCATCACTGCTGGAGCTAGCACTGCGAGTCACACAACAACATTACGATCTGTCACATATACCGGACGATATGCCGTCAAGGGTTCACACCGTCCTTCAGATGGCCAAGACCAACGCCCACAACCAAGTATGCTCGACTTGCAACCGAAGCTGCATCATCACACGAGCACAGTGGTTCGAGTACTGGCATAGTGGTTCGTCTGCCAAAACCGAGCTTACGCATGAATCTGTGTTGCCTTTCATAAGGCGAGCATGCAGCTGGGCTTGCGCAGTGCCTACTGCAATAGGCACATTCAGGGCTTGATTATAATTGGCAACTTGTGTACACATAACCCGGGCACATTTGTAGAGCGATTAGATTCTTGAACTGCTAATACCATGCTTACATTGAAATTGCATGTTGCAGGGTACTTACCGAGCTCAATGATAGGAGGCTCCAGCCTTCCTATTTTCTCTTAATCGCACCTCCGGATACCACAAAACGACTGTTCTTTGACGATCTGGCGTTCGACTGATCGACTGTTGTAGCTGCGACGTTCATCAACCGACATTGCATCTCTCTGTCCTTGCATCGTGACTGAAATCAGAGCAGTCTAGGGGAGTCTCGAAATCTTGGGGAGCGCTCCGGCCCGCGGTACTGCAATTGAGTTTAACGCGGATGCGGATCCACTATCCGTCACGAAAATCACACGCGGCGCCGAGTCGACCTGACTTTTTGTTCACTTGCACCTCACCTTTGGCCCACTTCACTCGCCGCTACAATCACACGCCGCTATGAAGTTCACAGTACATGTGATGCCGCCGCCAAGGCATCGCCCGCCCGCGACGCCAGCGCGCAACCGACCTGTCTCCACCACGTCTCCATTTGGACCAGTAGCTCATACGGACAAGCCGTTAAAGACTATATCTATACCGATCGACCCGGAGCTCAATTTTGACGCGCTGTGGAAAGAGACGGAGCAGCGCTTTCGGAGGAACTGCGACAAGGACAAGATAGCCGGCATGTATGTCAGCCATTTGCAGGACCTTGAAGGTGGGACTATCTTCGTCACAGACAAGATTGGAAGCATGTATCCGAAAGACGGCCTTGCCACGGAACGGCAAATTTACATGTGCATGGAAGACGTGGATCGCGAAGGTACCATTCCGCCAGGCTCGGAAATGCGGCCACAGGGGTTTAAGAAGAGGCGCTGGGCGGATCTGGATGAAGCAGAGCAAGCAATCCTGAAGCGGCGGCGAGCGGAAGAAGAGCGATATGGTGCTACCATAAATGAACTTGATCCGGATACTCCTGTCATGTCACGTGAAGTAGGGAGCGAGGATCTGGCTGGAATGGATAGCACTCATTCTGCAGAGTCAACCGAGGGCGATCGTGTTGATGCAGATGGGTTCAAGATACCTGCGAAGCCTGCTAAGAGCTCTCAGAAACCAAGGCCACTTACTGTCTGCAAAAGCAACCCTGCAGTGCTTGTCTACAGCTCACAAGAAGATCTCCCCACTCCTGACTCCACCGACAGGCGCCTGGGCGGCAGTACGCCACCTTCTGCGCAGCGCTCCCCTCGGTCGCCCGACACTGACGAAATCATTGCTAGCTCGCAAGGACCCCGACACGCATTCGAGCTACTGAACAAGAAAATTCACGGCTCTTCTAAGAGGCAAGGCAGCAGTAGGAAGATCACTTGGTCGCCAGCCGAGGACGATATCCTCCGCCAGGGAATCAGAGAAAACTGGTGTTGTAAGGAAATCTCCGGAGCACTGTCAGGCCGTTCGGAGGGAGCTGTTCGAGCCCGAAAGAAGCTTCTCCTCGAGGCGAACAAGCTGCATCTGCGACCCCGCCACGCCAGTAAGAATAGTCAGACATTGGAACTCAGCTCAAGTCCCCCGATCGCATCTGGAAGTACTGTGCCTCAATCAAGTCCATGCGAAGCTGCTGCGCTCGCGGAGCATCAATCGCCAGGTACAGCACCCGGCCAAGGCCCCAAACAACAATCCGTTTGTAAAGGATCGATCGGCTGGATGAAGCTACCTTCTCTGCCAAAGCCCGTGAGAAATGTTTCGCCGCCTGTGTCTGAGCCGACCACCGAGCCTGCGAGTGAGTCAGTGATCGAACCTGTAGTCGAGCCGGCGATCAGGCCCCTGCCTGTGGCCGAGCGCTCCTTTGGACAGCCTGCAACTCCGCCAGAATCCCACACATCCGAAACGAGTACTGGAAAGCTGCGCGCACCCAGATGCACCCTCAGCGCAGCTGCACGCCTACGCGAATCGAGGGAACGTGTCAAAAACGCCCTGAAGAAGCCGCGAGTCCGTACAGGAGTTGAGCGTCAGACCGATCACGTAACGGAAGTACCTCCTATCGAAGTCAGCATATCTGAAGATTCTGAGATTCCACCGGATCTCCCAGCTGCATTGGACGCACCAGCGGACCACGAAGTTGCGGTCCTGCATGGTGATGCTGATCAAATTGCGGGCGGGGCGGAGCATTCCTGTGGAGCAGACGTATCGGAGGTGCCCAACGTGCCAGAAGGGCATGAAGTGCTCGAAAAAGCGCAAAAGCCCCCGATGCTTGAAAAGCATGCACAGGCTCCGCAAACGCCAGCTGTCCCACAGGTGACCAGAGTTGAGCTGAATCACCAAAAGCTCGATCAGGCCGTCCCGGAAATCACTTTGCCGCAGCGCAAGAAGAACCGTATATACCGCAATCTTTCCGACAAGCAACGTTGGAAGGACGCTTTGAATATCGCAAAAGGCGACAGGACCAGAGCCCAGCATATATTCGTTATCGAGCTTAACAAGGAAGATATGCTCGATGCAGTAGCATCAGACGACAAGGCAGAGATTGAGCGTCTCAAGGCCCAGCGCCGTCGCTTGGAGCGCGAGATGGCCGTTGCAAATGGTCTTTCTCCGCCCAAGAGGCGCGTGCCCAATTCGTTTTCTAGTATAGAGAGCTCCAAGATGACAAAAGAAGATGCAGACGAGGAGGTTATCAGGGATGACGACTGGACGACGGACGAGGAAGTGGCCTTGAAAGAAGACTACGAGGATTACGAGGAGGAGAAGGAGGACGTTGTCTCCTCTGATGGGGAGGAGTTTTGTGATGTTGAAGCGAAACTCGAAGGTCCACGAGTTATCGAGATGCCAGTCACACCATCCCCTCCGCCAGCTCCCGCCGAAAAGACGGAGGAGAAGCCCCCAAGACCAAATCCTGCTCCTTCTTCTGCGTCGGAAATGAGCGATAAGCGCAGGCGGAACCGCAGAAAATCACGCATCAGTGAGACGACGTCCCGCCATGATTCCTCTTCCACGGCTGCACCACCTGCTGCACCACCCGCTGCTGCTGCACCACCCGCTGCTGCTGCAGCTGCCGCACCCACCCCGGCACCTAAGCACCGATACCGCAACATTATCGATCCGCCCAAGAGACGTCTGACCAGAGAAGAGGCCGTGGCAGCTCACTTGGCGGAGTGTAAGCGGAGAGAAGAGATGTATCTGCACAACGGCGATGACGACGACGATGATGATTCAAGTTCGACCAGCTCGTCGTGATTCTTCATATATTATTATCATTACTATTATTATTACAAAGCACATTGTTCATTTCCTCGTTTCTTGGTACTACACTACTCTGCATACCTACCTTCTCAGACTATTCACCTCCCAGTCTCTCTAACTCCCCGTCTACACTTTGCGTTCTCGCCTCTATCGCTCCTGCGCGTCGGATCTACCTAAGATATCTTGATCAGTCTCCGTAACTACCTATACGCGAGACTCCTACCTTACCTGGTAGGTACCTAGTGGTTCAAACATTCTGCATCCACGGCCCTGATTTCATACTCTGCAGAAAGCCACCAATCATCATTTCACACTGCGGTTTTTTTTTTTTTGGCTCTTCATTCTGAACGAGATTCTCCTTCGTCAGCGTGTAACTGGTGGAAAGTGGCGGTTTGTTTTGTATCTGGCATATCGCGGTGGAAAGGGAAGAAAACGCTGCTGGGTAGTTGGCGTGCCTCTCTTCTTCTTCCCCTCTTTCTGCTGCTGCATGCCTTCCAGCTCGCGGACTCTGGTGGTTTGATTAAACTATTGGGAACTTCCAGGGTTCGTGGAGCCGATGTGAGGAATGGTGTCGATATACATGTACATCGCGACAGGGACGTTACAACGCCATTCGGTAGGGTGGGATCGAGCAAGGGACGGGATGTATGTTGCTGTTCCCGCCGTGTTGCAGGAGGTTAATCGGGGACCACGGGCGTGGTTGGAAGGGGCGACTGCTGCGACTTTCCCTTTAGCAGTCGGTCGCATTTCCACCAACATCAGACTGGGAACCACCGCTTCAGTCTGGTGTGCATTGGCTATACATGCCGGTACGAGAGCGCGCTGTTCTCTGCGACCACCTTGCGCTCTCATGGAAACGCGGTCTTGTTGGCCGGCATGTCGTCTTGCCAGAGGTCGACGTAATCTGTCTGACCATCCAGGAGTTTCCTAAAGTTCAAGCGTGTGCTCCAGCGGATATTCCTCGTATATGCAACTTCGTTGTAGCCCTCTCCATGGTCTTGGATTTCGCTGAAACTGGCCTTACTGCCTACTGGACGATGATGCTGGAAGATTTGCGGCTGCACAGTGAGACAATTGTGCATAGGTCGACCGGCAAGCCCGTCGCACATTTCTCTCATCATAATGTCCATGGCATCGTTCAGTTGCCTGATGCCGAGCTCGTAGAGGAATCGACGCGCTCCTCCTTGCGTGACGCCGTAAGCTAGAGAGCAGACATTCATGCGTGATCGATGTACAACACGTGTATGGTTGGGATATGCTCTAATGAGCTCTGCGCTGCCCCATTCCCGATCATAGTGCTGTGATTGCGGCACGGTCTCATCATTGAAAATGGTGACTCGACCTTGCCGAATGCCAGTCTGGCTTTGCGGAAACTCGGCACCACAGTGACCCAGCCAAAGCAAATCCCAGCGATCGATGTCTCCATAAGGCGATGTTGTTGGCTTCACAAGGGGTTCATCGTGTACGTCGAAAGTCCGATCCTCTTGCCCAGGCTGCACGAGCAGTCTAGAGGCTCTGGCGAAGTCCAGCATCTGGGCCTTCAGCCTGATGTCCCAGTCGATATCTCCCTCCAAAATTAGAGCGGATGTGATGTTCTGCTCAACAATGGTACGCAATACATTGATATGTGCTCGCCATGCTCCTACTAGTCCAACCATGTCTTTGTCGAAACGCGGACTATCCCCTCCTGGTGGGAGAGCCTTTGCGGAGACATTCGTTACACCATCCACGTAGGTCAACTTCAGACCGCCTGGTGTTAAGGCAGCCGCAAGGCTCATCGAGTCTCGGTGGTCGGTTCGAGATGGAAGGTTAATGACGAAGATTTTCTCAAACTACGACTTCTCAGTACAAGCTCCTGGGTATATTTTGGCAAGACTTACACCCAATGTTTGATTCGCCACATCTTCAAGACTGCTGTATCCATCCCGATGACTATGGATTGCGCTGCTGGGAAGAATGTCTGGGCTGCGAGAGATGCCCCGACCAGAGATCAAGAACGTGATTGTCAGCAAGCCAGCTATAACAAGGAGCACTCGCACGGGTACTGAGCGTATGTCCATGGTCTGTGAGAGGGAGAGAGAGGGAGAGAGGAAGAGAACGTTCCGCGCGCATCTTCTTGAGATGTCACTGAGGCCTATCGTCTTAACTTTTGCAGGCTTGATTGGAAATAGCCTGGCATACCGACCTCCAACAAGTGGAGCTGTAGGATTGGCCGGCGTATCGACGAGTGGACGACGAGATGCACGATCCATGCCAAGCTGTCACAAGCCTGATACCGAGCCGCCCGAAACCTTGCTGCCACGCTATACAACCACTGGACCTGGCCTCCTGCAGTTCAGCTTCATCAGATCTGTTCATCAGATCTGTGCATCAGACCTGTTCATCAGACCTGTGATCTCGTCAATGTAAGCGCCAGACTCCACAATCCTTCTGAATCCTTTGATATTCGCCTACACAGCGCACAACTGTCACGCAACGGGCGGCTGGACTTGTTGACGCTTCGATTGAAGCAGCGCCTCAAAAGAGGCTCCTGGAGCGCAGAGTTAGACTGTAGGTATTTTTTGCACATCGTTTCCATTCTTGGCTTCTCAACTACACCATGCTTTCATGTTCTTGTTGGGTGATCGCGTTCTTATTTCTTCTCAAATGCAGCGTACAAGCATCAGATCATAATGATAATATATTCATCACGCCTCCTGGACCAGGACCAACCCTGATCTATGCTGGCAATCCAATTTGGGCACTTGACAGCACTCAAACTATCAGCTGGATAACTAACCTTACCTCATATCGAATCGAGCTATGGCAACAAGGCATAGATCCAGGTTTTGGCTATAGCATCAGCAGAGTACACGGTTCGTGAACACATACTGATCCTCGTGTGTTACGATTCCCTGGCCTGACGCCTTTAACAGACTCTTCCGCAGCTGGCACTGGAGCTGGCTCACATTCTATATCCTGGGACGTCGACCTATACACCTCGAATCTGACTTTCTCGCCAGTCTACTTCTTTTGGCTGAATCCGAACACCCCAGAAGGATTCACTTCGCATTACTTCAACATCTCAGCAGATGCACCTTCAAGTGATACAGTTGTCACCAGCACGTCTGCGAATGGCGACAAAGTGTCCCCAGTGGCCACGACAGCAAGCTTGATCAGCGCCAGCACCAGCGCACTGTCAACAACAAATGAGCAGCAACAGAGTGACCCCACTGAGACCACAACGCCACTCATTCTGAAGGTCGCCAGCACGTCTGCAATTGAGAATGAACTGCCCTCAGCGACCACGACAGCAGGATTGCTCGGCGCCAGCACCAGCGCACTGTCAATAACAAACGAGCAGCAACAGAATTACCCAACTGAGACTACGACGCCACTTATCCCGGAGATCGCCAGCATGTCTGCATACGGGAATGAAATATTCCCAGCGACCACGACCGCAGAATCGATCGGCGCTAGCACCAGTGCACTGCCAACAACAGCAAACGAGCAGCAACGGAATCACCCAGCCGAAACCACAATGCCACTGAGTCTGAAGATTGGCATGGGAATAGGGATAGGACTTGGAGTGCCGCTTCTGGTCGCAGCAGGCGCATTTATCGGCATCAGGCTGCAAAGACGACGGAAAGGAGCTATGCCAGAAGCTGCTAGCTACGAGACGATGCCTCCTTACGATTCACCGCGCTACCATGAGCCCTTTCCTATCTATCAGCTGGATGGCCAAAGCAAACGAATATCTGTATATCAATTGAGCGATCGTGGGGATACTCCTCGGATGTTTTCGCGAGCTGAACTTGGCTGACGATACTTGACTGCCGTGGATAGAGCTCAGCAGGCAGACGGGAAGATGGAAGTATATAGCATTCTCGTAAACAAACTGGCCGGATGACGTGCATGTGCGAGCTTCCGGAAAGAAGTGTCTACGTCAGCTAGGAGGTAGGAGCCTAGGAGGTACATACATGTACTCGCGTTGCGCCGCTCAAGCTTCGTACATGCATGCATACCTAGGTAATGTGGCTGATGCTGTCACTTCTCGTAGAGTCGTAGACCATGGTTTCTGGTATTCTTGGCGCTATACGCGCCCACCTAGACGCTACAGACCAGGGAGACGTGAATCAAGCGTGCAGTGACGAATGAGGAGCCAGTCCGAGCTGGCCCCAAGAAGCGCGCAGTATTGGCAGACGTGGGTGTCAGACGCGTTCGTGGCTGAGACGATGCCAGTTGCCAGGTACCTGTTGTGCCGTAGAAAATGTCCCCGCGGCGGCAAGCTGACGTTGCAGAAAAAGCCACTACTCTTGCACGTGCATCTGAATAACGCACGCGTGGTCCTCAACCGACCAGACACTTCACAATGGCCCCACTGCTGCTGCTGCTGCCGCTGCCCTTTCCATGCTGCTACTACTGCTACTACTACACAACCGATAACATGCGCCCACCCAACAGCGCGACATGAACAGCGAGAATGTCTGGCAGTCGTGCGATGGCAGTCCAGATGTACCCATTGGATGTACCTTAACCGCACAAGAGATTGCAGGCCTCAAGACTGGCGCGAGAACTCCTCGGCCATACTACAATGACCAGCTACACGATTGGCAGGGTCGCAAACACTCCCTCCACGAACCTCAAACCAGCAGCGGAGATGAACTGAATGCCCCAGAGAGCATAGACGGAGAATGGGAGCGACAGAGCAAACCAGTATCTGTCATAAGCAGCGAGAGTGGAACCGAGGCCGACGATGAACGATCGACTTTCGTCAAAGCACTGCCACCCAGCGCCGTACGACCGAGGAAAGGACTCAAGACGGGAGAAGAGGATGAAGATGCGCTGCTTACGCCCAGCCAGCTTGATGAGCGAGAACGGGAGCTCACAGGCTATTTTCAGAAGCAAAAGGCAGAAGGGAGTTCTGCACAAAGGGAACAGGAAGAGCATGAAAAGTTAATGAAGAGGAGATATGCCGAGTTTGCCAGACGAAGCTCGGAAGTGGCGCTCATGATGGTGATTTTAGCATGCGTGTTATGCGGCAAAGGAGTTGGCAGCATAGCCTGGGCATGGCGGCGAGAACTGCTCAGCCAACTGCTCACCATCATGGGGCTCATTCTGGTCTATCCGATTAAGCTGTCCATCATAGACACGGCAGCTGCCCCCAGCAGTATCTGGCAACGATTTCGAGTACCAGCCTCGTTCGACCCTGCAACAGTCCTCTATCCACCTTTGCTACCTGTCATGGTCGCTTTATCAGTAGCGCCAGCGAATCCGGCAGTCGTGCTGCCAAACATTGTAATCGGACTTGCTTCACTACCACAACGACTCTTTCCACGATCCAGTCGACTAGGACGTTTTAATTCTGTGCACTGGCTTGTGGCCATTGTTCCACTCATCGTGGCCGAAAACTCCGCTTGGCACTCTAATCACCTTTTACCACACTTGCTGCAGGCACCAGACGCGCTCACCCGGGAGACTCTGGTCACACTCTATCCGCTGCATCACGCACTGCTGCAGCCACTCCAGTATTTGACTAGGACAAGTCTCTTGGCGTCAGAAGTGCACCTGCTGTCAGCTGTCTTGATCAACCTTCTCTTGCTTGCCTCGTCGCCGCAAACTGTAATATTAAAAGCATGTCTATGGCTGGGGGGTGTGATGCTGTTCGTGTTATGCGGGCCAGTTCTTCACTGGAATCTCACTCTGGTTAGAATCCCGAGATGGAAGCTACGACGAGATGGCCATACAGCTGAGGAGCGAAAGTCGTTGGTCGATGCAGTCTCGAATCTCATCAATATACAACGAGCAACCACGGCTTTCCAGGGACCAAGCACAGCCGAAAGTGATGCCGATGAGGACGAGCCAAGTCGGTTCCTTAAGCCGAAGGTGAGTCTGGGCAGGCCCAGACTCAACACTTCACAGTCACTACTCCACCCTTTCCATACTGGCTTTTTCGGCGTCGAGGCAGCAGTTGAAAGCCAGCAACCATTGCCAGTCATAGGCAACGATGGTAGACCACGACGCTACGCAAGGCGAAACACGCTTCCAGAACGACAGCCGCCTCACGTCTTCTCCACGACTACCAGCACAAAGCGCAACAGAAGTAGAGCACAGCACATCGCATGGTACCTTCAACTCACACCTGAACAAGCCAAGAGACGAAAGTGGCTATATGCAAGCTTCATATATGCTGCTATACTAGCTATCGTCTTCATCCCGGTAAGCTCGTACATTGCTCGCCGCGCCCTCTGGAATCGTGAGCCCGTAGGCTGGGCAGTTGGCTACCTCTTAGGCCAGATTCCAATAGTACACAACTCTGTATCAGATCTAGGTCTCGACACGTGGTGGATACAACTACCTCTCGCCAACAGCACGAACTGGTCCGCCATACCCCTCAGCATACCCCTCCACATCGACATCATTCGATCCGATCTTGGCCAAGCCAACGTCCGGCTCCTTCTCATCGCGTACTGGCTGGCTGTCCTCGCGGCTGGTCTCCTGACAGTGTTCACACTAACAGCCTTTGTGGAAGTCGACACGCGTCGTAAAGTCTTCCATGGAGTCATGGTCGCGATGCTACTTCCAGCGACTTACGTCGACCCTTGTTTCTGCAGCCTGACTCTCGGTCTCATCCTAGCAGTCTTCCTACTACTAGAGATCATCCGCGCAGGACAAGTTCCACCTCTCGGGAACGCCATTTCTCGCTTCGTGGCCCCTTATGTTGACGGAAGAGACTTGAGAGGTCCGGTTGTCGTGAGCCATATATTTCTGCTTATTGGCTGCGCGGTACCATTGTGGTTCAGCTTAGCCAGTATCGGACGCGCTGGAGCTCGACCTTGGGAGAACTGGGAGCTTCAAGGTAATCTTCGAGAAACAGCCATGATCTCTGGTGTAGTCTGCGTAGGCATGGGCGATGCCGCTGCATCCTTGATCGGCCGACGATATGGTCGGCACAAATGGATATGGGTGGGCGGAAAAAGTTTAGAAGGATCGGCAGCTATGGCATGTGCTGTAGCAGTCGGATTATTGTTGGCTCGCGCATGGCAGATATTTGGTGGCTGGAACGGAAGTTCGTGGATCGAGCGTCCGTGGTGCTGGGACTGGAGCATCGCTATCCTGAAAGCTTTATTCTGTGGATGTGCAGCCTCGTTCATGGAAGCGGTCTTGACGGGAGCAAACGACAATGTGGTGGTACCCGTGGCTTTGTGGTTACTCGTCAAGGGCGTCAGACTTTAGACAGGCGTCGTCACTCTTCTTCTCATTCCAAATGTCGGTCTTTGTTGTTTTTGTTGTTGTAGTACTTGTTGTAGTGGTAGTAGTGCGTAACGACGACTCGAGCCCATGACCCGACGACTACCATGTTTCTCTTTTTCTCCATCCTTGTGCGGCAGCGCTGTTGTTGTCGCTGCTGCAGCTGTGATTGTAACATTTCCCAAAATAGATGTCCAAGTCCTTTCCCCCTTGGAGAACTCTCCCTGCTGCTGCTGCTGCTGCTGCTGCTGTTTAGGCGGTGATACAGGAACAGCAACAGGGTACAGTCTTGGTGGCATCGCAAGGGGATAAGCTGCGAGGCGGGGAGAGTGTTGGAATGCCATAATGATTGATATGAATGATATGAATGATATGATTGATTGGATTGATTGGGGGGAGGAGTAATTTGACTGAGTGAGTGATTGGACGATAAGATAGATGGGATGGGATGGGATGGGATGGGATAGACGAGGGAATAAACGACGAGAATTTCAAGACGAGAATGTCAAGACAAGCACTCTTGTTTCTCTGTTCCTCTCTTGTGTCTCTCTCTTCGTCTCTTGTCTCTCTATATCTATACACGACCACCTAACCCCGAATCCCTAAAAGTCTCCTTCTCCTTCTTGCTTCGATAGACGGAGGAGAGGGGCCGGGGAGGTTGGGTTGGGTTCGATAGAGTCTACTTACCTAACTAAGAGGTAAGAGTTGTGAATTGTGAATTGTAAGCTATAAGTTATAAGTTTGCCCCTGCCTGCCTCTTGCCTTCCCCTGGAAGCTAAAGGAAGGTAAGATGGGACTATCGAGGAGGAAGAAGAAGGAGACTAAGGAGAAACATATACGGAGGAGGAGGATGATGATGATGATGATGATGATAACAATAATAATAACAATAACAATAGAGAAACACCTATAAGAAAAGAAAAAACTCTCTATAACATTTATACTAAGGAGAAAACTTCTTTAAGCCTATCGTATATCGTAAAGACAAAGAACTTAAGTCTACCTAGTTTGTTTGTTTGTTAGGTTTGTTTACGATACCTAAAGAATTTTGCGAGTATTAAGGGACAGGACGATCTGAAAGGACGATTCGGAAATGACTAAGCAGTAGGCTTCCGGATGACTAAGCTTCAGCGCGGATTAACGTAAGCTCCGGCCGCTAAACATTACTTATATACATATATATTAACTACCTATATAAAGCACTATTCAATACTGTATAATCTACTACTTTACGGCCTATAAAGCGCGTTTAACGACCCCTAGGCCCGTTACTCTTAGTCTCGACTATACGGGCCCTATTACTCTCTATCTCGACTATACAGGATCCGTTACCTAACCCTAAGTCGTCGGATTCACTATATATAATACTGCGGCCGCGACCGCGCGGCCGTCTATATCTACGTCTACGTCTACGGCTACGGCTACGTACTAGCTTAGTAGTATTAACCGCTGCTAACTTATTACTTTCGGCTGTCTATAGTACGTCGGCTATAATAGTACGCTACTAAGCCGCGAATTCGGAGTATAACGTAATAGTAGTAGCCTTCTTAGCTAATACTGCATCTTTACTAGCTACCTCTACGCTTGTTATAAGCCTATTAGTCGTCTTATTACTACGTTTCGGCAACCGCGGTAGTAGTAGATACTAAGCCGGCTTTATAGATACCGCAAATAGAATCGCTTCTAGTAGTAAACGGTTGCGTTAAGTAGCCTATAGGCCGGTTAAGTAGACGGCTTCGAACGCTTCGAGCTTGTCTACGTAGGCGTTATAGTCCGCGGCTCGTAGTAATAGTAAGCAACTTAACTAGCGTAGTATAGAAGCCTATATACGATCGTAACTGTCCGCGCGTTACGGTAATACCTCCTATAGGCTATCCGTTACGGCGTCGTATTGATTCTGCTATTATAGTATCTACTATACGGCGTTACTAGCGTAAACGCTACGATTGCTCGCAAAGTAACGAGAATATAATATACTATAGGCAATCGCCTTCCGTTCAATTACTATAGGTAGTAGTATATAAGTATACGGTAGGCCGTATTGTTCAACTTTACTATAATCTGTATAGTAATCGCGTATCGGATACGGCTCTGCCGTTACTACCGAGCGCGTATAATTAGCCTTGTCTACCGTACGTTTAATACCGAGAGCGTTATACTATAAAGCTAGTAGCCTATCGATTGTCTATATTATTACTTAGCTATTAAGTTATACGAAGTAACTAAGGTTATCAGACGCTACGGCCTATAGTAGTAAGCTAATATACGTATTTTCCTCTAACCGTTCTAACTTATTAAACAGCTTATCTAGATACTATTTAATACCTTTAACGTACTGCTCTAGTAACAAGTACGGTAGTAGATACCCCTTTACGCCGCGATTGCCGCCTTCCGCGCGCTATAACGAGCGCGCCCTATTATTCGGTAAATGCTTAATATAATACGTAAGCAGTCGCTACTTAATAACGACGTAGGTATTACGGAAATATTTGGCATCCTCTACCGTTAATCTATTGATAATAGCCGCCTCGAGTTTATCGGCGGCTTCGGCTATATCCGCTTATAACTACGGCTATATAAGTACTTTTAGTTCCGTCTTCTGCTCGGTAGTATAGCCTAGTTTATAGGCTCGTATACGTCTTAGCGCGTTACGTATAGTCGGTTCGGTCGATTTATCGTTAGCAGCTATAATAGTAGCTTAGCGTACTTTACTATCGGCGGCCTCGGTACGTACTACGTATACGGCACCCTTGTCGATACGCTTGTAAAGGTTTTGAGCCGCGTACTATTAACAGAATTACTAAATATAGCGCTGAAATAGTAACTCCGGAATAGCCGTAATAAGGCCGGCTCCGGTATCTAAAATAATTACTTTATTAAGCCGATAGTTATATAGATAGTTGTTAAATACAACAAGTAGTATAAACAGCTAATCGTCCTTACTCTCTGACTTTATTAGTAAATAATATATCGGAAATAACTGTCCGGTATTAGTAACCTCTATAAATACCCCGAGTAATAGACCGGCGCGATTAGTACTAAACGTAGCGTCTATCTAGAAGCTGTAGTCTAGTACGAACCGCGTAGTAAAGCGCGCTATACGTAACTACTAGTAAACAATCTACTTAAGTAATGCCTACGTAGTACTACTAGTCTATAGATCTATAGTAAACGACTAACGGCCTTCGTACTCGAATCCGAGAGTAACGAGAATGCTAAGCAACGCGTTAATAATAGTATCGGCGTCGCCGGAGCCGCGGAACGTATTACCCTTAGCTAGGTTATAGTAACGCTTACGATTAAGTCGGAGTTCGTAAAGCAAGAGCTATCGGTATATAGTGCTATATAATTCGTTCGTAAGTCGATACTACGCGGCCTACGCTACGGCTTTACTAAAGCTAGGTATACGTATCTCGTAGATAGCGTAAACGGACGGATTTAGCGCTAATTCGTATATATAGTCGAGTGAATTAACGGTTAGCTACTACTGTTTAACCGTCGTACCTTGCCTTACTTGTATGTAACCTAGTCGGTAGTTCTAACCGTATCCCTACTATCGTATATTTCTTGCGTTACGGACGCGTAGATTAAGTAATTCGTCGTCGCTATCGCCTATATAATCGTCGAAGCCGTCGTTGTTTCTAGTAGTAGTTCTATAGTAAATACACTTATATATAGCTCGGCTTATATTACTAGACGTACAGACAACCGCAAATCCTTTACTAAACGCGTAATCCTATAGCCTAGCCTTATAATAGTCGGGATTTCGGAATATCTCGCTAGTACGTAGATACTTATAATAGCGTAGATCTATAGTATCGATAAACTCGCGGACAGCCGGTATACGGCTCTTAGCAAGTAGTAAATACGGAATCTACGTCGGATAGGGCCGTAGTACCGGCAGTTCTACGTAGAAGACGGATAGTAAGTAAAACTTAACCTTCTTACCGCTACGTCCTTTGTCGACAGTTACTTCCGTAGCGGCCGGCTCCGGCTGCTATTATAAGGCAGGGTATTTAGGCAGCAATAACTTAGCGCCGGCGTTACCGGCGTCGCTAGCATTACCGGCGTTGTCGTTAACTAAAGTATCGTCGATTGTAATAGTATTAGAGGTACGCTTGCCTTAGTACGGCTGTATCTATATACTAATCGGATCGTCCGGCGCGTCCGGCGCGTCCGGCGTAGGTAACTTATTAAGTATACTAGTATTAATGTATTATTCTATACTAGATCGTAACTATCCTCCTCTTAATTAGTAGGTCGATTAGGGAATAGCTCTTCTAATATCTTAATACGGTAGAAGCCGCTCGGTAGTATCTTAAATAGTAAAGATAGATCTAGCAGCCGGAAGCTCGTATCGGTATCGTCGTCGTCGACGAATAAGGTATTATTCGGGCCGTTTAGGTCGTTTGTAGCCGTCGTTTCGTAGTTCGTTATAGTACTTATAAGCTAAGAGCCGTATCTCGCGCGTTTGTAGGCCGAATCTAGTAATTTTTATGGTATAGTATTAGTATAAGTATATAGAAGCAATTAGAGAGGTATATATATACGTATCGGTACGTCGAAGTAAAGATATTCGGTATTATAGGTATCGTAGGTATCGTATAAAAAGTCTGTATAGCAAGTAAGGTCAACTAGAACTACGTTACTCCGCGCCGAGGTATAACTTACATGCTACGCTGTAACTCATATGTGCTTAGTCATCTGGAAGCCTACTACATATGCTTAGTTATTTCCGAATCGTCCTTTCAGATCGTCCTGTCCCTTAACACTCGCAAGAATTTTACGTCTAGTTTGTTTACGATACCTAAAGAACCTCCTTTAGATAGTCGCAGAATATTCGAAACTCCTAAAGCTTACTTCTTCGTTACTTTGCTGCACATTAGAGAGGTAGGTATGTACATGGATGTTTTTGTTTTGTTTTTTTTTCCTGTATCTAGGTACCTGAGATTTACATCACTGTTGTTGCCCCTGGTGTTTTGGTGTTTGGTGTTTTGGTGTTTTGTTTTGAAACAAAAGTCAATTCCGTCGGTCGGGAAGATATGACGTGCAGGAGAACAAGGAAGGGAAGGAAGGGAAGGGAGGGAGGAGGGAAAGAAGCGAAACTCTATTTCACAACATCAAACAATCATTCTTTAATCTTGAAGCAAGGGCGCACATACCAGAGGACGATCAAAGGACGATAGGAGAGAGTAACAAGGGATAATCGAACAAGACCTGTCTCGCAGCATGCGATCATACAGTGATTATTTCTGCTGTCTAGCTTTTGTCGACGCGACAGTGTCGATGTCTGAGTCCTCTATCCTGTCAGAGTTCGATTACTTCTCCCTCCCATGCCACTGTCTGCACTAGACATTATGGGCCATTTCCATTGTACAAGCAAATCAAGTGGTATCTCTCGCAGCGCCATGCTGAGCAGTCGTGTTGGCCTCCTTCCTTCAGAACGCCAGATGCAAATCTTCCCTCTCATGCTTGTTGTTGTTGCTGTGAGTGGGCAAGATGCAGAAAGTCAAAACGCGGGTCGATGTGTTGGTTGCTTAGAGAGCCTTTTGATACATGTCAGAAGATCGATAGAGGATCGAATGTTTCGATTGTTGTCAACTCACAAGAGCAATACCGCCGACAAGCACGAGACCCATGGCAGCGGAGCTACCAAAGATTTGAGTAGCACCACCTTCGAAGGTAGCAGAGGCGCCTGGAGCGGATCCAGTGCCGCTTGGAGCAGCAGCACCAGTAGTTGCGGTGCCGTTGGAGACTGGGTACATTGGTGCAGTGTGTCTGACCTCGACTGCGGAGGCAGCGGCGCAAGCGACAGCAAGAGCTGAGGCGACGATGGTGGTGAACTGCATGTTGATAGAGATTTGTTTGTGGATAGGTGTGTGTGTGTGTTGGTGAGAGTGTGTTGGTAAGAGTGTGGTTGTGGTATGGAGCGAATGTGGTGGTTAAAAAGGTTTGTTGTGTAGAAAGGAAAGAACGATGGTGGCATTCCAGGAATCTTTATCTGTTCCTGCATGCGTCGACTCCGATGTGCAGCCGTTGTTGGGTGACACCCGTGTGGTGCGTGGCCGCGCAAGCTAGGTTTCACCGACATCCTGGCATCTCGAACACGTCCTGCCATCAAAATACATCAAATTGCTCAATCAATGTGATGTGGATCTTCGGCATGGTTGCATCGTCTGCCAATCTGACGACAAGTTGCATGCGGCTCGTGCTGGTGACTGGCGAACTTGCTAGCCACGCAAGCGGAGGGCTGGCGGCGCAGTGGAATGTAAACCAGGCCAAAGATAGTAAGTGACGTTGTGCAGAGGCCAGGAACAGGCAATTCTATTGTGCAGCTGCTCCGGCATCATGTCCACGCCGATGTTTCAGCCCGCCAATCGAAGGGGCTGGGGAGGTTGTCAAGCAGCCTTCAGCGCACTCCTGCGTACGTCAACTGCGCAACTTACTATGCTGTACCAGTGTACCTATGATGGGCGACGGCATATGTCCGATAATAAGTGGCTGTATCACCGGAGACTGCACCCGTCCTAGAGGAAAAAGCTAGGAGGTAGGCTCGGCAATACCTCGACACAAATCGTGGTGGCTATGCTATGCTACTCTGATCGCAGCTGGCCGATTAGCACAGTGGCAAAAACAAAAAAAAAATAGACGCTATCACCACGGCTCACCTCATCTCATCAGACATCGATATGCGATCATACGGCGTATCTGGAGATTCCAGCTCTTGAAAACCTGCATTGCATCTCCAAATACGGAGTTGACAATACGTCGTGCAATTGATCTCTTGCAAGTATCGTTTCGCAAAACCTGCGGCCATCACAGGATCGGCCCTCACCACAGGATGCGGTCTTTGTTTTCGATGGCCAAAAACGATCCCAAAATAGATGTCGAGCGGACTAAGCTCCTCCTAAGGTCCAGTGTCAGTTACTAGGAGGTAACGACAAAAGCAGATACTCATGCCGGCTCGATTTCTCAAAACTTTTTGCCACTAGATGTACCAGCTGTTGCCAGTTTCTCCTTCACTTCTCGAAACAGAAGTCTGTCGATATACATCTTCTGACTTTAACTTGCTCGGCCGACGATACAAAACAGAAGTTTCGGACTCATTGCCAGAGCTTCTCCTAGTCCAAGGATACCGCGAAAGAGGCCAGTAGTAGCTGGATTCAGTAGTCCCTCCAAATCACAACAGTCTTCATCTGCAGATTTTTTTGGCTAGAGCACTGCAAAAGGACAGAAAAAAATCCACTCGACTCCATCAACTGAACTTGGGGCTGCAGGGCAATAGAGGATCTTTGGTCGCCCAGGCCATAGCAGCAGCGGCAGTTCGCTCACTCAGGTAGGTAAGTACCTTAGCTGGCGCATGTGCACCATGATCCTTCTTACAGAACCTCCGCTGCTGCTCGCATTTTCAGCTGCTTGCTTGCCAAGGCAATTGCGTTGACACATGCATGCATCGTCTTGCGCAACGCTACCAGGTACGAAAATGAAAAATTGCCCCCTCCATCTCTGCTCGTGCATCCATTTCATGTATACTGTACAGAGGTGTTAGCCGAATACATACCACTTAGCCATCCCCGTCGTCAAATACCCATCTAGCATGCCTCGGCGTTCATCTGTATATAACATACCTATATAAGGTACCTTACCTACATAATATATGCACCATATCGAAAGTCTCGGATTAATTGCCAAGTCGGCTTATCATCCATCTCGTAGTCTGGGCATCCAGGCTACCTCTCCAGAAGCGACCTGTAAATCGAGATTATTTTTTTCTTCAAGACGAGTCGAGGCGAGGATGTTTATATGCCAGATTAGATTACTTGTAGGCAGGTTTTCCGGCCGGAGAAGAATGAATGAAGCTGATGAAGAGGCGAAGGTAGAAAGGAGCGGTTTTGCTTGGAGACGAGGTTGGTTTGGTTCGGGAGACGCGTTGCGCGTTGAGCTGTGGAACTTTGTTTAGAGTGGCCCTCCTGAGCCTCCTCGTTGCTCACTAAGGTTGTCGGCATTTCTTAGCTATGATATGGGATCTTGCCTTCATACTACATACATTACTCGTGTTGTGAAGTACTGGGGTTTGGCTGTCGCTACTCATTGCATTGGGATGGCCGCACTTACATGTACCTGTACCTGTACCTATTGTCAGGACTCACTTCTGTAGGTAGGTACCATGTAGGTTCGCAGTTGAAGACGACATTATAAGTAAGGGGTATTGCACATTATCATTCATCTACAACTTGACTCTCCCACTCTGCAACGCCTGCCAGTCATCTCTGCTATAGGGCACATATGCGCTCGTTCCCGGCGGCATCCAGAAGACCTGGTCCTTACTCCCCGACTTCTCGATCAAATCCAAATCTACACCTTCTCTCTTCGCCTGGCCTTTTTGGATCTTGAACGTCCCCGTATACGACAGTTGTGGTGCCACTCGGAGGAAATATGGCACTGCATATCGCGGCAACTTGTCCAGTACAAACTTGCCCAGACCGCTGCAATCTAGACTCTCTGGCATGAGTCCTTGCTGGAGGACAATGGTTGCGCATCCGCATCTGCCATCTGCGTTGGGGACCGCCACGCCGTAGACGTTTGCTTCTGCAATTTGGTGGAATTGGCCTAGGACATCGGCGACTTCGTTTGTTGACACGTTTTCGCTTTTCCAACGAAATGTGTCCCCTAACCTGTCGACGAAAAATACCCTCCCATCTGCGTCTTGTCGATGGACATCTCCACTTCGAAACCACAGGTCACCTTCCTCGAACACATTCCGTAGCCATCTCTTGTCTGATGCAGCTTGGTTTTTGTAGTAGCCCTTGAAGACTTGCTCAGCCATGGCAGGATCGACCTTGTGGAAGACTTCTCCGGGCTCATTGACACCGCATCTCACCACCCATCCGTCCTGGTCTCTTACAACCTCTTCAGTATCCGGGTCGATTTTGACGCGCACTTCTTTATCCCCCATCTTCCAATTCCACAGCGCTCCTCTGATTCCGATAGCTGATCTGCTGAAGTCGCCGTGGTTGCAGTTGAAAGTGGCACCAAGCCCATCGGTCGCAGCGTACAGTTCATGTATGATCGGGATATTGAAGCGTTGTCGGAATCCTTCCCATACATCAGGCCTCATTCCATTACCCCACGCCATTTTGACGCAATGAGTAGCTTCGAGCGGATGAGGTGGAGCATTGAGGAGATATCGACAGAGCTCGCCCACATATTGTAGATGTGTAGCTTTCGAAGCATGGACCTCAGGCCTGCGTGGAAAAAAAAACAAAGACCATTAGTAGGCTGATCCCAAATAACAGAGCAGGTCACAACTCACCAAAAAGTCTTATGCGAGAATTTCTTACTCAGTGTCATCGCCGCGCCCGCATATATCACAGGAGTCGTACACAATCCTTGCGCAGCAGCGTGATATAACGGTAAACACGTATAAAACTTATCCCCCCGTTTCAGGCGCAAGTACTGTGCCATACCTCGCGCAGTGTTGATATTTCTCCCGCTGGGTATCATCACGCCTTTCGGCAACCCCGTCGTACCGCTCGTATAAATTAGACTGCGAGTGTCGCCGGCTTGCATACCTGCAGTGCGTGCTTCCGGTATAGGTGTGCTATCGCGTAGCTTTCTCGCGAACAGTTCTTCGTCGTAATATACGATTGTGATTCCTGCTTTCTCGAGATCTTCTCTGCAGGGCTCGAGGCGCGAGGATGTTTCGCGGTCGGCGAGGGCGTAGCGGCAGTCGCAGAGCTGTCACATGTTGAATTAGCGATTTTTTTCTTATTTACTGGGAAGATAGCATCATCGTTATTAGAGGAGGAGGAGGAGGAGGAGGAGGAGGAGGAGGAAGAAGAAAATGAACACCTGCCTTGACACAATGTGATAGTGCATTGCCAGTCAAATTGTGATTGACGAAGCTCTGGCTCGCACCAATACCATCCAGTGCAAACCACAAGAGGAGAAATTCTGCACTGTTGGGTCCATTCAAAGCGACCATTTCATTCCTCTGAATGCCGAGATCATTCATCAACCAATTCCCGACTTTTTGGAGATCCTGGTGGAATTGCTTATATGTCCATGACCTTCCTTCATACTCTAAAAATTGGTGGTTTGGAATATCTTGCTTGGCCCAGTTTTTGATGTCGTGATATACTGTTCCTTCATTATTTGCCATGCGCTGCTCGATGAACTGCTGAGCTTCAATCGCGGCATTGTCAAGACTTCCCTTGGCCAAATCGCTTCGCACGTGGTATTTGGCGTCGAGATAGGCTGCGGCTGCGGTAGTGCCTGCTATTGCTGCAGCAATCGTTGCTGGTAAGGTGTCAGCGGCATACATTTTTGTTTCTCAAACGTGATCTGCATCTTGAGGAACTTACCCGCCATCGCGAGAATGTGTGGCCTGTCCAGGTCGACCTACACCGCTGCAGGAAGATATCGCATTGCCTTGAGATCTATAGAGGTCGCACAGTTGCAGCAACGAAAGCAGGATGAGCTCAAACCGATGGATGCCACGACGTACAGCATTATGCTGCATAAGAAGGCCTCGGATGTAGCTCTGCGATCGACACCCCAAACTTTGCGGGGGATAACAATGTTGAAGCCCCGCCCGGAAAGAGGCATCGCCGCCGAGAATGCCGGCTTTGCCGTGTGTGACGAAGATGTTTGGTGTAAGCCAAGCCTTGGGAAATCACTGGCTGGTGAAGTAATTATAAGATTCTAGGGGCTCCTGTTATGTAGAGGTGGAGGTAGCACGGCAAGCTTCTCCTGTTGTCCATATATCTGTGGCTCCCGACAAGATTCCCGACGCGGCTACGCCGTGCAGCTCGATTGACCGGTCGCTCTGGCGGGGGTGATGATGGCTTCGAGCTCTTACCTCCTAGGTCGAGCAGACCATCGATTCAGTGGTAGGCCATATCCGGAATCATGTGCTAGGAGGTACAACGCCGGGAAGCCGATGGGAGACCCGGGCCCGAAAAACAAGATGTTGAAGAGTCCGCGACTCATCTATTTCGTGTCGAATCGTCGACGCCATCAAGAACCGATGCCTTTGCCATACCTATAGTGTACACTGCGAGTCAATTGCTACATGGCAGTAGATATTGCAGTGCCGTCATCCATATCACGTCCATTGGCGTTGCTACAAAGCAATCAGGATTCACCTCACCTCTGGCATCAGAAAGGTGTCATCATCTAGGACGGCTGCACATCATTTTGCTTTCATCCTGAAGGGATAGAGATGCTCATACAGATCCGGTGGTGTTTTCAGAAAGCCTGACAGCGCGTGTGCGAAAGCGCGAGAAAGAATTGTCACCGGTTTTGCGCTTACATATGCTATTCGAAGAAGACGGGACGGGAAGCATCATGTCCTTCCTCGCCGACAACATGACAGACAACATGACACAGACACTCCCGTCTACATTACCTGTACAGGTAATGTAATTACTTCATGTTCGTCTCGACCTTCCGTCGCCATATACCGCCGGATTCACGACCTGGAAGTTCTGCGCACGTGGGAAGTCGTGGACGCATACAAGAGGCGCAGGTCTAGTGTTTGACCTCATGTCGCGGAACCGCCTTCGATGGCCTCTTGTCATGCGCCGGTCACCTTAGACGCTCAGCCATTGACTTTCAGTAGTCTCAACTTCCGACATCGAGATCGTGTCTGCAGGTACCTCCTACGGGCTTCCGTGTATAGCATGTGTGCTACGAGGTAGGAAGTAGGAGGTACTGTACAATCCACCGGGGCTCGTACTGCGACAGAAGAACAGCCCTATCAGTAGAGTAACCTTGTGCCTTCGAACGACATGCTTACATCGTTCAATCGGCCAGACCCACTGTACGTCGTTACATACCTTTAGTTAATTTGCTGGCAGGCTCGCTTCCTCGTCTGGTAGACAATGCGAATCTCAGATCTCTTCTGCTTCCGCGTCAAGATCACGTCGATGGTTGCAAAGCTGAGTATCCACTACTGCTCAGTTACGACCATCTGCAGACATCAGGATCTGTTACAGCAGATGTGTCCAATCAAGCTCTGCTCGACTACAATTGCCTTGCTCTGTATCACGCCGTTGTCGACTCTAGCCGACCCACATCAAACGACATAGCAGCGATATGCAGAAGTTCGATAGTTTGTATGATGCTCTTTCGCATCCTTCCAGGTCTATACCAGAGGACCTAGGCCGATTTCACCAACCTCTTCTGCACACGCACGACACTGTCCGTACATTGGAATGCATAGCCAGTGCTTCACAATGATCGATCGCATGCGGGACTAGTAAATTCTTGTCGCGCACCACGAATGCTTTTCCTTCATGGCCGTATATAAGATCTTTAGAAGGACGTAGGTTGTACCACATCACTCAGCATTCACTACTCTCGGCTCCTATCCAACCCTCAACCATCAATCTCAAAATGATCGGATTCAAAGTCTTCTCCCTCCTGGGCCTGGCGCTCGGCGTCGCCGCCCAAGGATCATTCGGTGCCTCAGAAAACTCGGCCAAGATCCTCTCACTTTTGGTCGAAGCAGACAAGGTGACTGTCAAGTCCGGTCAAGCTGCAGCAGCCTATACTCCCAACAACCAACGCGCGACCAAAAACCTCGAGAACTTGAACGCTCAACTTCTCCAATCGTGGCAAGCTGTCACCACCGCCGCACAGTCCAGCCAAGGATTCTACACCGCGAGCGGAGCCCAAGCCATCGTCGACTTTCTCAACAAACGCCTGGGTCCGGACACAACAGCTGCCGATCTCATTTACACCAACCAGCGCGATACTTTTGTCAAGGGGGGATTCATCGATTACATCAATCCTGGTCTCCTCAAGCTGAGAACTGCCGTGGACGCTGCATCAGCTGCCGTCAAAACGAAGACGCCTGCCAAGTATCTAACCCCCATGGATTTGGGATTCTTGATCGTCGTGCAGGACTACGCGAACACGCAGGAGATTCAGCAATTCGGCGGAAACGCCAGTGTCTTCAGCGGGTCGTTGTGTACTAGCCCGGTACCACCTTACAACAGTGGAAAGAGTGGAAAGAGTGGAAAGAGTCCCAAATCATACTCTTCTTGAGTCAGCTCTCCGTTGGTAGGAAGAGATGTGGGTTTACTCCTTTTCTAAACAGCAAAGATGGGACAACGAGAAAGAAGAAAGAAGAAAGAAGAAAGAAGAAAGAAGAAAGAAGAAAGAAGAAAGAAGAAGCTCGTCTGACCATAGCCAACTCATCGTATACAGGAGCTCAATAAATGAATAACTGACCCTACTAATCTTATGACCTCGCGGATTAGACCTCGCAGTAAACTCGATACCTATGACTATGTCTCCATTCCTCCATTCGATTTCCACGCATCCGTGCGTCCGTTACCTACAGCAACGCAGTGTCTCAATACCTACATAACATGTACCCCATCTGCATTACCCACCTCCATGTAGGTAGGTATAGAGCAGAAATTCGTCAGCTGCCTACTACCGCCTTGGTATTGGAAAACAAAAATCCGCCCATGAGGTACGCTGACTGCAGCAGCAGCAGCAGCAGCAGTGGTTGTGTAATACTTGTAAGGTATGTAATCATACCTACCGGTAGTCTGGTCTGGGGAAAGCTATATACATACCTGATACCTAAGGTAGGTATGACTGCGTATATGTAGTACCTCCTAGAACTAACTACCTACCTAGGTAGAGCAGCGACAGAAAAGAAAAAGAAAAAAATCAAACAGGTTGTGAATCCTTCCGTCCTCTTCCGCGCGCGTGCTCGATGTTTCATACCTAGGTATACCTACCTTGCTGTATTTCTCCACAAGTGTGGCTATTTCTTTTCGGGGCCTTTCTTAGGTACCTAGGTATGCAGTGCCTATATGATTGGCGATATCAGCTATGGCGCGGCGCCAACCAGTGCTGTGTACTGCTACTACAGCTTTGCAGTCGATATGAAGTTTTTTTTCAGCAGCCATGGATGCGTCGGCACCCCAGTGAGTGCGAAGTCCCCATTGGCGCTGATGAGTTGAGAATTGCCGTTGTTCACCACGCTGGTAAGAAGTTGAGAAGAGTCTGGGATCGTACGTTGGCGACCTTACTTTTGGGAACGAGTGGTCCTTGTGCCACGCGAACCCGTTATAGGACGTTGCTCCGGCGAGCGGTCATGTACCTGGTTATCAGACACGATACTGTACCTCAGGTGTGCACATACCTGACCTGATATAAGGTAATCATAGCTCGATTAGCATTCTACTGGGAGGTGTTGATATCGCTATCAGAACGCGTGGCGTCCCAAGAATCTTCGGGATATCGGCTGACGCTCTGCTCTATATCTTACCTCCAAAGCTACTACTTCCTAGTACAGTAGTCTCCGTCCCCACGGTCGGGCTGTGTGCAAGCCACGCGTTCTGCCGTGATGAACAACCATGTCGTGACTCCTGTGGGAAATACATCATCATGGAGGTATCTGATTTGATCCTACCACAATTGGCCCGCTGACCACGCGGTGCTGGTGTTTCCGTGGTTATCAACATGCATTTTGTGTGCAGATATGTCGCTTTTGCGTCGTCATTCATCTTGTGTTGGCGAGGCTGCTTTGCTGTGGCGTGTCGATGGACCCTCCAGAGTGGTCTATGGCGCCTGCAGGTGCTCGAGCCCAGATCGCAGCGACAAACTGTACTGTACTGCGCCTCCTACTCTGCAGCTTGCAAGGGTTGCTGTAGCTACAGCACTCTATGTCGACTTTTCTCCCCACGCTAGACTGACTCGACCAGGCCAAAGATGTCGGTACACGATTCGGGGTGCAGCGGAGAGAAAGAGATTTCCAAGTCATTTTCTAGCATTGGGACACGGTGTAGAGTCAGTGGCCGACACACCAAAGCAGGAGTGAAGATGAGGAATCTTGGATCTTGACAGTGTAGCCTGCTGGGAAAGTTTGTTGCCGATCGCTTACTGCAGTCTGTGAGGCGAGATCTCGTCACATCAAGGGTACCAAAGTGCTACTATCGTCCAATGAAGCCTCGCGGGAAGCTGCAGGTCTGCGGCTTTTGGAAATTGCAGAACTGATATGCCTCGTGCGCCAAGCCTGTTGTATCGCATGGGTGCCGAAGAGTGAGTTCAGAGTGTAATAATGTCCTCATCAGGCTGGATGGCCATGAATTAAAGGTATGATGTTGGTGGTTCTACTACCTCCCGCAGAATCACGAGCTGGATTTGTGAGATTCTGAGAAGTGGTACATGGTAATTATCGTGATTGTGATACGCCCGGCCATGTTCCACCGTCCCGAGCCAACTTTCGGTAGACGTTGTATTCCGTCTTGGAGCTTGCGAACCTACGCTCCTACAGAGGTACATACCGCTAGTCTACACCCCAGATGCACGCTTGGCACTCCAACAGCCTCCATAGTGTGTCCACCGCATCGAGCTGTCGGCTGAGGTGAGCTGCCTACACATAGTTCTCACGCGCACACTGCACTCGCTGCCCGGTGTTGAAGCGCATCTCCCGAAGTCTGGCGAACACGGGAGGTGACGGTGAGGGTGAGGGCAGGGCGAGGTGATTGTCGGTGGTACTCCCCAGACTGAGCGGCGCTTCGGGTCAAGATAGACATTGCACAGATCGCATACTGGCGCTTGCGCTTCAATGCTTGCGTTCGATTGTCATCATTGCTCTCGCTTCAGGCGGGAGCTTCCTATGCGCCATCTCTACTCACTGTACACCAGCAGGTCTGGGTCACTGCCACCAGTCAGCCCAGCTGCGATCTTGCATGATGATCACATCCTACCTTACCTACCCTCCATGAAATACCTCCTACATGTACTTCTTGCGTGCGCATTTGAAACGCCTCGAGGACTTGTCCCCGTCTACTGTACGCTACCCCTGCGATAGCTATTCAGCCTGGCATTATTCGGCTTCGGGGACGCCTTGCATGAACGACTCTGCGCTGTGCCCAGAATGATACCCGCCGCCCTCTGTGGGCTTATCTGAGGGCACAGGATCGATCAGATCTTCTGGAAAGCAGATACCAGGACGTCAGCACAAGAATAAGACTGGACTGGTTCCCTCAGAGTCAACAATCATCAATCAGATCAGATATGGTGCGGCCAATCCAAGCCTCGGCACTCACGCAGTCGTTGTCTTTCGATCGAGTGGCTTCTTCGGCCGCACGTGGCAAACTCCAGCGATTCGACGGCATCGACAAGACGACCGAGCAATGGGATCATCTGCGTAGGGACCATGAGATATGGTTTGAAGATGGTGATTGCAGTGTTCACCTCTACGCTGTCAACACATCTCATCGGGGCCCAAGTTTCAAAATTCCTCTGAAGATTGTAGAGCAGACCAATAGCCGATACCTGCTTCAAGAGTGCCTTCGGTCAAGCCCAGCGAGCAGTGAAGACGAAGGTTCCGACAGCGGCTTTAGTGGGTCCGCAGATGGAAGCCAGCTTGTTTCTTCCTCCGAGCTTTACATTCCAGCTCCGCCCTGCGCAACCCGACAGGAAGCTCATCTGTACCACATCGGCACACGAAATTATTTTGCCCATCTGGTCAAGGCCCCGTTGGTGGGCGAGACGTTGGGTATCGCCATTACGGAGCTCTGGAAACGAATACACCTATGGCAAGCAAGCGAGGTCGCTCAATATGACTTGCGAGAATATCTGCAAGAGCAAGGATACTTGAGCTACGTGGAAAACCCTGGGTATGCACTGGCATCGTTGTACTTTGCAGAGCGGACTCGAGATAAGGATACATGGTCGGACGCCTTTGTACATTGCGTAGGCATGCACGATCGGCTTGAGGGGAGTGAGGAATATGCACCTTTGAGCGACGAATCCAAAATCCTGCTGGCACACGCCGCGAATGACATGAAGTCGCACATCTCTCAGGTAACGAAGAATCTAGGCACCTTCCTCGAGGACGACCTTGGCCCGGAGAATCTCGGCTTGACTAGATATCTACGAAACCATCTTGACCGATTTCGAAGCACGCTTCACAGCTTCTATGTCCAGGAGATCAATGGCTACTTCCCTCCGGACGAATCAGACCCATGGGGTAAGAAGTTGTGGCATGGTATGCACAGAGACTTCCAGTGTCTGTACCTGTACCTGGCAGACGCCAAGTCGTTGGTCGATCATGCGAGCAACCTCGGAGCTCAAGGCGGTATTTGCGTCACGCAGACTTTGAATGCATTTGACGAACGTCACGACTTCGAGCCTCTTGTGTACACTCTCCCGCTTTTACCAGAAGTCAAGGCACGACCAGAGCCGCCAGGTCCGGAAAAGAGGAGGAATTTGGGATCGATGCGCATAGCTCGTGCAGGCACCATTGGATCTTACAAGCCGACACCAGGACAGGCGTTGGCAAACGCAACAAACAGCGACGATCCTAACATAACAGGAAATCGCTTGGTCCAGGAGTACAGGCGTTTTGAGAACACGAAAATGGAGGAGAAGACCACGATTACTGAAGCTCGTAAAGTTCGATGGCTTTTGGTTTACCAGGCTCTACAGATGCTCAACAGCATTGCACAAGCACCAGCTGAGGTCCGAAACGCGACAGGTTTATCTTATCCTCTTTGTATCCTGGATCCAGCATGTCCGACTTGGATGGCGGAGGAGCTGACGTGGCAAATGCAAGATGAACTTGCTGCGCACGATGCCGGAGCATTCGAAACAGTACACGAGTCATTGGAAGACGACAGGATATCCATCCATCCTGATTGCGAGGCCAGCTGTGCCGCCGACTATTTCTCCATGACTTCTTTCAGGAGGACAGATTCTGGTACAAGCCTGTCGAGCGAGATAAGCACTCCCCTCAGGGCGAGCTCGACCTTGTCTCGTACTGCTTCCATTAGATCGAGCGTAAGCACGCTACATCGATCCGTGGTCGGCAGTCTGGTGCGAAGAAACAGCCAACGACGCACTAATTCCAGCGTTCCGTCCGCGAGGTCACCCACGGGGGGCACCTTCTGTGAGACTCTGCACGAGTTACACGGCAGTGAGGTGGAGGAAGCATCGCCGGTCGACAGCATGATGAGCTTCGACGCCAAAGTCGCAGCAGCCGAGCCGGAGATGGTCTCTTCTTTAGGACCACCTGCAACGCACAGTGACGCGCCAACACTGGAGATGCATCAATTATCGCTAGATGGTACTGTGAAGCCTACCGGAAGGCTGCGCCATACCTCAATTCGACGACAGAGGCGAATTTCTGTTACAGACTCCGAGGAGTGCGAGTTTCCAGCTAATGAGGCTATGCCGATGGTTGTACCGGAGACCTCAGACTTCAGCGGATTTGCGTTCGATTTCGACGTGCCAGTATCGATGACAGAACATCTACTAGAAGTCTCTGGTGTTCGGTCGATGCATACATAAGCTATAGGCTGGCTGGAGACGATCTTGGATTTCCATCGGAGAACACTCAGACTAGTCTTCTGAACCAAAGAAAGCCCGTGTTCGGACTAGTGGGCCTTGAGTGGCGTTAATTCAGAATGCGTTTCCTGTGCAGACCCGAACGAGGTCAAAGATGGTCGTGAGAGGGAGATCCAGGCTCTCGAAGGGTTGAGTGATGTTGCTTATGTTTAAGATACCCATTCCGCAATATATTGTTGATAGCTTGCCCCATACTATATGGTTGGTGCTTTTTCATCGAATTGACCTGTCCCTTGATGTCGTCTTATCTCTGATTTCTTCTCCGGAGACTTGGAGGCTTTCCATCTGTAGAATAATTTTACGCCAAGACGGCAACATGCAATGCGGGCCGGTCGGCCGCTGCGGAAAGTCGCCGAGAAATGTAGATGCCACACTTCAACTTCTCAGTCACATCATTTCTCCAGACACGGACAATTTCACTTCCTGGACATGGACAATGCAAACCCGGCCGAGGGACCAGATACCTTCAGCCGGGTACTTCCTCTTCCCTTCCGGCTTCAATTCGAATTCATCCTCGGGATCTGGTTCTGGGCCTTGAACCTGCATGGCTTCCATCTCCTGAACATCGACATCTTCACGCTGATACACTATCCCACGCGACCTACCCTGGATGAGCCGCCCCTACACACGTCGACTTATCGTCTCGCTACCGTCCTCGGTGGACTGTGGACGGGCGCGATCGTACTGTTTTGGTTCCTGACTTTGGGCAATGCAGATCTAGTCATTGCTTACGACTGGATTCCGAACTTGCTATTCTTCGTCATTCTCGCTGTTCTGTTTGCACCCAGACTGCCATGGGCGCGAGCTCTTTTCGGTACCAGTAACGCTCACGGCGTCATACGACTGTTCACTGGAGTGCTCAGATGTGCACCTGGCGGGATCGCGAAAGCAAAGGGAGAGAAGTTCGGAGATGTTCTCCTGGCAGATGCCATGACATCTTATTCGAAGCCCATATCCGAGATTTTTGTTGTGTTCTGCATGTTGCTGAAAGGGCTTCACACTACGAATAAACCCGACAGAGCATGTGGTCATGAGTTCATTGTGCCGCTCGCGATTGCCTGGCCATTTCTCATACGCCTGCGACAATGCATCATCGAGGGGCAGCGTGCCAACGCCTTGAAATATGCGACGGCATTTCCGGTGATCATCCTGAGTTCGATGACTGGCAAGGATCCCACTTGGAAGGTTTTTTGGTGCGCATGACTCGATAACACTTGGGGGGGTATCGGTGCACTGACATTTATCTTGTAGGCGTATAGCGGCTCTGGTCAACTCGCTGTACTCATTTTGGTGGGACGTATCTATGGATTGGGATCTGACCTTACTTTCGAGACACCGCCTCCAATCGCCGCTCGGACTTCGGCAGCAACGAGTTTTTAGGCATTCCGTCTTGTACTACCTGGTAGTCGGCTTCGACCTCGGCCTCCGATTTGCGTGGTCCTGGAAGCTCTCATTGGCGTTGGTCAAATTGGATGGTTTAGAAGGCGGTATATTTCTACTGGAGATTATGGAATTGACGCGTCGTTGGATTTGGGTCTACTTTCGAGTAGAGACTGAGTGGGTGAGGTCGAGTGGGCCTGCGAGCATTGCACTATGAAACATTGTACGAGTATTGTAGGACTATTGTACGCAGCAAAGCCCACAGAGGCATACCAGTTGCAGCTGATAGTAAACAGTAAGATACCAGATCACCAAGACATCAGTCGAGTCATGCATTCGATTACAAGCCAGAGCGACCGATCGTTGGAGGCTGGCATAGCGGCAGCATCGGGACCCGGTTTCCAGGTGATTGATTGTCACGAGACCATGTCTCCAACACACTACGGAGGGTGATCTCTTAGTCATGGTCGGCTTTACCGTGATTGTACTGTAGTTGCCCAGACTTGCGAGACTCCACACTCTCTACACCTGCATTTACCAAGGTACGCCCGACCCGCATATCATGTCAGGCACACTCACCCAAATCACGCCGTCACACGAAACTTTAGAGACATGTACCACAGTACCACCACATACACACACACGCTTCCGGGAGTGAAGTATCGCAGCTGGCAAAGAAGAGAGGTACGTACCAGTCCGTGCGATAAGAGTAGGTACCTACGTACCAGCTCTTGTGTTGAACAACAGGCAGATGAATATGATCTAGTTCTGTTTTTGATCTGGTATTACATGATAAGTTATGCTCAACCGGAGCAGAACGCTGTCCCACTTGGGGTGCTTGCATATCTCTGCGATTATTTCGCGATCTTCACGAGTGCCGCTAGTAACCTCTCGATCCCCGTAGATACGATGACTTCCAGTGACATTTTCCGTTCATCAATGTCATCTTCCAGCGACATAGTATGGCCGTGACCAGCTACTTACATCTAGAAATATCAGAATCCAGAAGCATCTGTGTTCAGCAGCATTCGTACGCAGCAGCATCTTGCATTAGCTTCTCTCCTGGCTTCCAATAGCAACACTATCTTGGTCACGATGGTTACGCTCGAGTGTCTACCTGACGAACTGCAACTCATGGTATTCGAATTTGCATATTCCCATCGAGAGATCCACATCGCTCAGGACAAGAACCAACTCGAACGCGTCGCCCCACACCACGACCCCCTGGGAGTCATTGACAAAGTATCAATGGACACCTCTATATCAAGAAGAACCCAACCAGCTGCCTGGCAGGCTTATCTCAGCTCAGCGACATGGACGTTCTCTTCACTGGCAGCTGCAGCTCGCCACATTGATACATATCCATCGATTATGCGACAAATCAAGCACATTCGAGCCAATGCTCGTGAGATTGATATCATCCTGCTGATTCGCATGCTGTCTGGCGCTGGCTGTAAGCTTCGCAGCATTGAGCTTGGACATTGCACGGCGGATCACCTTGGCATACGATGCCCGAAAGATGACGCAGCACCTGTATTACAAAGAAACGAGGCAGAAGTGATTCAGCATTGCCTAGATCGCAGCTGTCAAGCCACTAGCATTACCACTGTGGATAGCCTCATCGACTGTGCTCTCGCACGTACCTTGACCGCCATCCTGACCCTGGAAAAGGTGGTCATCCAAGCAGAATGCGACTTTTGCCAGACATACACGCTGGACTGCGACTGGAGATTGTTCTCGCGGGAAGCCGAATTGTGGATCTTGCAGGCTGTGGCCCAGGCAGGATTGGGCTCACATGCTAGATCTCGAAGTATCTTGCAGCTGCAATGTACGATTGCGTCTATGAAGGAGGAGTTTATGGTCCGACAGCAGCACGATAGTATTGATATACATTGCGGCACGGATATTGAGAGCGAGCTCGAAAGTGATGATGATCTCCAGATCATGTTCAGCTGAGCGATAGGCCGGCGTTTGGTCAGGTTGTATCTTGTTTGGGAGAGCGATTGGTGTAGAAGTGCGTTGAAATAATTGGTGTGAAGAAGAGGGACGACAATATGGGTTACGGCCTGGTGTATAGAGCAGGCTGCGAGCCTTGTGTGTACATAACTAAGGTACCTACCTTACCTTGGGTACCTTACCTTAGGGACATACTTAGCCATATCGCGGGCTCCGCCCACTCGTAGTTCTACTTCACATGCGAAGTGCACGTGCACTTCGGTAGAACTAGCTTCGGGAGCTGCCGTCGGCGCCCCCCACAAAGCTGGTGACGGCACCACGTTCTGCGGCGACAGGCTGCGCCTTCTCTTGTCTTCCATCACCAGATCCTCCCCTGGCCACCGTCGACTACTAAATACCTCCTACATTACCCATCGAGCTCGCGGCTTGCACTTCCACCGACATCGACCTCCACGTCTCAAGAAATATTGCCCGCGATGGCAGCGAACACGAAATACACACCCGCGCCACAACGCGACAGCTTCGAGGAGCAGGCCCCTCATTATTCCCAACCGCCACCTTCTTACCAGGCTGAGCCTTTGCTAGGAGAGGCAAGGAGCGAGGATGACAATGTGCCCGATGACTTCAAGGTGGGATAATACAACAGCAATACGATAATGCTCAGATGCTGACGGGACAACAGTTTGGCGGCTCAGTCGCAGAAGCTACTCTCCCCATCCGCATGCAATTCATTCGCAAGGTCTATGCCATCCTCACAGTTCAACTCCTTCTCACCACGGCACTCAGCGCCGTGTCCTTCTTCTCGCAGCCATACAAGAACTGGATCCAGTCGAACCAGTGGGCAATGTGGGTGTCGCTCTTTGGAGCCATCGGATTCATGCTTTTGACGTTCTGGAAGAGGAAGAGTTACCCTATGAACTTGGCCTTCTTGGGCGTGTTTACTGCTATGGAGGTATGTGCATCTAATCACCTCGCACTTCCACTACGAGTGTACTGACGACCATTCGCCAGGCATACAGCATCTCCGTAATAACCTCATTCTACGAATCACGAGTTGTGCTCCAAGCCCTCATATTCACGCTCGGTATCTTCGTCTTCCTCTCCCTATTCGCCTGTCAGACCAAGTACGACTTCACGAGCTGGATGCCATACCTATTCGGAGCACTGTGGGTGCTGATTATCTTCGGCTTCATGGCGGCTTTCTTCCCTCGAAGCAGTGGGGTTGAGCTCGGATATGGTATCGTGGCGGCTTTGATATTCTCAGGATATATCCTGGTGGATACACAGCTGATCATCAGGCACTACCACGTGGAAGAGGAGATCGCTGCGGCGATTAGCTTGTATCTGGACATTCTCAATCTGTTCTTGGCGATTCTGAGGATTCTCAACAGCCAGAACAACAATTAAAGATGGGGACAACAGCTGGTGGAAGGCGTTTTGAGGCGTTTACTAGCGGGCTTACGAGAGGATAAGAATGCGTTCACGAGCAGTGCATACGTGTAGTTATAGTCTTGGAAATGTTCAAAAGGGATTCATATCGACTGGTGGGATACTCTCGCGTGATCACAAATGGACATGTTTACCAAGACGACCTCACAGACTGGTTTCCTGGCTAGAGTCAGATATCGGTTGACATCACTTTAGATCTCTTTTTGTCTCAGTGCTGGAACATGAGTTGGCCATAGACTGGTTATAGACCTGAGAATGATCCTGTTACTAGTGCCGCTTGATCTGTAGTGGCCTGTCGCCCCTGAGAAAAACTATGAAGTAGGTATTTTGGGGTTGGTTTAATGGTTGTGGCCCCAAGATACATGCAGGTATACGTCGACATACTGCTTGATGATACATGTACACCTGCAGGTAGGAGGTAGTAGGGAGTGTTCCGTGGATCAGCCACGAGTCATGGGTCGGAGCGCAGTCCACCATAGTCGCCCACGGTCCAATCACCTCCTGTAATGACGAGCGTCGACCAACACCTGTGCACGGTCGACTCGAGTCTGCCAACCCTTGGTTTCGCGAAAGCGTATTTCACATACAAAGATGCGCCTGATAGTTTTAATGCCATTTTGAGAGTTCGCATGTCCTCTCTCACGCCAGCGCATGTGCCATCACCATCATTCCCATCATACGAAAATACGACAGCACTGCCACCGTCCCCGTAGCACGGCATACTCATAACAAGCATCGTCCGGATACGAGTGTCGACCCAACCGGAAGACACGCTTCTCCCTCCCACTGCACGCACGCACGCGCACACGCACCCACGCACGGCACGGCCAACGAAACAGTCTTCTGGATGCAGCAGCATTGCCAGAGGCAGAGGAGGAGTTCGAGAGTACCAAGCGGCATACTCGAGGTAGGAGGACGGGAGTGAACATCGATGCCATCGGCCAGGACCGACAAGGCCGTGCAGGAACGCAGAGAGAAGGCAAGTAGCGCTGTTCCTTTTTTGGTGGAAGTACAAACCAACACAGACACCGGTACAGACAGGCAGACAGACACAAAAGACTCAGCCTACTGCGCTGTACTGTCCTGTACTCCTCCTGTCCTGTACCGTCCTTGTTCCACTATGCGCGTCGCTGACATGTGATCCCGCTTCTTCCAGCTCGCCAGCTCGTACCAGTCCCTACTGAGCGAGTTCTCCGCCTCCGACCTCCACACGGTGGGCAATTACGCACTTGGGCGACTCATCGGCAAAGGTAGCTTCGGAAAAGTCTACCTGGCCCAGCACAAGCTCACCAATGGCTCCAAAGTCGTCCTCAAGAGCGCAAAGAAGGATGACGCGAATCTGGCCCGCGAAATCCACCACCACCGACAGTTCCTCCACCCACACATCGCGAGACTCTACGAGGTGATAGTGACAGAGAGCCTGGTATGGCTGGTGCTGGAATATTGTCCCGGTGACGAGCTGTACAACTATCTGCTGAAGCATGGTCGCATGGAGGTGAGCAAGGCGCAGAGGATCTTCACGCAACTGGTAGGTGCCGTGACGTATGTGCATGCAAAGGGCTGCGTGCATCGAGACCTGAAGTTGGAGAACATCTTACTGGATAAGCATGAGAACGTCAAACTGGTGGATTTTGGCTTCACGCGAGAATATCAGGGCTCGACGAGCTATTTGCAGACGTGGTGTGGGACGGTATGCTACAGTGCGCCAGAGATGCTGAAGGGGGAGAAGTATGCGGGTGAAAAGGTGGATGTGTGGAGTTTGGGGATCATTCTATATGCCTTGCTCTGCGGAGAGCTTCCATTCGACGACGACGATGACAGTGTCACGAAAGTACGGATTCTGAAGGAGGACCCGCAATATCCGGACCACATGCCAGAGGGTCCGAAGGAGTTGATCAAGAAGCTACTCTCAAAGCGACCCCTGTTACGGCCAAGTCTGGGTGATGTGTTGAAAGACCCGTGGTTGGTGGAACACGCGCCGCATCAGCAAGAGATCTTGAAGTTGCAGCAACCACCGCCGTTTTCGACACAGCTTGAGAAAGATGTGCTGCAGCGCATGCGGAGTGCAGGCGTTGACATAGACCTGGTCATCGAAAACGTCTTATCTCAGCGCTGCGATTCTCTGGCCGGATGGTGGGCTCTGCTCCTCGAGAAGGAGGTGCGCAAGGAAAGGAGGAGAGAACGCAAGCGCAAGGAACGTGAAGCTGAAGCCAAATCGATTCGTAGGCTAAGTGCTGCCAGCGGCAGGCTGCTGGCGCAGAGTGCCTTTCTTGGCGAGATTCATGAAGGGGAAGAGAACCCACCACAGGAGTCACCTCGATCGAGAGGACGTCGCAAGGAGCGTGCTCATGGCAGCACGTTGCTGACCCCTGATCTACCCAAGGTGACCGAGACGAAATCGCTCACTCCAGAAGGCGAAAAATCCAGGCCGCACACTGCTTCAGACAACAGCAGATCACGGAGTAGGCCTCGCCCGCCCCCCAAAGACTTCAGTGGCGTAGCCCGCTCGCGAAGGACGGCTTCTAGGGGAAGTCAGAGTATGCTGCGAGTCGTGACTAACAATCCGGACTTGCTCAGCCCATCATACGTTCCCCCAACGCAGCGCAAGAACAAGCTTTATCCTGCGCCCTTGAGACAGCAACTCGCTTGGGTCAAGCACCTTTTCAAGGGCGAGGCATTCAAGCGATCCAAATCTCCCAATGAGGCCGATAAGACCAGCTCGTCGAACGGCAAGATCGCGCCGATTGGTAAGACCTCTCAGGAGAAAGGCGATTTGCGCGAATTGCATCGCGTTGCTACAGGGCCAGCGACTGCTCGACGCAAGAGCATTGGGCATAATCGACCAGAATTACGGAACAGCCAGTCATATCCAACGCGACCTCGAATTAACACTACTTCCTCCACTGGCAGTGGTACCAGTGCACGAGGCCCTCGTACGAGCTTGAGCCCCCACACGTTGACGCCGCACTCGTCCTATCGCAGGTCTTCCGCTGGCCTTCGAGGTCGCAAGTCAACATCGTCGTCGGTCTCGTCAATACGCAGCACATACAAAGGCAAACATCAGCATAGTCACTCCAAAGCATCAAGCACATCAAGTGCTTCGGTCGCCTCGCCTTCCGGACTATCGTCAGCATCTGGATCACGAATGGGTAGGTCACCTCACAGTTCCGTGAAAATGCTGCCTTCTACGCCAACGGCAAGCATTCCTTCTGGTATGCGCTTCTCTCGACGGCCTCCACCCTCGAACATAGGATCTCTCCCCGCCTTTCAAGCAGAAGGGAGAGGGAGCATTTTCGGAGCGAACCCAGCTCCCTCGTCCCCCGGCCTCCCCAAATTCGCAAGACGCAAACGTTCCGTCTTCAAAGGGCCTATGCATAATAACGGCTCACCAAGTGGCTTCAATCGAACGCCTTCTGGTGGAAGTCGTTCGGCTTCCGTGCAAGGTCGCCCGAGCGGAGAAATGATGCCCGGCCTCACGGAAGAGGACGAGGAAGAAGCAGAGGTGGAAGAGGAAATGGAAGAGTATGAGGAAGATCAATTCGGACCTGAACTGGCTGGCGTCGTCTCGAATGATGAGGCTACTACGAACGCAGATGGCGTGGAACCTGTCAGTCCTTTGAGTCCCATTCCAGGCGAGGAAGAGAACCCACTCAACGCCGCTGTGGAGGTTCTCGCGGCAGGAAGTGGACAGCCGCTCACTGCTGAAGCGTTGGCCAAATTGAGCGAAGAGGAAGCTGCACTCGAAGAGAAGGCGAGTAAGAAGAGCGTTGACTCGAACGCGGTGAAGGAAGCAGCAGTCTGAGTGGATTGCAGTCGTGGATAATGTTTAGGGTGGACGATCCGTTGTGCTTCTCATGTTCGTTTCAGCGAGCGATTGCAATCCCGATCAACTATGGTATCGGAAGGCTTCTTTCCCTTTTCGACTCGATTGAAGAAGCGCCTGAAGAAGCAAGGCCAGATGGGGGAGGACATTCTTTTTCTTCCCACTACTACCATCATTTCTTACCTTTTTTTTTCTTTCTTTTTTTGGCTGCAAGCTGAGATGAAAGGATTTTTGTGGCTTATACAGATACCCCCCCGAGTTTGTTGTCATTCTTGTTGTCGTTGGTGTTGTAGCAGCAGCAGCAGCAGCAGTTGTAGTAGTAGTAGTAGCATGAGCGAAAAATAAAAATTTGGTAGACCGGAGAGGAAGATAAGGTAGTACATTATTCACTTTTTGTTACTGCCTGAGGCTGATGAGAACTTTCATGACATCCTCTCTCTCTCTCTCTCTCCTTTATGTTCCTGCTACTAAGGTAGTTAACTCTAGCTAGTGAGGCTCATCACCATATGATCTTCATTCGACTTGCTGATGGTGGTGTCGACGGCGGTAGATGAGGCTCAATAGAAATACAAGGTTTACCGACAATATCACCGATAGTGACCCCCGGGTGCTCTCCTCCTCCTCTTGCTCTTGCTCTTCCTCCTCCTAGACTAAGCGTCAATTACCTCCTAATAGGAAGTAATGCGGAAGTTACCTGGTAAATCTTCACAGCCGGGGGGAGGGGGGGGGGCTCGTTTTTCATTTATTATTATTTTACATCGACATTTAATTACGAGTCGCATCCAACAAACACGTGCTATTTTGCTTGGATACTTTGTTCGTTTTTTTTTTGTCAGCATACACTAGGTACTCTACAAGCGATTCATGGGTAGGACGGAACATTTGTGTGCTAGCTAGCTTTTATGCACATGTGCACTCTCGAGACGAGACGAGATGAGAGGCTGGAGGACGCATATATAACAACAGATGTGTGTGTGTGTTGCAGAATAGGAGGTAGGGGGTTGAGAGTAGGAGGAACTAATAATGGAACGTTTCGTCGTGGGTTGGTAGGTAGATGTAGATATGCTGGTTTGGTTTGGGTTGGAGAATAAGCTCGATTGAATCTTTCTTTCTTTCTTCTTCTGCTTCTTTCTTCTTCTTCTTCTTGTTTCCCCGTGAACAGGTTGTTGATTAACGTGCACGTGCGAGGCCTTTTCAGTAAGCGGTTATTTATGGCTACCTCTTTCTTAATAATAGGTTCGTCGTCAAGCACTTCAAGCTTTTCTTATGAAGTCTATACTCGATCTATCGGCTTCGGCTACTCGGCTCCTATTTGCTAGCGCGATCTAGCTAGCTTGACTTTCCGATTTGGGAGACAGCAACCACGATATCTTCTACCTCCTAGCAACAACGAGCACTTCGATATTTGATGTCAACACAGTGGGGGCAAGTTCATCAGATATTTCGATTTCCCGCTTGCTATTAGGAGGTACTATTCTGACCTGGCGCTGTTTCTAGGACTTCTCATCTCTCTCTACCTCTCTCTCTCTGCCTCTCAAGTCTCAAGAAATTCTACACTTCGCGGATGAGCACGGATTGTACGCTACGGCAATGCGATCTACGATCGAAGCGTTTTAGATGAACTCCCACGGTATATTCATCAATACGTAATTCAACGAGCCACACAACGTCACCAGCCGCTTTGGCTTGGATGAGAAGTGCGAACGAATAGCCAGAACCAGAGAGGTGGGTGGTGCACGACTCTTGTCTCAAACGGCTGCGACGACCAAAGCATATGTCCTTTTAGGCCAGGCTTATGCTTCTCAAACAACCCAGCGTCAGCCCTGACATCATGCAGAAAAAGGAGAGTCGTCGAACCGTGCCGTGATGGAAAAAGTAAAAAGAAGTACGTAGGTACTGTATATAATAGCTCAAAGACTCCTAATCTACTCTCCACAGCTTCTTTCTACTTTTTCCAAGAATTCACACAAAAACACCACTACAACCAACAACCAACACCCAAATCACAAAACATGCAATTCAAGCAACTCATCCTCCTCACGGCCCCATTCGCCCTCGTCGAGGCCCAAATCGCCGGAGCAATCACTTCCGCAGTCGGAGGAGATCTCACTTCCGCAGTCGGCGGCGTAGCCTCCTCTGCCATTTCCGGCGTCACCGGTGCCGCCAGCAGCGTCACCTCTGGAGCCGAAGGAGCCGAGTCCAGCGCTACATCAGGTGCCGAATCTGCCATGTCGACTGCTAGCGAGTCGGCTAGCGATGCTGCGTAAGATATAACCTTTCCCCCTTTTTTCCATCCATCACAAACAAAGAGACTTTCGTAACTAACCTCTCTCTCTTTTCTCTTCGAATAGTTCCTCCCTCTCATCCAGCGCCAGCAGCGCAGAAAGTAGCGCCAGCAGCGCAGAAAGCAGCGCAACCTCCAGCGCCAGAAGTGCCGAGAGCTCAGCTACTTCAGGAGGAGTTGGAGGTATCGTGGGCAGCGCCACCTCGCGTCTAGGCGGTGCAGCGAGCAGTGCGACTTCAGACGGAGCAGCATATGAGACGCAGGCTCCAAAGATTGCTGCCGGTTTGTTGGCTATGGGTATGGGTGCTGTTGCTTTGTTGTAAAAAAGTATTTTGAAGGGGTGGGGAGGAGATATATATGTGGATTTGGAATTTGTATGTGGGGGAAAAAGCGGATGGACAGAACGCTTTGTGAATATGAAGAAGATGGAATTGGAGGATGGAGAGAGAGGTAATCGGATAGCCAACAGAGAGAGAGAGAGAGAGAGAGAGAGGCTTTATGTACACATAACGAGTTAATGCACATACGATGCGAAAATGACGAGGAACAGTAGTCAAGACAGGGGTAATGCTTCCTACTTCCATTCATTCACAATCTTCAGGATATCATTTTCATTATCCATTATGCATTATGTTCATCCTAATCTTGTCCAGGAGAAGAATGATTAGTCCAGTTCCCTGGACAAGACATGGGTATCATCTCGCTCCGCAATTCGCCATGTTAAAAACAAAAACAAAAGAAGCCGCCCCCACCACGCTCGACGCACTCATTTCATTGACGCATTCATCATTCCGACTTCGTACCGAGAAGACCATCATGTATTCTTGACACCACCATTACCAGTCTCAAGCAAGTTCGCCCTTCTTGTACCTGCCTCCAATCTCGCCGGGTCGGACAAGGCCCGTCTTCGCAGGTCAGATATCCTCTCTCGAATGCCCAGCATGATCATGCCGCCCGGCAAGAGCTTGAAGGGAGCAATCGAAGAAGTCGTCTCGCATCCCACCAAAATATCAGCAGCACCGTCCATGCTTCTGCAATGTGCTTTCGATCGCTCTTTGAGTGATTTTGCACGACGAATGGCGCGCTCGGGCACTTCGCATGGTCCGTATCTGCCACTCCTGTTAGTAGCCATCACTTCCGCCCCGAGAAAACATGGCACCGCGCCAGTAAGAGGAACGAAGTGCTACTTCTTCACGAAGCCCTCAATGGCATCTGACGCTCGACTCTTGGGCCGTCCACTGCTGTTTCGATGTAGAAGCTTGTCTCGATCCCGGGATAGACTAGCACTAGGCGATGCCCCCATAGCAGCAGTTGGCAGAGGCATGAGATTATCGCCATTGGCTTCCATGCCTGCGCTTGATTCAGTCTTGCCCAAGCGTTGCTCTTTCTTTAGCTCGAGGTACATTCTGGCGTGGTCGGAGAGTGGAAACGGCGAAGGCTCTGATGGAATGTCGGCGCCATTTTGCAGAAGGACCTCTGCCAAAGGGAACGGCTTTCGAGGCAGAGGACTTGAGGGACGTGGAGGTGCGGTGACCGAAGAACCAGAAGTGGCTCTGATGCTGGACGTGTAACCGCTAGCAGGAGCCGCGGGGTCCGCAGCTGCTAGAGCCAAATAGACAGCGTGTGTTGCTCGCACTCGATCATGAGCGTTGGGATTAGCTCGCAGTGCCAGGGCGTGAAGAACACTCTGGATATCATTCTTCTTAATACTGGTCAAGAGGTATTCGTCCGGCGACATTGGCGCTGCTGGAGTTTGCACGTACGTGCGGTCGCTGTATTTTGCGGTGATGAAGTGCAGTCTCTGGTCTCTCGTCGAGTGCGGCGAAGGTTTCAGGAAGCGATCCAGTTTGGCTTCCCAGATCATGTTGCTAACACGATTCCCAATGAGAAGCAAGACCTCGACGATGTCATGTGTGGCAAAAGATGTGTCCAGCGTCAAGCCACGCACCTTGGAGATGTGTGTGCCTAGGGAGCGATGTATCCCGCTGCATTCGATACACAGCAATATGCCCAGGTTGATAGAGCACCAATCCACCTTTGCGTCGGATCCGCAATCAGCGCAGACTCGATTGCCCTCATCAGCATTCTTGATACGCTGAAGAAGCGCAGATGGCTCCGGCTCCGAGTCGACTCGCTTGTAGGCAGGCTTGTCGCCAGTGGTAGCATGCCTGCTCACGGCGCCAGAGGCAGAGTGCCGATTGGGATTCGAAACTTGCCTGTGACCTGAGAACGATGAGCTCTTGCCGGTCAGGACTGCAGCGATGTCCTTGCGATGGGAGTTGACAGCTGGCGATGGAGATGCAGGGAGCGGCTGATTCTTATTCTCGAACGCGCTCTGCAATGCGTTATTGATGGCCCCAATCCATGCACGCAAATCATCCTCCGACGGCGCTTGGTAGACACGCGTGAATTGCGGCGTAATGACCTCGAAGCAAAAGCGTCGATCGGCGTTGCGTGCTTCTCGCACTGAAGCCATTCGAAGATCGATGGGCTCCATGTGCAGGTCAAGCTTGTCTTTCCAGTTCACATATTCCGAGAGCTTTCCTTGATCAAGTACAATCCAGAATTTGTGCCAACCAGGTTTGGTGATGCCTTTAGGGTCGACATGACTACCAGGTCTGCTCAGCGCCCATAACAGGCCTTCCTTTCGCATTGCCCCGCCGTTCGCCGTGGCACCCGAATTATCCTCCAGATCGCGTATCCCCTTGAATTTGCTGGCCGGACTCGCGGCAGTAGTCGACGTGGAGCTTGCAGGTGTGCTCAGCAGACCATTGCTGGTTGGCTGCTGTGCAGCGAGGCCACCCGCGCTTGGAGGTGATTGTGAAAGTATCGCGCTGCCACTGAGGCTTGTGGATCTCGTCGGATGAAGGTCGCCGGGTCGAAGTGAGTCTCGGTTTGCTGTAGAATGAGTCAAGCCACCGGTCGGCGCAACGTTGCCATCCTCGCTCGTCAACTTGGTGCTCGTCTCCAGCGCGCGACGCTTCTCTTCTCGTTCCTGGCGCAACAGCTTGAAGTCTTGGTCTGCCATCCTGACCTCTGCGACCAATGCATCGAGCTGAGGAACCATCTCTTCGACCTTCTTGGCTGTCGTGAGATAGCTCTTTGCCTGTGCGTCGGCGTACTTGGTCAGATGCGATAGAACTTCTTGATCTTTTCGCCCGCCGTGCAAATCGTGCATGAAACTGGAGTAGTCGAAGCGCTTGAGCTCGAACGTCCTTCGCTTGGACTGGTATTTTTCGTCACTTCGGACAACCTTCTTCTCCTTGAGCGATTCTGTCCTCTGGCCAAGGTATTTGCCCACGAAGGCATAGTAGTCCTTGCTCTCTTCCTCGAACTCCCGCTTCTTGCTGTCTGCCTGCTTGATCTCGAAGTTGTACAACTTACTCACGGGCTCTATAATGAGCTTCTGCAAGTTGACGGTATTCTGTTTCTCGTAATGTAATATCTCCTTCGCAATCTTCTCGAAGTAATGATCCAATGCCGGTTGGACCGCATTGGCATTCGACGTGGCTGCATCTCGCAACGCGTTGGTGAAGTCTGCAACAGCTTGATTGCACGCCTGCTGAGCAGACTCGGCGGCTTCGGCGGTCTTCAGCACCTTCTTCATGCGTGTTCTCATATTACTAGTCTTTTGCTCGAGTGACCGCATCGTTGCTCGGAAGAGCGGCCCATCTTCGTTAAGAGACGGATCTTCTCCCGGCTTGCATGTCGCTACGTCCACTTTGACCAAGCCTGCCATAGACTGCGCCGTCAGAGTGGGTATCAGACCCAGACCGTTCTCCGGGATGGGCTCGAACGTCGGCGATTGAGGCATGTCTTTGTTTTTGTGGTCTTGATAGTTGCTCTCGCCCTCGGAATCACTCACGTTACTGACCCTCGACTCGATCGATTGAGTAGACGGTACTCGCAGCCTCGCAGGCATGTTGGGCAAGTCGACGTTGAGCATGGGCGATCGTGGAGATGCACTTAGAATGCGCTGAGTGTTCTGTACCCAGAAGCTGAAGCTCGCGAGTGTCTCCAGCTTGTGCGAGCGCTGATTGTATTCCACAAAACTGCAACTATTGCGCCAACCACCTCCTCGATCCTCTGACTGCTTCGGTGGCCGCCACTTCCAGCTCCAGCCGAACTGCACGCTGGCATTCCCCGCCGTTGAAAAGTCTCCGACAAGCTGGACATTCGCGTTCTTGTGCAGATTCGGGTCCGTATGGAACTCGCGCACGACCAGGTGGTCGACCTCTTTGGGTGTTGATGCGAAGACATAGGTGAGCCCTGATATTGTAGTATCGAATGTCGTTGCGGTTGGCGATGTGCTATTCGAATTCGCCGCGGACTGCCCTTGCTGTCGCAGGATGAATAGGAAATGGAAGTTGAGCTCGTCCGTGTTCGAGAGACGGATCAAGAATGCGGGCATGCCAGTAAGCAGGCTCTCGGGATCTTGGACATATTTGAGTGGACTGTCGTCGCCTGTGTCCTTTGAGGCACTGAATCGCGTTGCGGGATAGGCGTTGGGGGCCACTCGGAGCAATGTCTGGCCGCGCGAATTGGTGACGATGATACTAGCAATGGAGAAGCGCGCCTGGTCGCTCAGACAGATTGACGCTCCATCGTCTGGTCTGCTCGAGACGATGCCCATGGTAATCAGTCAGTCATCCGGCGGGCGATCGCCGCGTCCCTCATGCGGCTCGTGTGCAGAATCGCGACAAGGCCGATGTGATCGGAGGTAAATGCTCGGCGGAGGATGTACTCGCAGTGGCAATGGGATGGTGGAATAGCGGCGGGTAATGTATGTGTGCAGCAGGTCGAGGAGCGGCGAGGTGGATTGGAATGGGTCAGGTGGAGGATGTTGGTTGTGTTTGTTGTTGTTATTGTTGTGGTAGTAGTGGTAGTGGTAGTCTTGATCCTGGTGCAGATGAGCTGCCGCACTACTGGTCGCTTCAAGTCATGCAGGTCAAGGTCGCGCGTCAAGGGTCATGCAGGATTCTGCCACGATAGGAAAGGGCGAGGGGCTAGTCTACCTGTAGGACAAAGTGTGTGGCACTGGACGTGTGGAGAGACTCGGAGTGAGGGGAGGGGATGGGATGGGATGGGATAGAAAAAGGGGATGCGGCTGTTGGGCAGAGAGTGCGAAAATGAGATTAATCTATTGCAACACAACCTTTTCTCCTCTCCCTCTCCCTCTCCCTCTCCCTCTTCTCCTGCTCGTGTGACTCTTCAGTCTCTGGACGCGTCTTCGGTGTTCACATACAACCACGAGACAGCCGCGGTGCCCGTGCAGTGTCTGCATGGCCGACACGCGGATGGATCCATACCGTAACCACGTTCGCTCATCTAATTTCAGCCAGGCCCACCTCCTCTCGGCTGAGAATGATGAAGATCGCGTGCAACCATGTCTCCCAACCTGCGCATCATCCTCAGAACAGCCATCACGGTTTCATCTTCACGTGCAGCACTCTCCTTTGCTTGCGATGCTACGCGAAGGCTAAGAATGCGCACACTGTAAAGGACCCTGAGTCCGAGATACAGCATGTTTCATAGTCGCCGCGGACAGTACTCTTAGCAATGCTGTCTACACGACCATCCAGGCGAAGGCAGCCCGTTCGGCGACCAAGACACCAGCAAATAAGAGCTACTCTCACGAGGAGTGATTCGTTCCCAAGTCAGCATTCTTGCGGACGCCTCCCAGAGTCTCCCTTCTATGAAAACGAGCTCTGCAGAAATGTAACCTATAGATCCGCTCCCTGTGCACACGACAGCAACGAAGTCACAATCGTGGGAGAGTCTTGTATGGACACTCTCACTCAACCCCTCTTCCACATGGTCGAGGTAGGCGATTCGTAAAGATGGTTAATCAGCGGATAGCAAGGACCAGGATTTCTATGCTGATGTCTTGTCCATCAAGACTCGGGTGTGAGAGAAGGTGTACGCCTTGCAATAGCGGATCGCCGTGTAATACTGTGGAAAGTGAACTACTTATCTACCCCACTACTCGACTGATCTCTATTATTGGGTGTTTGCATGATGGCGACATCGATATTTGTTCTTCCAAAGCTCGTGGTGGAGTGACGTTGGACAGATAGACAATGTTGGCACATACAGGTACCTGTATAATGGTACAAATGAGCGGCGGCATTTAGAGGTTGTTCCACCTTTGCCTGCCTCAAGCTATCATAATGGTGCTTATCATCGGTGAGACACGGCCCTACTCGAGCTGGGTAGAAGTATCGGACCGAAGGCTTTTACTCGATAGCTAGAGAGGCTGTTCGTTTGGTGAAGTGGAAATGTTGCCTAATTGCATGTGAAGCAACTCTCGGCATTTGATATCCCGCCTGTCGCCAAAAAGCTTCCACTCAGCTGCATCGACATCTTCATTCCAGCTGAGAACCTCGATCGCAAAGCACGCAACTGTCGCCCACCATGCCGGCCAAAGGTACTGCGCCGTTCGCGACCTTCCTGATCATCGGACGTATGTTCTGCCTACCCTGTTCGACGTGCGACGCGTACTAATAGACATCTTCAGCGACCTGCTTCTTCCTCGGCGTCCTTTTCGCTCTTTTTCCCTACGACTACAATGTCCTCTGGTCCACACCGCCCACGATTGACCCCGCCGTGAACCCGCGAGAGATCTACTTCCAGCTTCAAGAGAACCACTTGAAGTTCCTCCACGCCTCTCCGCCTCTCATCTCCCGCATCCTTCACATTGTGATTGGGACTGGCCTCCTTGGTTTCCTGATCAAGCTCTTCAAGCCGACCGAGGCCAATCTTCTCTTCGATGGCGCTAGCTTGGTGCTCTACATGTGCGGCATCACTGTCTACATTGCCAATATTGTCAAGGGACTCCGCACTGTCACTGCAGGCGCATACGGGACGAAGGTATTGGATGAAGCGGCGGGTGAGTCGCTCGTCGACAAGGCCTTGGAGAACCGAGAGGGAGACTACATTGGAAGAGAAGACAGTCTGAGGGTCTTGGCAGCCAGTGATACAATTCTGGCGTTGGTGTTGGTGGGCGTGCTGGTTCTGCAGGCTGGGCAGTGGTACGCGCAGAGGAAGGAGCAGGAAGAGATGGAAATGATGGATGCTAAGAGGGACGAGAAGATCGCTGCGAAGGCGGAGAAGAAGGCGGAGGGAAAGAAGCAGAAGTAGGACTCGGATGCTTTTGAGATTCTGCGCTCCTCGTCTGGCCTTTGTGCAGTCACTACTTTCAAAACCCCATATGGCTCTGAGGATGAAGAAGAAGAGATCTCTTGGGTGAACGACAAATGAAGTCCGAGAGAGCCTATGCTTTTGGGAAGAAGCGCAAATACGACCTATGAAAATGGGAACCAGGACGAGGATTCGAATTCACAAGGTCTTTCCAGATCATTACCATGTGGTTACTTCCATGAGCTGACGGAGAACCGAAAAACAAATGCGCGTAATATAAAAAGTGCGCAAACCTGCTTCGCCAACTCATAAGAGCACTCTGCTTTGGCAAATACTGCCATCTATCTCCAAGCTTCTCACCAAATCTCGTAGCATTACATTGCGCACTGCATTCGACGTTGCCCGTATGATAGTATGCTTGGTCCAATACCACTTTACATCCTGCACACCTTCTTCCTGAACATCTTCGTTCGAAGAGACCTTCTCGCCCACGACTTGATGATGACGGTAGGAAAAGCTGAGGGACAGGCGCAACACAGCGATGGGATCTGCCAATACGATGAATATGGACAGCGTCATCAAACTTGTGAGCTTCGTCCTCCCTGAACTTCTCCACCAATTTCGCTTCATGACTCTTCGTAGCAGCACAGGAGGTAGTTCTACACAAAAGTAGCCAGTGGCGCAGCATTCAGAAATGATTTGTTGTGGTTCTGGGGAGTCTGGCTGACTAGAAGGAAGCCATTTGCTCGTACCTGGTACCACGTAGTTATTGAAAATTTGTCTTTAATTTGTGCCGCAGTAATCGCGTGAGGATTGCGGTACTAGAAGACATCCGTGTCATCTAGCTCTAAGGTACCTGATCATAGATGTTCTCAAGTGGCCCGGCCAAAAGATGTCCCAGTCGCTCTCGTGGTGAGGGTGCATAGCCTCTTCAAACGCAATTGTACACTTCCCGGGACGTCTTCGCGCGTGGTCACAGAAGGCTTTGGGCAGCAGTTCCATCTGCGCTCGAATGTTGATGCCAAACACCACGTCGTCCTCCCAGTTCAGAGCTGTTTCGTATCGCCAGCGGTGCGGCGACCGTTTCAAGAAGTGCGAAATGGCTCATTAAATGCACGAGCATGACGGTAACCCTCCGGCGGCTTGCTACTCACCAGGGCTCGTATTTCGTCGTCAGATGGTGCTTCAATGTTGTATGGGAAATTGTGGCTCGTCAATTGTGAAACAGCTCGATCGACACTGGCACACGTGGCTGAGGAGCTTCGAGCCACATCATGGGTTAATCACGCTTCGACTTGGCAGGAATCACAACTCACTCGTGCAACACGCCTCCACTACCTCTCCAGCAACAAACACCCTTCTTTTCTCACAACCTCTCTCTCGCGACCCACCGAAGTCCCACCCATCCACCGCTATCCCGCTGAGCTAGCAGACTGCCACCATGGCCACTGAGGTATGTACCACTTCCAGCTACCTGGTTGGCGATGGGAGGAGCTGGTCTTGCGCAACGTTCGCAGACCCTCAACAAAACACCTCAACACGCCGCGACGCTGCCGTCGACAGACTGCTGACTTGCGATTCTGTAGCGCGAGAGGTATATACCTGACTTTCCAGAGGTCGCGTCTGCATCCGAGCAGCTCACTGACGTCTGACACAGCAAGACGTTCCTCGCACGACTGTGCGAGCAGGCAGAGCGCTACGATGGTACGTCATGAGCTGGCGCGGGAGACATTCAAACGGATGCTAATCTGAAGCGCAGAGATGGTCGGATACATGAAGGTATGCCAGACGAAGCTCGCATAGGTGTGCGTCGAATGACCCAGGCTGACTCTTTCTATAGGAAGTTGCAAAGGTACACCCTCCTGATAAGCCTCCCGTGCGGAGAGCAACCTTCCTGCGGCTGCGGCAGCCATCGCGCCCCTTTCACCACGACGACCTCGCACTGACACTGACCCGTGATGCAGCTCGGCGGTGAGCTTACCGTCGACGAGCGCAACCTCCTTTCCGTGGCCTACAAGAACGTGGTCGGCACGCGCCGCGCGTCCTGGAGAATCATCTCGAGCATCGAGCAGAAGGAGGAGGCCAAAGGCACAGACAAGCACGTTGGCATCATCCGCGATTACCGTCAGAAGATCGAGACCGAGCTCGAGAAGGTCTGCCAAGATGTTCTCGATGTGCTTGACGACAGCCTCATCCCAAAGGCCGAGACCGGCGAGAGCAAAGTCTTCTACCACAAGATGTGAGTCTCTTGCGAATGCGGACGTGCTACTTTTGGCGACATTGAGTGGAAAGCTTACGAAAGGACAACAGGAAAGGTGACTACCACCGCTACCTCGCCGAGTTCGCCTCTGGCGAGAAGCGCAAGACAGCTGCCACTGCCGCGCACGAGGCTTACAAGGTATGTCATCGCGATGCAACACCCGCTACATCTACTAGAAACTGCGATTGACAAGTGATACAGAACGCCACGGACGTCGCTCAGACGGAGCTCACCCCAACTCACCCTATCCGCTTGGGTCTGGCGCTGAACTTTTCAGTCTTCTACTACGAGATCCTGAACTCTCCAGATCGTGCCTGCCACCTCGCCAAACAGGCATTCGACGATGCCATCGCCGAGCTCGACTCGCTTTCCGAGGAGTCCTACCGCGACAGCACCCTCATCATGCAGCTCCTGCGTGACAACCTTACCCTCTGGACATCATCAGATGGCGGCGAGCCAGAGGCTGCCGCTGCCGCTGGCGAGACCAAGGCTGAGGAGAAAGCTCCAGAGCCAGCTGCAGAGCCTCCGACTGAGGAGGAGCCAAAGCCAGCTGCTTAAGTGTTGTCAAGTCTTTTACCAGTCATCAGCGGCGTGCTCTTTATCAGGAGTTGGTGTGCAGGAGCGTGGACGACGGACGCATGTTTCCCATCACCACCTCGATGAGGCGGGTAATGAGAATAGCATGCAATGAATCATAACGGAGAAGAATTGCAACCCAAGACACCAGCGGAATCGGCCATGATGCCTGTGGCTCATGGATCTGAGATGTGGAAAGTGTCCAGCTTTGCTTTCCACCATCACACCACTCTTCGAACCCCTATTGCGTTTATGCGAACGATTCGGCGGCGCTCCATGTTTAGCCTGTGTTTCTTCTCGACTCTATCCAGCGACGTATGTGCTTTTTGATGATGACGATTCTTTCCCCGACGGACTGTGGCCTCATCGGCTCGACGTCAAGGATGAGTTGCTACAGAGCTGGGAATCACCCACTCTACTGACGGTCTCTACCCAAGCTAGCATACCTACGCAAGCAATATCCCAAAAAACTTTAAACAAAATGCTTGCTCTCTTCTTCCCTTTTCTCCTCCTCCTTCTCGTGCTCTGTGTATGATGTGGCCTCGGCTACGTTTTGAAGGTTTTTTTTTCTACTGATTAATCTTCCGTATCCGTACCGGACGTGGTCAACTGATGTCGTTTGGGAACACTATGTAGCTTCCTACCATCCCATACCACACTGTCCACACCATACCACGATCACACGTGGCTCAATCAACATGGATGCTTGCGCGCCGGCAATGCCGGTAACCTTCAAGGCTGATGGTTACAGAAAGTGACATTGCCGACCTGCAGCATGGGAAGGTTTACGCGAATCTGAATTCACAAGGCCGACTGGATGAGGAAGCAAGTCACGATGGGTAAATGCAGGGTGGGGCGCGGTCTAAAGGGCCTTGTGGGGGCAGTAAGATTGGGGAAAAAAATTCCTTCTCATCATCGCGGACGATTTGGTATTTAAGCTACATACATCGTCTACGATTTGACATGAAAAAATTGATGAAATGTCCGTCAGTGATTAGTCCTCCAACCGCCACTTGAATCAAGGCAGAGAAGGGTGGAGTAGACGAGGGCCTGCTAAGATCCCCTTCAAGTAAATGAAGTTCTTCTTCCACTGATTGAGATGAAGTAGCTTGGAGGCTATGTGTATGAGCCGGAAAGCAGGCAAATCGTGGTGTTTGTGCGTTTGTGTATCCCCAGGGGGTCCCTCTACGTTTGTATGACTTTGCAAGTCAATGGCCACCCGTTGACCATCATTGCAGCCTGCACGATGGCAGTGTTTGGTCATGAAAGATCATCGTCTTTGTGAAGACTGGCAAAGTGACTGCTCGTGGCAATCTCTTCTGCTCATCTTCGTCTCTTTGGGCAGTGGTCATCTGCTGTTGCAGTGTCTTCCCCGATTCTTTTGATTCATGCAAGGTACGTGCAGAGTGTCTGCATGGTGACAGTAACTTCTGCGCGCCTTAGTCTCGGTGGTCTGAGGCATTGATCATCTGCTGTGGCAGAGTCGTCTGCAATTCTTTCACTCAAGGAAATTCGTGTACGTAAGAAGTGTCTTCTTCGCATCGTGATCTCGTTGAGGTTGAGCATCGATCATCTGCCGTGGCAGAGTCGTCTGCAATTCTTTCACTCATGGAAATTCGTGCGCGTAAGAAGTGTCTTCTTCGCATCGTGATCTCGTTGAGGTTGAGCATCGATCATCTGCCGTGGCAGAGTCGTCTGCAATTATTTCACTCATGGAAATTCGTGCGCGTAAGAAGTGTCTTCTTCGCATCGTGATCTCGTTGAGGTTAAGCATCGATCATCTGCCGTGGCAGAGTCGTCTGCAATTCTTTCACTCATGGAAATTCGTGCGCGTAAGAAGTTTCTTCTTCGCATCGTGATCTCGTTGAGGTTGAGTATTGATGATCATCTGCCGTGGCAGAGTCATCTGCAACTCTTTGATTCATGGAAATTCGTGTGCGTATGAAGTGTCTGTATGATGACAGTGTCTTCAGCGCATCGTGATCTCTTTGAGGTTGAATATCGATCATCTGCTGTGGCAGAGTCGTCTGCAACTCTTCAAATTCATGGAAAGTTCTTGGAGGATTGATTGCGTGCCCAAGTGTCTGCATAATACAGCATCTTGTGCGCGTCCTCGTCTCAGAGATGTCTGGCATTGACCACGTGCCATAGGCAGAGTCGTCATGCGATTCTCGGTGTCTCTGAAGGCTGCGAAGTATCTGCACATGGGCAGTCTCTCCAGCATCGCTTCGTCTTGGGGTGAATCTGTGAGGTCAGCAGAGAAGCGCGTCAAGCCGGTCCCCAGGGTGTGCTGTGGCGGTGCATAGCTACACATGGAAGAGGATCTGGGGTGGTATAGAGAATTCGGTCATCTCAGCTGGGGGCCTCGACTGGAAAGAATTGTGGTAAAAAATCGATGGGGATGTGATGATGAGAGAAGGAAGAGAGAGGAAGAATGGAAAACAGAACGCGAATTGAGATTTTCAGGTCCTCGCGAAATTCGAACGCTAGGTCCACTTTGGCTTGGCGTGTCCACCCATCTTCAAACTCATCTTCGCGCGGTTCTTTTCTTCCCTTTCTTCTCTCTCACACACACTTTTAGAACGGATAATCAAGCATCAGATCTTTCTCAGTGGCCTGTTGTTCATATTGCCGTTCCAGATCAATTCTGAAGCGTCTTTTAGGCCTCCTCGCTGAATCCGTTGGTAACGCAGCGCACCGTAGCCTGGAGGTCACCTGCGTTTTTGCTTCACAATCTCTTTCGTTTGCCCTACGTAGCCAGGATTCGCAAGCCTCCCTTGAGCATTTGTATGCAATGACCCTAGCCTATTAGATTCATGCCCAGAGGGACATGCGGATGAACATAATGGCACGCCGATGAGATCTCATTGTCATTTTCGCTGCAGTGGCAAGCCTTGCAGAATCGTGGTCTATGTACGGCTGCGATCTGGTCTTGATGCCCCTGGACGATGAGCTGTAGCATGTTGCGTAGAGAGCGTATAGAGAAGATCATTATTCGCCGTCCGGCAGGCAAACACTGCACAAACGCCCCAAGTTGCTGGAGTATCACGACATCATTTCTACACGACATGTACTTCCACATCTCACAACTAACACCGGTCTTTGGGTATTGGAACGGAAGAAGAGCTGCATGGTGCTAGATTTGGGGCTCCAAACTGGCGTGAACCGATTCGCATTTTGTGAAGACTTTCGCTGTGATCTCTACCACTGCATAGATGCCCATGCCGATGCCATAACGCCAGGTGCTACCGCGGCACCGCGCTGGAATTGTCTTCAGATCGTGACCGCCATCGTATTCCGGCTCCGCTCCAACGTTGTTTTGCTTTGTCCTCCACGCTTATCTCAGTCTGCGGGCCTCACGCTCAGATTCGAGGAGGCAGAGGATGTCGTCCTCACGGACTGCGCGCATAATCAGTCTCTTGTCCGTAGTTCCCAGTGCGCTACAGTTCTTTCTCTTACCTGGTCCCTTGACGTTGCGGATAATGCTACGGGTGGTGTCGTCCATGAACTCGACGCGGACCTGGCAAACACCTCCACGAGAGCCTGTATTCTGTCAGATTTGTCCTTCTTCTTATTGTTCCTCTTCCCGATATTTTTCTTCTTCCTCTTCCTCTTCCTCTTCCTCTCCCTTCCTCCCGTGTCTTGGTGATTGCATACCGGTGCGGCCGAGGACCTTAATGACCTTTACGAGCTTGACTGGGACCCTGCGCACAATCAGTCAGTATTTTGTCCTCCGTCTCGCGCCTATGCATGCGACTGACTTTGCGGAATCCATCTTTGCAGTTGTATGATCGGTTTGACGGGTTGTCGGTGAGTGATTGGCGTGATCGTGATGCGAGATGGTCGGACGGCTGATCTGTTACTGGCGGTATGTGCCTTCCACTTTGAAATTCGAAGAATCACTTGGCACGGAACTTCGCACCACGGAACAACAGCCGGGCCGCTCTTCTACAACCTGAGGCATGATTTCCGCGAAAAACTTTTGTATGACTGATGTTCCACAGCACGTCAGTGGAGGACGATAGCAAACTCTGCCGCTGTCCGGCTGAAGCCCAGAGCTCGGTATTCGCTACTGTTGTGTATGTCCACGATAGGCTGTTCGACAACCAGCGTACGATAGCATTCGAGTCACCTTCCGAATGAGTCCCGCACAAACCTGTCAAGAGTCCAGCCGATACTAGTCTCACTACTACATTCCCTCCCACATACACAAGAACAAACGCTCCTCTGATCACAACGCATACCGTTTGCTCGGTCGTACTCTGTGCTCACCTCCTCGGCTTTCCTTAAGACGCTAGTTCCCAGTACATCATGGATCTCGTCAATCAGTACGTTCCGTTCCTCTTCTCCACCTTGTATCACAATGGATATACAGCACCATGTTGCACAACGACTAGGAGTACAAAGGCGATTCACTCGGTCTCTACCGACGTTGACTAACAGCCTCGCCAGCCTCAATGATCGGCTGCTCTTTGCTGTTCCGAAAAAAGGACGTTTGAACCAAGCAGTTCTCGACCTGCTGGCCGGATCCGATATCCAGTTCCACAGGCACAACAGATTGGACATTGCACTCGTCAAGAATCACCCTGTGGCACTTGTTTTCCTCCCCGCAGCAGATATCCCAACTTTCGTGGGAGAAGGCAGAGTCGATCTGGGAATCACTGGACGAGACACAGTTGCTGAGCATGAAGCTGTAACGCCTGCCACCGAAACCCATGGGATTGAAGAGATCATGGACCTGGAGTTTGGAAGATGCAAGCTTCAAGTGCAAGTCCCCGAGAAGGGTGATATCCAAACACCCGAGCAGCTTGTCGGCAGAAATGTCGTGACTAGCTTTACTGGCTTGACTGAGGAATTCTTCCGTAAACTCGAGAACAATGACTCCCAAGCCAATGGATCCACCCCTGGCGACTCCTCCGAAAAGCCTAAACTTCGCACTCACATCAAATTCGTCGGCGGCAGTGTCGAAGCAGCATGTGCCCTCGGTGTAGCAGACGGAATCGTCGATCTCGTCGAATCCGGCGAGACGATGCGTGCGGCAGGACTCAAAGCTATTGCCACAGTAGTAGAATCCACGGCAGTCCTGATCCGCTCCAAACACCCTTCGGACCCCAAACTCGTGGACATCATCGCCAACCGGATTCGCGGAGTCATCACCGCGCAAAAATATGTCTTGTGCACGTACAACGTGGAGCGGAAGAATTTGGATCGCGCTCGCAGTATCACGCCGGGCAAAAGAGCGCCAACGGTGAATTCCCTCGAGGAGGAAGGTTGGGTCGCGGTGCAGGCTATGGTGTTGAAAAAAGCTATTGCGGATGTTATGGATGAGTTGCAGTCGATTGGTGCTACGGACATTTTGGTCACGAGAATTGATAACTCGAGGACTACTTAGGATGTCTCTTGAGCTTGTGAGCGTGAGCGTGAGCGTGAAGGAGGAGCCAATATGGGGGCTTTTCACCCAGCCTTAGATTAACGACGAAAAAGAAGGGATACATGTAGATGTCTTCCATTTATTTATGTGACTACCTTGGAAAATATTGTCGACATATTCAAATACATATCTGCACCAAATCGGTCAAAGCCGATGTAACCTCTCCAAAGCTGCCAGCTACCCTACTTGTCTCTCCAATCAATCCCTACTCTCTACCCTTCTTTCTAGAAGATTCCAATTCTCTCGAAGCATACGAGACATGACATGGCAGTGGAAAGAAAGCGCATGCTTATAGGCTATCGCCAATAGCGCGCGACGTTGTGCTTCATGCTAATCATGCAGTCATGCTGAATCGACCAATACAGACTCGATTTTGAGAGGGAGAGAGGGACGTGGATATGGGACAACACATGATGGTCTCTACCATGCCATATCACGTACACACGTTTGATGACCGTGGAGTTCTGGCGAGGTGATGTTGATGTATCGGCAAGGATGAGAAAGCTTGAAGGCATGGCAAGGTCTTCCTTCGGCCCTTCGGGCGAGTGCCGACGGCAGCATTCGAACTACCGTCCTTTTTGATTACCAACACCAACACCATGAAAACTTCCGCTCTCAGCTCGGATATGCAAGCGCAGCTTCGAGGTGGTAGGTGTGCTATAATGGTCTCGGGTGCGTGGTGATCATGCTCTACTGGTAATAATGAAGAATTGATGCATCGCCGTCGACTCATTCTTGCAGGAGACGACACTCGATGTGAAATCAGGTCAGCAATGTGGTCATTGATCAAGCCTTCCAAGGGACATGGACGCCGTATTCCATAATCAATATCGACAAAAATGTAGAGTCAAATCTGCCCCTGCTGCTCCCGGCCACACTTCGTGGAGCAGGTGGTGTTACCACAGCCTGTAGATGGCAATCGAATGCCTTATACCCGACTCCCCACCCCTCTGACGCAATAGCAGCCCATTAGACGACCTCTTCCTCGTCCCCTTCTTCGAACATTCAAGTTACCTATATCAACGTCAACCCACTCACACCTCCAGCAGTACTCAATAACGTTTTCCATCACCAACTCACAAACAAACATGTCTGGAAACATTCAACCACTCATCCTCCATGCCCATGGTACTGGACCAAACCCATACAAGATTGCCGCAGCTCTGGAAATTCTGAAAGTGCCTTACGAAGTCAAACTATGGCAATTCGGTGAAGCTAAGAATGGTGTCAAAGGCCCCGACTTCCTCAAGATCAACGAAAATGGCCGTGTCCCCGCTCTCGAAGATCCGAATACGGGAGTGACCAGCTGGGAGTCTGGTGCGGTGATGAACTACATTCGCCGAGTGTACGACAAGCAGAACAAGCTGGGTCCGCGCGGAACTTCTGAGCAAGACATCGTGGATTTTGAGAAGTGGGAGTACTTTCTCGTGTCTACCTTGGGCCCCATGATGGGTAAGCGTGCTCGAACCTCTCTCGCCACGATGTTACATGCTGATTAATAAACGATTGCAGGCCAGGTGAATTGGTTCAAGCATTACAACGCTCAAAAGAACGATGATGCCTTGAAGCGGTACGAAGAGCAAGCGTATCGTTGCTTTGGCGTGCTCGATGGCCAGCTGAAGAAGCACGGTGGACCATACATTCTTCCGGGCTCGACACCTTCCGCGGTCGATCTCCATTTCTACGCTTGGGTGTATCAGCACGGTTACGCAGGTCTGAGCTTAGACTCGTACCCCAGCGTGAAGAAATGGGTGGAGCAGGTTGGAGGGTTGCCTGAGATTAAGGCGGCATATGAGAAGGTTCCCAAAGGCACGGAAGTGTAAAGTGTTTCACGACTGATATGACGTTCCACCCATAGGACATTCATTAATGAGAATGTGGACGTAGACGGCAGAAATAGCACAGTGTCGCGTGTCGTGAGCTCATCTCCTCAAACAAGCAAGCATACCACGGGAACAGATGAGTAGTTCTATGTTCACTTTCAACAGGCAGCCTCCAATCTCTTTGTAATATGAACTCGTGTTGATGATAATCATGATGCCTACCCCAGACCTTACCTACCTGGTACCTCTAGAATAAGGTAGGAGGTATGTAATCATCTTCTGGAACAAGCCGTTTCCTGTACTCATTCTGATGGACCCTGAAGAAGCACGGCCCGAGAATGGGGGATCCACTAATTCCAATCCACAAATCGATCTGACGACACCAGTGCCCAGCGATGCCCAATCAAATGACGATGCCGAGCGGCAAATCTGCTTGTGGATCCACTCAAAAACCGAACCTCGGCGGCGCCAACCACGATACGCCATCGTGCGCACGTTTTTGTTAGTCTGCCGTCGCTTCCCTCTTGTCCGTGTCCGTCTCTGCCTCTGCCTCTCGTTTGTTCCACATGCCTGTCGCTGCCGCTGTTACGTTGCGTTGCTGTTGAGTGTTGTTGTCTTGCCCCTCTCAACGCCCTGACCGTCCTTACCGACTCACTCTCTCTCACTCTGCCCCTTGGTACCAATCTGCCTTCCACTTCCCCCGCTGCCACTTCCACTACCTCCTACCTCCTAGTGGCTACTTGTATCCACACGGCCGCACTCCACTCGAACTAGAACCACCGCCACCAACGCTAAGGCCGAAAACTAATCTACACTCAAACGACCGAACACCAATTACCTGACAACTGACTAATACACCAACGTCCGCCTGCACGCCCATATCTGGAGGGGCATACCATTGTTACACCACCACAACCACCTCCAGGTACAAAGGCCATTGACACCGGTAGCACGAGCATGACGCAAACGACCTACTGTACTGCGAGGAGCGGCACCGCGACCATAACAGAGTCTTGTGAGGAGCCGACGCTCGGCGCTACTTCCGGCGCTCAATTTGACACGGAGCTCGAGCGGTCGAGGAAGAGGAGGAGGCACTCCAGTTACAATCCGCGATCATGGAGCTCTGAGCGCGACAATGTGCAAATTGTCATTGACGACTTCCTCAGCGATTTGGGAAAGAGATTGGCCATGGTGGAGGAGTATGGCCATCTCAAATTCGATGCTGGAGTCACGACCGTCTTTGACACCTTGACCGCCATTCACCAGCGATGTATGAAAGAGTATGATGGGATGCGAGAGTCGGGTCGAAGGCGGCACAAGGCCTTTGTAGACGCATTGGAGGCCCAGTACAAAGATGCATTGGCGAAGCGTGAGACACTGGAGGCGAAGGTGCAAGAAGGTGTGAATATGCTGGAAGAACACCTCGCTGCACTCGAGCAACGAGCGTATCATCTTCGTGAGAAGGGGGCCATGGCCACAGCCCACCAGATGCTCGACTCGGGAATAGCTTACATGGACGAAACGGCCATCAAAGCCAGTCATCTCATGCTCGAGGGAGCCGACGCAGCACGCAGAGCGAAAGAACACATGAAGATGAAGATCGAGGTTGCTCTCGGACATGCGCGAAAGCACGGAGTAATCACTTATGATATGCTCCCCGAACCATGGCGTGTGAATCCGTACATCTTGTCGGGCTATCGCTTTTCAGAGAACAAGCTGCAGTGCGTCACCTCCTGCTTCACACTGTCGAACGAATTTGTGAATATCTGGTCGCATGCAATCGGCCTCATCGTCGTCCTGGCGATTGCATTTTGGATATACCCTTCGACGCCGGCTTTCATTGACGCCACGGCATTCGACATTGTCATTGCAGGCGCATTTTTCTTTGCGGCGTGCAAATGCCTCGTCTGCTCGACCATGTGGCACGCCATGTCTTCCATCTCCAACCAGACACTCATGGAGCGCTTTGCGTGCGTCGACTACACCGGTATCTCCTTACTTGTCGCGGCTAGTATCATGACGACAGAATACACGGCATTCTACTGCGAACCTGTCAGCCGATGGGTGTACATGTCTTTGACATTTGCCCTGGGCATCGGAGGCATCATTCTCCCTTGGCAACCGACGTTCAACCGAGCAGACATGGCCTGGGCACGTGTGGGGTTCTACGTCTCGCTGGCACTCACGGGCTTTCTGCCTATGGCGCAGTTAACTGTCGAGCGAGGCTGGTTGGCGACGTTATACTTTTATGCGCCTATACTGAAGAGTGTCCTGGTCTACTTCTCTGGTGCCGTGTTATATGCCGCCAAGATCCCAGAGCGTTTCCTGCCTGGTTGGTTCGACTATCTCGGTGGTAGTCATAACATCTGGCACTTTGCCGTGCTGGGCGGTATCCTATTCCACTATACTGCGATGCAGTCTTTCTTTGGCGATGCTTTCCGGAGAGCGAATGCGCCCGCGGGATGCTCCGTATATTGAGTCGAGGAGATCTGCTATATGATTTTTTGATGACGAGCGTTCAAGCGAAGATGAGAGACGTCCGCATAGATGATATTGAACGTTTTTTGTGCGTATGCGTTGCATTTCCTTTTTGCATGAAGGAGTATACCTACATTTTTGACAGGCCTTCGGTCGCGATACAGGCCTTGGACTTGCTACGGCTGAGAGAGGAGGGAGAGGGAGAGTCGGAATGTATATACCTGATGGACAAGTGTCTGCGGGGGCAGACTGGAAGGGATAGACCAGGTGAGGTAGCAACGCAAGACGGTGTTGAAACCTGGGTACACGTACCTATAGTCTTTTTTTCCTTGGGTGCTTACGCATGCACCTGTGTCTGGTCGAAACGAACGCAGTCCCCACGCCCACGGTACTTGTACTGGTGGTTCCCTACATCACGCTGATGGACAGATGAATGACACGAGACTTTGAGTGGATTAATATGACTAAGGTAAGTCCGAAGCTTGGCGCCTAGAGAATGGCATCTGACATTGTGTTCACAGTGTCGATTATCAGGTACATGCATTGTCTTTCGACAATCCTCACTTCCTCACCGATTACCCGTCTTCCTCCCACGGACATGCCCGGGTCTTTTTCCTATCCAATTCACATTTCTCGGCGCAGGAATGAATGCGATAAGAGAACAAAGCCAGGAATGTTGTTGTCGCTCCTTGGGATGAAACCTACAGCATACCTATCAATGCACCTGTCCGAAAAAAGAAGAGAGAGAGATCGAGAAGAAAGAAAACCAAAAAAAAAGGAGACGGGGCACGTGAATGGTCGGACATGTGCTGGTGATTCCATATTTGAGGGAGAAGGATCCGAGGTCACGGTGTGCGATGGGCACGCGATCAATCAAATACGATGCTTCTGGCCAAGGAGATGTGCGAAAGCCCTTTCTATCCATACCTCCTAGGGATGGACAACAAGACTGGACTATTTTACTGGTATGGTCGTAAACTCGTAATGTGACAACCAAACTGACCTGGACCTGGTCAGGCTCCCGCATGGCAAGTCACATCTCTTGTCATCACATCCCGGCATCTGGGATTGCCACCAGATCGCAACCATAGCATTCCTTTCCAGCTCACATCATTCCCACCGATTCGGATCTTTATCTTTTTTTTCTCCCCCTGTGGCCGATTGCGTCTGCGTGCGTATACAGCGTTTTCCTTCCTCTCCGTCTGCACGGCTGGCTCCATCTGCGCAAGTGAATAGCCCTGACACACACCCACCACCACCATCACCATCATCCACTGAGCGCTGGAGCCCAACCTCTCTGCATACGCGACCCTCAGTGGAAGAAACCTGACAAAAAACTGATTCACACGAACAACACCATCAGACTGCGCCATTCGCGAACAGTTGACCAGAAGTTTCGTTACACCTTTTTTCCTCTTTCTTTTTTGAACCGGTGATCTCTCCATAGCAACAACGGGCATGTTGTAACATGCACATGTGTTTTTCTACTTGAAAAGGGCGGAGCCCCCCCTTCCCCCTCCAATACATTCCAGTGACTCGTTCTCGTCTTTTTACCTGTTTTCCACACTTTCGCCATGCCGTCCCCCATTGGTTTCCTGTCTACCGTCCTCGCCTGTGCTGTCTTGGCGAATTGTCTCACTCCAGCCGAATGGAGGAGACAGTCGATCTATCAGGTCATGACCGACCGGTTTGCACGAAGTGATGGGTCGACGACGGCATCGTGCGATCTGGATGAGTACTGCGGTGGCACTTGGATTGGACTCATCAATCAATTGGATTACATTCAGCAGATGGGCTTCACTGCGGTAAGAACGTCTTTCATTCTTCACTAAAACGTCTCCTCTCGGTTCTAATGTACTTTCCTGCATCAAGGTCTGGATCAGTCCCATCGTCAAGAACAAGGTCCAATCAAGCGAAGATGGCAACTCCTACCATGGCTACTGGGCGCAAGATCTCTATTCCGTCAACTCCCAATTCGGCACCGAGGAAGATCTGAAAGCGCTCTCCGACGAGCTGCACAAACGAGGCATGTATCTCATGGTCGACGTGGTGCCGAATCACATGGCATCTTTTTCCTCGCAGACGACAGTCGACTATAGCCAATTCAACCCCTTTAACAAAAAATCCTACTTCCACACGCCCTGCGAAATCGACTACGATGACATTAACTCGGTTGAATACTGCTGGATGGGCTCCAATACCGTCTCTCTCCCGGACTTGCGAACTGAAGACTCCGTCGTTGCAAACATGTGGTATCAATGGATCAGCCAAATCGTCTCGCGATACTCCATCGACGGCCTCCGCATCGACACCGCTTACGAAGTCTCTCCCAGGTTTTGGGCAGGTTTTCAAGCCGCGGCGGGAGGAATCCATGTCCTCGGCGAAGTCTGGCATGGGAATCCTAATGTCCTTTGCCCTTATCAGAATTATCTCACGGGTTTGATGAATTATGCTGCTTACTACTGGATTATCGAAACTTTTCAAGACCCGTCTTCTTCTTCTTCTTCTTCTACTACTACTTCATCTACTTCATCATCAACATCCATGACCCGCCTCGCAAACAACATCCGCTGGCTCCAATCCACCTGTCCCGACACTTCTCTCATGGGAATTTTTACCGAAAATCACGATAATCCTCGTCTACCTTCTCTCTTCACCTCCAACAACAACAACAACAACAACACTCTCACCCGCATCCAAAACGCTCTCACCTTCCAATTCCTCTCCGACGGAATCCCCATCTTATACCAAGGTCAAGAACAATTCTTCACAGGCTCCTCCGTCCCCGAAAACCGTCAAGCACTATGGTTAACAGGTTTCGAGAGAAATACCGAATTGTACCGTCATGTTCAAAAATTGAATCAGATTCGTTCTTGGGCGATTTTTCAAGCCCCAGCTTCATCGTCATCATCCTACGCCTCCTCCTCTGGAAATGATAACGAAAACGAAAACGAATCATACCTCCTCTCCCCTTCAATCCCAACACCTCTCACCGAACAAATTCTCTCTTTACGAAAAGGTCCTGTGGGGAAACAAATTGTCTGCATCCTCAATAATCTCAATAATCTCCCCATCAAATCCTCCTCCTCCGACGACGACGACGACGACGATTCCTCAACAACAACAATCACATTATCTTCCACAGCGAGCGGATTTACACCGGAAATGTCTTTGATGGAAATTTTCTCGTGCCAAATTTTCAAGACGGATAGTCGGGGGAATTTGGGAGTTACTGTTACCGCGGGGAGGGTTTTGGTGTTTTATCCTAGGGGGAAAATTGAGGGGAGTGGGGTTTGTGGATTTTGAAAGGGGAGGTTTTGGTTTTTTTTTTTGGTTTGCTTTTTTGTTGGAGGTCGGGGGATTTTTTCGATTTGTTGGTTTGGGGGCGATTGGGGGGATTGTGGATATTTTAAGGGATGGATGGGATTTATGGGGAGAGTGGGAGAGGAGGTGGGAGAGTGGGACTCTGGTGGGGCGGAGGGGAAGGGAAGGGGAGTATGATGGGATGGGGAGAGATGAGGATGGAATGGTGTATGTGTATATGATTGTACAGATGTCAATGAATATACGAGATTCACAAACGAGAAAGAGTGAAAGTTTTCTTTGGGAAAAAAAAATCATCATGTGATAAGAAGAAAACGGGGTCTGTTTCAAGACTTCTTTCAGCTCATTTCGTGAATATTCGACATCGGAATAAGCAGGTCTTGGGAACTGGAACACTTGGTTCAGCCGCAGCTTTCCTGATCATATCCTCATCTCATCGCTGCTGGCCCCATCTGACCACGCAGGACAGAATTCTTTTCAAGCCCGCGAGCGACTTATTCTCTGCTCAATAAGGTACTCTCGTCAAGGCGGACTGCGCGAACTCGTACACTGCAGTCGGAAGCAGAGCACGGTCTTTCCATCTTTTGTCATTGAAGGAGTTGTTGTTGTTGCTCACGAGAGCCTCTTCTTCTCCTGCTCCACAATCGCCGGCACCTCATCTTCCAGGCTGATTTCTCTCGGCTGCCACCCCAGTACTTTGCGCGCTCGTTCGGCTTTGCCCTGTGAATTCAATCCCCAGCTCAGAGCTTGAAAGTCTGCTAGACCCCATGCTTCATCTTTGCTGAGTTTTTGTTCTTTGAAGTCTTTTGGAATGTGACCGGCCTCTGCTGCCTTTTTCGCGATCAGCCGGGACAAATCACCCCAGACATGTCGGCCGTTTGCGACGAAGAAGTAGCCTTTTTCACCCCAGATTTCGGAGTCGAGTTTCTTTTGCACGGCAACATCGACTAAAGCGAGAAACACCTCGGATAGATCGTGGATGTGTACGTTGTCCCAGTGGGCTCTGCCTTGGCCGATGATGGGGGCATAGCCCTTTTGTAGGATGGTTTTTGTCAGCTCGTATGCCTGCCTTCCGCGTCCAGAGACTGGGCCACGTCCACGACCATAGATGGTTGGCGGGCAAACCAAAGCAGTCTTGATCACATCGCCGTGCTTTGTGCCTGCTTCAAGAACGATTTTGTCCTAGGAAAGAGGCCATGTCAATCGTGTGCACAGTGGCATATCATCATCGCGGGACGACTTACGACATTGCGATGAAAGGCCTCATCAGGAAGTGTCGTCAGTTCTTTGACACCAGAATAGTCATTGAACTCGCGTTCGGGCTCTTCACCAAAGCGTTCTTTGCTGGAGTCAAAGTAGGTCAGGATACCCGTGCCGCCAGTGTGCAGCCAAAAGCCGGGCTTGTGTGCACTGTGACCTCTCAGCAAACCCGCTGCGATTGCCTTGGCGGCGCCTTCGTGATCCGAGGCATCGGCGGCATCTACCACGACATATTAGCGGCGTGGACTTTTTGACTCCAATACAGAAAGGGCTCGAATTACGGAGCACAATATCTGCCTTGGCAGACTCCTCCTCAATGATGGCGCTGTCGTCCAAGCCGCCAATGACCACCCGAACGTCGGGATAGGCCGCTCGAACCTTGCCGGCCTTCTCTTCAGTGCGGATCAAGGCGACGTATTTGTAGTCTGGATGAGCTTTGTGGATGGCGTAGAATGCATCGCCAGCAATGTATCCCGTGATACCGGTACTGTCAACGCTGTCAGTGGTAGAACGAGTGAATGTGCCTCTGCGCAGCACTCACATGAAGAGTTGGGGAGGCATAGCTGGGCGGGCGTCTGGGCTGGTACGATGAGGTCAAAGTAGAGTTTGTGTTATAGGCAGGGTTCTTTCTATATGCCTCACTTGGACTAATTCAACAACAACATCAACATCACAGCATGTACACGTGCCTGTACCTGACTTACATTAATGCTCGGGGAACCACCAAGCCCCCCATGACGTGTCTGTGAGGTGATCGCAGATGCGCAACCACTGGAAAGTGGAGACATCACAGATCACTCGTTACGTACGCACCAATCAGCGCGCATGATCGCTACTCTTCTCATCCCTTTCTCGCTCCTTCATCGTCCCCGACTCATTCATCTACTGTACCTCGGGAACGCTTCAGAGTGGATGACGAAGAAGCATTCTCCATGAGTTTTGAGAAGAAGAAGAAGAGAAGGAGAGATCTCTAATGCACTCTGGAGTGACTGCAGGGGACATGGCGGAGTTGAGGACAAGGAATAAGCCTACCTGGATTCAAGAGCCACGCTGTTCAAGCGGCAGCACTTGACATGAAAAGACATTTGCAGTGAGACAGCGATCGAATGGTTAAACGGCAAATTCACGCAGTGGTGAAGCCTCCATTGAATTGATCTTGCTCATGCTTGGAAGGAGAGCTTCGATAGGCCATCTGTGTCTGTTTGGGTATCTACTCAAACTCTTGCTGCGCCAGTTTCCCATGCTTTTTTCATCAAGACTTTCTTCAACACCGTCTCTTGACCGACAGCGTTTACCTCACAATACCCTCGAAGCGGTTCTTGTACCACTTGACGGTCTCGTCGCGGTCGATCTTGTGCGAGGCACCGATTCTGGTCTTGGATCGGCGACGCTTGGCGACACGCTCACCTGGACGGGTCCTGCGCAAATTATCAGTACTTTGTCCTTGCCACCACCTTTCCTTCTCATCACGGTGTGTACGCACATGCAGCAGTAGAAGTCCATTCCGTAGATACCAATGGCCGGGTCGTACTTGATGCCGAGATCGATGTGCTCAGAGATACCGAAACCGAAGTTGCCAGTCTCAGAGAAGTTGCGCTTGCGGAGCTCGTATTCCTTGACCTTGAGGCCACGCTCGAGAATCTCCTCGGCCTTGGGGCCACGGACAGTAACGTGAACAGCGATCTTCTCGTTACGACGGATACCGAAGGTTCGGACAGTGTAGCGGGCCTTGCCTGTAATTCATCCCCATCAGCCTCTCTCCTTTTACCATTTTCACATCCTCTCTTGCTGAGTATAAAGGGTAGTACGCACTGTAGACTGGAGTCTGACCGCTCAACTGCTCGAGCACCTTGGCGGCACGCGTAAGTCTGTCACCAGACTCGCCGACGGAGATGTTGAGGACGAGCTTTTGGATGCGCAGCTCACGCATGGGGTTGGAGCTCTTGTCCTTGGTGCCCTCGGGCTGGTTCTGTGCTGGTGCCTGTACATCGAGGAAAAAACATGGTTGCGTTAGCAGATGCACTTCCTCTCTCGTACCGTACACCTCTTGTCGACGAACAAGTGACCATATTTTCAGGTCGGGTGCAGTCGTAGAGAGGTGCGCATTCTGGCGGGCGTACTCACCATTGTGCTAGTGAGACGGTGTTCACGTCCTGGCGATGGCTGTGTGGTTAGTATGAGCGGTGCTGTTTCGAGCGCAAAAGAAGTTCGAGGTGGGAATGCAATTAGTGTGGGTGGTCTTGGCGGCGAGGGAACGCGCTAGCGGACCCTTCCGCGTCCATAACTTCGAAGCATTCTCTCACATGCGACGCGAACGAAGACACTCCACGATCTCTACCGCGGTTGGCTTTATCACTGTCTTTTGATCGCACGCATCTTCCTTACGGAAAATATCCCTTCTCGAGCTGAAGTCGTGCTGAGGCACGCGACCCGGCCAATATGGCGTCCCAGCAGAAGCAGGGCAAGATGGTAAGTCTACCAGAAACACTCCCCAAAGGAGTCCTGCGTTGACAGAAACAGCTCGCTGATGTGATGAATAGCAAGGCTTCGTGAGTAATACCCCGACGCGACAGTCCGACGCTCTCACTCACAACTCTTCCAGATCAACTACCGAATGCGCGCAACAACAAACGATGGAAGACAGCTAGTTGGACAAATGCTCGCCTTTGACAAGGTATACACATCCTCAATATACCTAGTACGAGCAAGAGAAGCTGATTCGTCACAGCACATGAACCTCGTTCTAGCAGATTGCGAAGAGTTCCGCAAAGTGAAGAGAAAGGCAAAGCAAGGCGGCGCACCAGGCGCAACAACAAGCGGCCAAACGGTCGAAACGGAAGAAAAGCGATCTCTCGGCCTCGCCATTGTCCGCGGCGCAAACATCGTCTCCTGCTCCGTCGACGGACCTCCTCCAGCAGATCCCTCTGCTCGACTCGGACAGAGCGCACCAGGTGGAGGACCCGCTGCAGGAGTCGTGCAGGCAGGCCCCGGGCTTGCGAAACCCGCGGGCAGAGGTGCAGGTATTGGACTACAAGGACCAGCTGTGGGTGTAGGTGGACCCGGTTTCCCAGGTGCGGGTTTTGGACCTCCGGGAGGATTTCCTGGAAGAGGTGGTCCTCCTGGCTTTGGACCGCCCGCTGGCTTTCCTCCGGGTGGACCTCCAGGCTTTGCGCCGCCGGGCTTTCAGCCTCCGCCTGGTGGTAGAGGATTCCCTCCTGGGCCTGGTGGTTTTGGCAGGTAGTGAGATTGGAGGAGTACAAGGAGGAGGCGGTGTGACGATGAAGATCGAATTGCAAGAAAAGAATGGCACAGGCGAGCACGCGCGCTGCCTGAGAAAGCAAGGTGCTGGAGCCGCTCAGAACACCCCTAATTTCTGGATGTGAGCTCCAGAGAGCGGAAATCAATCGCGGCGTCAAAGTGGACAGCGCGAAGCTCATCGATTTGGTTGGCATGGCACTTTGACAATGCACCAACCAACCATTAGCGATGGCGTCGATGGCAGGCATGGTATGATATCGAAAGAAGGGAGCACAAGAATTCAAAAAGGCCAAGTCTCTGATGCTATTCCATCCTGACTCTATAACTGACTCTCATCTGCTGTTCATGCAATGCACTCATCTCTTCATGACCGTCGTTACGCAGCAGGGGAATCAGAAGCGCTCATTCGCCACAAAAACGCTCAAGATGGCAGTAAACAAGCATATCCCTCTCAAGCCCAATGCTGCGCAAGAAAAAGCCGTAGTTCCGCATAAAATGCTCCCTACGCTCAAAGCAAAAACGCCCCCAACCCTCCCAGCACAGCGAAACCCACCACATTCTTTCCCAACCCAGCAGCAGCAGGAGCCGCCCCCGAACTCGTCGGCGAGGCCGCAGTACCAGTCGCAGTCGAACTTCCTCCATTCGATGTAGTGCTAGCCCTCGTGGATGTCGTCGTCGTAGCAGCCGCAGCAGCAGCAGTAGTAGTCGTAGGCACCTCAGTCATTTCCACCAATCTGATTGTACTCCCCCCAGCCACAACTTCACCGCCACTGGCGACGGAGACTCGCACTCCGCCAACGACTGCGTCGCCGCCTCCGGCGGAAAGTGAGTGGCCTGCGATTGCGACGATGCCTAGGGAAGAAAGGTTTTGGGTTAGTGAAATTGATGTGTGTAATTTGGTGTGAGGTGGGTGTTGTTGATGTGGATGTTGGCTGTTGGATGTGTTTACCTGATACAGAAGTCAAACTGTAGATTCCGGCTCCGATACCTCCGGCGTTGAAAACTCCAGTGTAGACTTCTGGTTCGGGCGTAGTCATCATTGTGTCTGCGGATGATGTTGTGGTTGTCGTTTCTGTGGTGGTGTTGGAGGAGGAGGAGGAGGAGTAGGAGGTGTCTTGTCGCTGGAGTAGGACGGCAGCGGGCATCGCATCAGGTACTGCTACTGCTGTCGCGAGGCGGAGAAGGGCGAAGGAGAGGGCGGTGGAGAGGAGGTGCATTGTTGAATGATGTTTTGCTGGGTCTGTTATTGGTGATATCTGATGATGATGGTGATGGGGAATTAATTTGTTGTGGATGTTGGTTCAATTGTTGTTTTTGTGATGTTGGAGTGGAAGAGGAGAGAAGGAGGAGGAATGACCAACGTCGCCCCAACGGCCCAAATTTTCTGTGTGTTGTCAGTCAGAATTACGAGATTTGAAGCAAAGATGCAAGAGCAGCTGCAGGTGTGAAGGTGAAGGTAGGGTAGGGTAGGTATGGTATGGTATGGTATGTAGCCGAGGAACCAGGTCAGGTATGCAGCCTGCCATCTATCTGGATCTATCAACGGGTTTCCATTTGTTGGAACCACACACCACACTAGCCCAAATAGGGATTAAGAGGAAGCCTTTCCAACCGAAAAGTAGGTTTAATTAATGTCTGAGGTCTAACCTCTTAAGAAGAGAAAAGAGGGGGGTAGGTATCCCTAACTCTATATACATATGCTAAGGAATCAGTAGCCCCTGTTATCTTATATAACTTATATTATATAATACTAGGGTACCTATATCCTTCTATCCAAACATACCTCCCTTAGCTTAATTATATAAGAAAAGCTGAAAAACCGAGATATAGTAACCGTCTATCTTAATCTAATAATTAACTATATCTATATCCTTACCTACCTAAGCCCTAGGCTCGTCCGGAATAACTGGAATAACCCCTTTAGGAGGTTCTTTATAAAGCTATTAGCTCGTTGCTTAGTAGTCCTAATCTATTCAACGGTTAATCTTCCTACTATTGTTTCCTGTCTTACCTAGTATTAGTAGATATCAACGTATCTTAAAGCCGTATTAAGAGAGCTATACTTATGATTAGCGATGTCTACTATACGTTAGTTGTTATAGAAAACCTTAGTGCTTCTATCTATAACTCTATTTATAGTTCTATCCTTAATAGGCTCCTTAGATAGCTTATTTCTAGATAGAAATACCTTGTCAAATTCCGAGAAAAGTCGAGTCTACTAGTATCTATTACTAGCAATTAATAAGAGTGCTAATAACTCTACCTCTGCGGTCGATTTAGTAACTATCTTCTGCTTAGTTGCTTGCTAATTAATAGTACTACTATATATTATTATTAGAAAACCTTAAGAACTCTTTCTATCCGGGTTGTTACTAAATAAAGCATCTATATACAGCTCTATCTTAGGCTTGTCCCTATAGAAGTGCAACTTTATATCCCTAGTACTATAGAGGTAGGAAATTAGGTAGTTAGTAGCGTCTATATAAGCTTAACTCGGGTTCTTTAGGAATTAAGAAAGGGTAGTATATACTTTTGCTATATTAGGGCGTACTAAAACAGCTGTATAACTAATAGAACTAATCTTTATCTAATATCCTTTAATAAAGTTAGGTCTAGTAGTATTAGTAGTAGGTTCCAGGTTTCTAGTCGGAAGTAGTATATCTAGAAATCGAGTCCTCTTATAAACCCCAAATTTGATACTAATCTTTATTAGGTAGGTAGACTAGTATATAGTTAGGGTTTCCTAGTCTAGTAATTCTAGGACTTCTGTGCCTAGAAAGAAGGATAGCTCTTTCTAAGTAACCTCAAAGTTAGAAAGCAGGTACTAGTTAAATAGGATAGCTTAATCCTCCCTATCCCTCTTATAAATTAACCTAATATTATCTATATAGAATATTATAAGCAGGTAGAGATCTATATTCACTATTAGGCAGTCAATTCTAGGAACTAGCTTAAAGCTATAATCTTCTATTCTTATAATAAATAGGTTATACACTTATACTATAAGCGAGGTAACTTAGCTAATCTATAGAGTGCTTTCTTAAGGATAAAGCAGGTATCTAGACCAAATCTATACTCCTCTATTCTCTTAGGGATTAAGTAGTAAACAGTATAAGGAATAGTAGTATTTAGGAAGGCATTTACTATATCCTATTATCTAGTTTTCAACCTCCTTACAAAAGCTAGGGCAGTAATAGCCCTAAATACCTTATAACTAAGTATAGTAGTATAGGTTTTATAGGTTAATAGTAATTGAAGATCCCTACGGATACAAAGCCTAGCCTTATACCTAAGAATCTTACTACTAGTTAGGTCTGTCTTATAGGCAAATACCTATACTAAAGGTACTTTATAGCCCTTATAACTAAAGAATACCCTAAATGTCCTCTTGCCTATAAGCTTCCTAGCTTTATCGAATACTGCTTGTCTGAATTACTAATAATAGATATACCTTTCTATCTCTTTCTAGTTAGTAGGGGGTAATAGTAAACTTGTTACTTAGTAAGGTTCTTTAAGATTAGGTAGAGTATAGGCTTAGAGTAAAGCTGTAGTAGCAGAACTCAGTTTATCTAACCGTCTAATTCTATAGTCGATCTATCGTCTATAGTTGTCTATACTGTACTAATAGGTATCCTCTTCTTCTTCTACCTCCCTATCTAAGGCAGGGTAGTAATAATAAGAGGCCGAAAAAGCGGGTGTTCCCGGTAAGGCCCCCGGGGCCTAACCAACTTAATAGTTAGCAGCTATATTGTCCTCGTCTCTAGCGGGTGTTTCTAGTAGTAGTAGTATTAGGTATAATAACACTTGTTCCTATTATAGCCCTTTACCTCCCTACTGTTTACTACCTCCCTAAGGTTAGACAGCAAAAGTCGGAATATTAGTAGCTAGAAAGGGGTTATCTATACCCTTACTTATAGATTCCTTAGGCATTGAGATTAAGTTAATAACTGTCTAGTAAATAGTAGTAGGAACTAGTTCCCCTAAGGTTTGGCTATTAATATCTAGTGGATTATATCTCTTATTGTCTTTAAAGACTATATCTCTCGTCCTAATTACCTTGTTTAGGGATAGGATCCAGATCTAGAAAATATTAGTAGAGGTATACCTAATCAGATACCTAATATAAGCTCTCTCTTCTATCTTGTCTCTCTTAGTAATATCTCTGTAGAGAGCGAAGGCCTTATAACTAATAGGGTAGAGATAGCTAAGGAAGGGCTTCTTAGTAGTAACTTTCTTAAATAGAGTTATCTAATTAAGCTTAGTAGTAGGGGTCCTATTAAGAAGGTATACTACTAAATCTAGGAGCTATAGCTATAGGTTCTTTAGCAACCTACTATTAATTCTAAGAGTCCTAGATTTAGTAACAATCTCCCTTCTAGCAACCTTATTTGCTCTATTCTAGGTAGGGGTATTAGCAGTAGTAGGTAAGGTAGTAATACCTAACCTAGAGATAGCTTTTCTAGTATCCTTCCTAATAGTAGCCTCTATATCAGAGCGAACTATAATAGTTTTAGTACTAAAGGACACTTCTATCTTCTTGAAATGTCCTAGAAATTTAGTAATTGCTTGTAGCTTAGTTACTATAGGATTACTAATATAATAGCCCTCCTAGTTATAGTACTAGTAGCTATAAAACTTGAAGACTAACCTATTTAGTCTAGGGAGAGAAGGGGGTATATTAATTAAGTCCTATAAATAGATAGCTATCTTAGTATTCTCTACCTTAGGCAGTACTTCCCTATACTTGTCTTTCCTCCTCGAATTCACTACTTTAGCCTTAGCTAATATACAGGTATTACAATTAATACTATTAAGAGTCTCCTTTTCTAACTTAATTACCTAGTATCCCTTAGATATAGGTTCTAAGTACTTAATAGCCCTTATAGATAGATAGCCTAGTAAATAATACTATTGATTAACTATTGCTATTAAAGGTAGGAGTAGTTTGTAACTGGATTGTATAGTAGCAACAGATCTAGCAGGTAACGTTAAGGTAGGTAAGGTTAACTTCCCCGTATTCTTAGAGTATAGGGTATATACTAACTTTACCTCCTTAATTCTAGGGGTTCTAGATAAACTAGTAGTTCTAGTAATACTTCTTAGTATAGGCAACCGTTTAATAATCTAGTAACTATATCTGTCGTTACTATGTTTAGGGGTAAGGCATACTTAGAGCCTAGGCTCCTTATATACTTAGCTAGTAATCAACCTATTAGGCCAGTTTCTAGTATTATAGTAAATACCCTTTTTGTTAAGGATCTGTAGTAAGACCAAACTTATAAAGAATCCCGGAATAAGCCTTGCCTTAAGAAGAGTAAGCTTCCTAGTAACTCTATTACCTATATCTAGATTGATAGTAGTATCTACAATTGCCTTAGGTTAGTACCTCTTGTCCCTAGAAATTACTATATTAGAGGAGGTTAGTAACTTAAACCTAATAATCCTTACCCTTATAGATTCGTTAATAATATAAACATTAGTACTACTATCTAGAATTACTACGTTGTAGAGCCGGGTATAACTAATTAATCCAACTAATGCTTTAGGGGTTAAGGTCGATTCTAGGGTAGTAGCAGTAGTAGTGTCCTCGACATCTACGGCTATATCTAACTTGTTCTTAGTATCTTTGTCCTTCGACCCTTAAGCAGCGTTATATACTTGAACTACTTTATCTACTCTCTCTTTTAGATTCTTGTCCTCCTTAAATCTCTTCTTAATCTTCTTCTTAATATTATCTCTTAGCTTCTATACCTTAGGCCTCGGATACTCGGTATTAAGGTAATAGTATTCCTTCTATATATAGTTCCTACTATAGAGACATAGTTTGCTTAGCCTTAAAGATAAGGATCGGGTTAAGGACGAAGATAATTCGGTTACAGCGGCGGTTAAGATACTAGCTATAGTAGTTCGGTACTTGCTCTTGAATTTAGTATCTCTATTGTACTAAAAGTAGGACTGCTAGGCTCTTAGTTCTAAATAGAGAGTTATTACTTCCTTATTATTCTGCTTATTAAGTAGCCTCCCTATCCTTATAGCTATATAGTCTCTATACATTAGAGTTATAGAAGATAACTATACTTAGGTAGATTTATTATCTGCTTGTATACTAACAGTATCTCTCTTACTATACTAAGTAAACTATAGGTATATATAGTTAGAAATAGTCTTTCTATAAGGTAGAAGAGACAGGGTTTCTAACTCTTTCTTTAACAATTGAGTAGTAGTAAGGGTATTAGGCTTAGTGTATTCTAAGAGCTTCTTAAGCTTCTCTCTTAGAGTCTTGCAATTAATTATCCTATACTAGAGGTCTATAGATATAGACTGGTTAATAATTGTTAAGAGTTTCTAGTACCTTTTCTACTTCTTAGACTATACTTCCTTTAAGTACCTATAAGTATATTAAGCTAAACTGAATTGGATAGAGGTAGTAGTCTTAGTAATTACAAAGGTAAATAGTAGAGAGTCCCTAAGTTAGACTAGGTTTAATAGATCTAGCTTATTAGTACTAGGGTCGATATCCTCCTATATTCTGTAATTTCCTGCTTCAATCTTAATACGGGTAATCTAGACGTTCTAGTCCTACTAGGTACGTAGCTTAGCAATTGACGTCGTCGTTAATAAGGGTTTAGAGGAATTAGCTATAGTATCTTCGTTAAATTCGTTAAACTACTCTAGAACAGCTTAATTCCTAGGATACGAACTACTAGGTATTTCTTTAATCTCTTGAAACTTAGGACTCGGGGATCGGTCGATTGTAAGCTAATCTAATAGGCTCTAGCTTTCTTCTCTTCGTCTGGATAAGCGGGTTTAGGCCGGTATAAAGTAATAGTATACGGTTCTTAGTTGTTGTCTTAATATAGCGGATTTTAATCAATTTTAGGTAATTCTAGGTTCTAGCAATTAATTAATTCCTTTAATTAATTAAGCAGAGCTAGCCGGGCTTATAACTGTTAGAACTATATACTATACTAGCCTAAATAGGGATCAAGAGGAAGCCTTTCTAACCGAAAAGTAGGTTCAATTAATATCTAAGGTCTAACCTCTTAAGAAGAGAAAAGAGGGGGGTAGGTATCCCCAACTCTATATACATATACTAAGGAATCAGTGGCCCCTATTATCTTATATAACTTATGTCACATGATGCCAGGGCACCTATGTCCTTCTGTCCAAACACCATTTATCCTGTGGGAAACCGATAGCACGCGCATAATGAGCCTATCGACGGTCTCGACAACGGTCGGCACATGAATTTCTGCGGTATACGATACCAAAGGGAGTGAAAAGCCCCGCAGGAGGCTGGGAGACAGACATGGGGGAAATGGGGGCACCCCCGGCAGTATGTAAGTCTTCACAAACACGGGCGGCTATCGGCTGGAGCCGTGAAATGCTGTACCTACCTCCTAGGGTCATACCATCCTATCTCGTTTGTCCGCGGAGCACCTCGTCCTGACATGTCTGTCTACCAAGCGACTTCATCAAGTCTCACGAGGATGATATTCTAATGAGCAAGCATCGGAGCAATTATGGATGGGGAGCGTTCACCTGGGAGCAGACGCGTGCTGCACCGAGCCACAGACTCACTTCCCTGGCCGCACACTGATCCAAGATGGGCCCAAGATGCGAGCAAGATGGAATCAAGATGGGTACAAGAAAGGGGCAAGATGAGACCAGAATGGGATCAAAGTAGGAGCAAGATGAGAGCAAGATGAGAGCAAGATGAGAGCAAGATGGGACCAAGGCGGGAGGATCACAATAGTGCCGGGCCAGTAAGTGCGCTCGTTGACGACAGGAGTTATATGAGTGGAATATCGCCGGGGATTCTTGCAAGGGCCTCAGTTCATTATTTCCTACTCTCTATTACTAAAGAGCTGACTACGCTCGACAAGGTAGTGCCGAGTCTTGTGTAGGACAAGTATTGAACATCCTAACTAATTTGACCTTTGTTCTTATCGATATAAACGGACCCTCGACGCCGGATTCACACATTGTAGCAGAAAGAATAAAGAATGTACACACAGCTATTATCTACTCTATCTGTAAGCTCTACAGTCTCTACTTTGATCACTTTCGCCTTTACAAACACCTACGTTAATACAGATTATGGCTACCGACCCAGTATATAGTAAACATCTAGAGTGGGCCCTTAGTTTCTTCGCAGATGAAGCACGACGAGAAGAGCATAGGAAACAGGCCAAAGCGATATGGAAAAATGATATCCCAACACCGGACCAGATCAACTTCCGGACGCAGATAGAGAGCATGGAAGAAGCCAAAGCCACCGGAGCGGAGATGGCAGAGGTGTGGGAAACGCACATCAAGGACAGAGATTGGGACTCCAAATGGGCTCCGCTGCTGGCCAAGCACGTGGATGAGATGGAAGATATCGAGGTCAACGAGTTGGCTGCGTACATGCGCGTCCTGGGCGCCTACATTTACGCCATCAAAAGCTATCGCGTGACCTTGGAGAGATTGATGCAGACGTACGTGGATTTTGGACTAGACCATGTGTTCGCACCCAAAACCCATGAAAACCTCACGGCGGCGAAAGGAGGAGAAGCTGCTCACGTCGACAGTGGCCAATGGGATTACGTCGCCACAGTCTGCAATTCTCCCGAGTTCAAGGCTCGCATGAAAGAAACAATGGATGCCGGAACCCTCTCCATGTTCATTGACGAATTTGACGAGAAGAAAATCTGGGTGGCAGCAATCGACCTCGACGAGGGTTTAGGCAAATCGGTCAAATTGTGGGTGTGGCTTGCTTTTGATGAAAGAGGCAACATAGTTGATGTGAGTAGCGCACCATCCGTGAATATGCCATCAACACACGTGTACTGACCCGTTCATCAGAGACATGTTTCCAAGTGTGAACAACTGGAAGAGCCCTGGTGGAGTATGCCACGATATTGGCACACATACGGCAACGGAGAAGTCTTGCCAATGGAGTCATACCTGTCGCGGAAATGTTGGGCAGAGGACAACACGGCCTTTGTGAATCATCAGAGTTACCTGTGGAATGAGGAAGAGCATTGGGTCGAGTTTCGGATGGACTACTGTAAGTCTCATCCTTACTAGAGATGGCACAGACTCGGAGTACATGACTGACATAACATCACACCACACCCCAGGCCCATACGGCGACCTGAACGGACTCTATCACACCTACAGGCGAGAAAACGTCCCCATCCCGGAACCAATACTCTGGATGATTTTCCAAAAACTCGTCGAACAATGCCTCATCATGGAAAAAGGTTCCGTCCTCGCCAACACGTCCATCCCCGGCTGGCGCCAAATTGTCCACCGCGACATCAAGCCCGAAAACGTCTTTGTCGATGTCCCCAGCACCAACGGCTTCTTTCCCGCATATCCCACCCCCAAAATGGCCGACTTTGGCTTCGCTTTCGAAACTTCCCCGCAAGATCCCACTAACCCCGACCAATGGTCTCGCGCCGGTACACGACCCTATCTCGCTCCCGAGCAAATGGGTCTCTCTGTCATAGAAGACCCGAATGAAGCTCCCGTCGGAATCAAACTCCTCGCCCACACCAACGTAAGTTGATCTTCCCCATTTCTCATCAAAATCAATCCAACCCAACCCAACCCCCCCTCCCCCCATACCTAATTTCTCTCTCTCTCTCTCCCCTTCCTCCCTAACCTTTTCCCACTAAAAAAAAACAACAGATCTGGGGCATAGGCATGCTTCTCCTCCGCCTAACCAACGGCCCCTTCCCGCTCGACGAACAAAAAAAGCCCATACCCTTCTGGTCCCCCACCACCAACACGATGAATTTACCCGGCCACGAAACAAGCTTATGGGCCGAAACGCATTATTCGGAAAATCTCCTCGCGTTGATTCGTAAAGCGATTGTTCCTGAACCGTATTTACGACCTACGCCGCAGGCGTTGTTGCATTGGGTTGTTACCGAAATGGAGAAGGTTTCGGACGGCGTGGGTGAGTATTGTCGCGCTGCTAAGAAGGGGGCGCAGCCTGGGGGGATTGGTGAGGGGGAGTTTGGGTGGTTGGTTGGGAGGGAGAAGTATAAGATTGCTTTGGCGAGGGATGGGGGGGATGAGGGGATGTCTTTGAGGACGGCGTTGGAGGCGTTGAGGGTTTAGTTTTGTGGAGGTTTTGTGTTTGGGGGGGGGGGGGGATGTGGTATTTGAGGGTTTGATAAGTTTGTCTTGGTTTTTGTTTTTTTGAGAATTCTTATATTTTCTTTTTGTTTTTTTGGCAAATCACCGGAGAATGAATTTTCCCATTTCCCATTTCTCATTTTGCGTTTTGACTTGATGTTGATTTTTGCGACACACGCTGTGATATATATACCTATCCTCAGTTCTGATACGCGCGCCAAAAAAGTATTTGCTTTCCCCCCCAATAATCTCCTTCGCCCTTCGCACAGATATAAGGTCACTCCCTTTTCGAGTACACACACACGCACATACATGTACACTTCAAACAGAGTAAGGTACACCAAAAGTAGGTACACTCCTCCCTCCGCTCTCCCCCCTCAACCTGACCTCCCCCCTCAACCTCTCCTCAACCTCTCCTCCCCCTCCTCAAAACCTCCCACTCAACCGCAACCCACCTAAACTCCCCCCTCAACTCCTTTTTCAAAATCAAATCCCAAATCAACACCCCCTCTTTCCTCTCCACCACATGCACTTTTCTCCTCCTATTCCCCTCCCCCTCCACCTCCGAAGTACCCCCATCTCCCAACGCCAAAAAATGCACCTTCACAACCGGCGGCTGAAAAGCCAACATCTGACAATAACTTGCCGCCCCTTCCCCCAAAATCTCTTTTCTGCTTTTCGAGAGTCGGGAATAGCCTGGCGTAGCGCGGCTTGAGGGTGAAGGGTAGCCTTCCCAGGCTAGGAGATCTTTGATGAGGGTTTTGGTCATCAGGGGGTTGGAGTGGACGTGGATGGGACGGGGAGGAGGTTGGTCTGGGTGGTGGTTGGATTGGACGAAGCGGAGGGATTTGTAGGAGGTGCGGTGGTGGTGGTTGAGACCATTGTTATCTTCGTTGTTGTTGTTGTTGTTGTTGTTGTTGTTGTTGGTGTAAAAGGCGTCAAGGAGGAGAGTAGCGGTGGGACCGGGTTGGGGTTTGAGAAAAAGTTTTTGTTGGAGAATGGATGAGGTGGCGAGGATTTCGTTCCAGCGTTGGCAGACGCGGGAGACGTTGATGAGGAGGTCGTGCGGGGAGACGAGGGTGAGGATGCGTTCGGCGAGGACTTTGCCTTCGAAGGTTTCGGTGGGTGCTGGGACTTCTTCGTCTGCTGCTGGAGATGGGTTTTCCTCGTCGGCGGCGTGGAGGGGATCTTTGCGCGGCGGCGGAATGGTATTTTTCTCCTTCTTTTTCTTCTTTTTCTTCTCCTTCTTGTTGCTGTCCTTCCTTCTTTCTCTGCCCTCGAAGACAACTTCTCGTGAATCGGAGTCGCTGTTTGCTGCCTCTCCAATCTCGTCGGCCCAGCGCACACGCTTCGGAGTCCTCGACAATTGCCGGGGTGGATGAGGTGGTGGTGGAGGAGGAGGAGGAGGAGAAGAAGAAGAAGAAGACGACCGATCTGCCATTGCGTCGGCGAGGTGACTTCAGCCTGTGCAAAAGATAAGTAAGCGCGCGAGCCTGGCGCTGCCGGTAGCAAAAGAAGAAGAAGAAAAAAATCAACGTCGTCGCGAGCTTTGTGTGTTGTCAAAACTCTAAGAGAGAAGAAGTGGGCTTTGCAAACTTCACTCTGTCCATGAAGCTTGGCACAGGACTCGCACGCGACTTTCGAGACGTAAGGCGAAAAAAAGGCATTTCCCCAAAAAAGGGAAGCACACTCTTGTATCGTTGCCCACTATAGGCGCTATGGAGGGTGGGCTCGAGGGTATCTAGCTGTTGGTTCTAGTGCTTCTAGTAGTAGTAGAAGACACAAATATGTAAACATGCCAACCCAGTCGTGAATCATGCAGTGACTTGCCAATTTAACAAGGCTTTTTATCCAGCAGGGAAAACATGTGCTTTGCCTAGTTCTCGATGCCAATGTGCACATTCTTCTCACTCTCGGGAATGTGCTGCAGCTTTTTCTCGGCCTCCCACGTCGGCAGCTCGTTGACGGCACTCTCGATGATCTGCAGAGCAGACTTGATCTCCTCTTCCGTGATGACGAGCGGAGGTGCCAGACGGATGATGTTTTTGTGTGTGGGCTTGGCCTGAAACACATGTCAGCATAACATACCAAAAGAACAAGGGGATATGTCACGTACCAAAAGACCTTTCTCCTTCATGAGCAAGCACAGCTGATAAGCAGTCCTGCCGCCAGTCTTCGACTCGTCAATCACGATGGCATTGAGCAGACCCTTGCCTCTCACGAGCTGGATCATGTCGTTTCTCTTCATGATCTGGCTGATACCGTCACGGAAGACATGTCCCAATTTCTCCGCTCGCTCAGTCAGATGCTCCTCCTCGACAATCTCTAGCGCCTTGATGGCAACGGCACTCCCCAGTGGGTTACCTCCATACGTGCTGCCGTGTGTACCGGCCTCGATGGTCAACAGGATCTCCTTGGAGCCCAGCACAGCAGAAACGGGATACATGCCTCCACTGATGGCCTTACCGAGGAGGACCAAGTCTGGCTTGATACCACTCCACTCGTGGCATAATAGACGACCGGTACGTGCAATGCCCGTTTGGATTTCGTCACAGATGAGAAGTACATTATGCTTTGTGCACAGCTCGCGCACTCTTTGCAGATAGCTCTCATCGGGCACTACGATACCAGCCTCTCCCTGAATGGGCTCCACAAGAAAAGCAGCAGTCTCTTTGCCATACTTCTCCAGCACCACCTCCAGTGCATCCGCATCGCCGAAGGGAATTGGCTCGTTCGTGTCTGGGTTCACAGAGCCAATACCTGGCAGATATGGGCCGTAGTTGTCCCTGCTCTCGGGGTCTGAAGACATTGTGATTGCAGAAAATGTCCTTCCGTGGAAGTTGTCCTGTACACTAAAGACGAGTGCTTTGTCCTTGGGAATGCCCTTCACTTTGTAACCCCACTTTCTCGCTACTTTGACAGCAGTCTCGACAGCCTCCGCTCCCGTGTTCATTGGTAGCACCATCTCAAAGCCCATCATCTTGGTGACCTTTTCAGCAAACTTGGGGAAGACATCGTTGTAGAATGCTCTGCTGGAGAGCGTGAGGCGGCTGGCTTGGTCCGTGAGTGCCTGGATGAGCTTGGGGTGGCAATGCCCTTGGTTCACTGCTGAGTAGGCGGAGAGAAAGTCGAGGTAGTGTTTCTCTTCGGGATCCCACACGGAAACGCCCTTGGCCCGGGCGAAGACGATGGGCAGCGGGTGGTAGTTGTGAGCAGCATACTGCCCCTCGGAGTCAATTGCCTGCTGAGAAGAGGCGGCGTGATATGCAGACGAGCCGTTCGAAGGGGTAAAGGTGGCTGCTTTGGCGTTCAGTGTGCCGTTGGGGTGGCCGTTGCTCGTCTCGTCAATCGCGATGGGAGCCATGGTGGTGGTGGTGTTCACGTCGTGGTCAGGCTAGATTGGGGATGTAAAGATGGTAAGTAGACTCTGCTCTGGTTTAGCCACAGAGGAGAGGAACAGAACAAAGGATACCTTAGGTATACTATGTAGGTAGTAATGAACAGGACGACAAGAGAGGCGGGAATACCGTATAAATATGCTTTACGTAGGTCAGGTAGGTGGCATTCCAAGGATCCGATCGCACACTGACAATCGCCTGGCAAATAGTAAATGGCAAGTGGCCCGGCGAGAGTCTCTCTCTGCCTCTCGCTCTCTCTCTCTCGCGCGCTCTTTCATCACTATTGCCGCCGATATTCGCCTGGGCCTGCGTATAGCGATGGGGGAGGGGGCCCCGTCTTGCTTATAACTGCACTTAGGGGTCATTTGCTGTTATCATGTGCCACCTTGTCCCCGTATCGGTGCGCGCTTAGGACGCTTAGGATCGGTATTATTCTTATCATTACGTTTTGTCCCATTCGTTGTATGGTTGATCCTCGCTGCCGACACCCTTGGCATCACGTGTACAGATGTGTGGATGTCGTAGACTGGGGGAACTGTGAGCTGCGTAAACACGCCACCTGAACATCAGCCAGACACACTTACCAAAGGCGAACTTGGCAACGAAAGAAAAAGACACTCTGTAGGCAACAGCTTTTAATAATTATAAGAGCATAACAGGAAGAGCCACACCAGCACATCAGAGCCAGCCCACTCCACCCACCCAAGATCACTACCTAATCTGACCGGATTCAATGAACATGTATACCTGGCGACAACAAGAGCCAAATTCTAACAAAAACCACCAATCCCCCATCAAAACAACACACTCAACCTTCTAGGAGGTATACTGTCATAACAACTGAAGCAAAAATCCAAGTCAATACAATACTATACTACGGAACCATCAACTGAAACTTTGACACATCTCCCGACCTGCCAAAGACGGGAACCTACCTAGGCCGTATATACATACCTACCATTACCTGGTAACCTCATTCTCTACCTATAAGATGCTGCAAAAGTGACCTGACCTACTTACCTAAGAATCGTGTGTACATCTACATCTTTGGGTTCAAGGTATATATCAGTCCGGACTTGCTCGTGTAAGGTACCTGTGTAGGTGAAATCCGAATTTTATGGCTATCTCATGTCAAATATTGTGTCACGTGCATAGGTATGTAACCAGACTTCCAAGTCCTTCTGAGAATGACTCCTAGTCTCCTACAAAAAGACGAATTTCTACTAGATCACATGTTCTTCTTCCTCTTCTAGCTGTAGATAGGTGGTTGCTACGCGAGGAAATCGATACTACACCTGAGAATAATAGAATTTTCCACAGAGAGAAATAACGCAGTTGCGGTTCCAAGAGCTATACCTCTCTCTCTCTCCCTCCCTCCCTCTCTCTCTATTTCGCGATTATACTCTATCGAAAGAACCTACCTTCTATACAATCCAGCAATTGTTATCCAAGGCGACGACGTATCTAAGGTAGTGTACTTTTTTACAGGATCGTTGAGAAAGTCGACCAGGTAGCTTCCTTAATACCCTACCGACCTGATGCTGTCCGTAGTGCGCTTACCTACGGTAGGTACCTTATCTGTATTTACCGCAGACAGCAGCAACCAAGAAATCAATCAATCAGTCTTTCCTTGATGTATCTAATTTCTAGGTACCGTACCTGACATAGTTAATGTAGGTAGGTAGGTAGGTAGGTAGGTAGGTAGGTAGGTAGGTAGGTAGGTAGGTAGGTAGGTAAGTAAGGTAGGTAGATTCATTCAGCAGTGCATACCTACCTACCTACCTCAGCTTTTCAACATACCTCCCCTCCCCTTCCCTTCTTCAGAGAAATACTCAATACCTACCTGGTTAGGTATCTCACCTGACATTCCATGGTCCTTGCTTGGTAGGTTGATACCTACCAACCTAGGTACCGTACCCATTCTCTCAAAGGTGTGGTAGAATCCAAAGTCTTCTTTCCCATCAGGTAATGGGATGGGATAGGATGGGAAGGGAAGGGAAGGGAAGGGAAGGAGAGGTTGGGTTATTGTGGAGATCGTTACCTACCAGATACTCTCTCTCTCTCTCTCTCTCTCTCTCTCTCTCTCTCTCTCTCTCTCTCTCTTGGGTATCCGCCGGTTCCTACCTACCTTACCAGGCTGTGTATGTATGCACATATGTATATATATTCCACCTTTCCCACCTCCAGGTTCTCATTTTCATTGACAACTTTCAGATCTCCAGCTACCTGTCCCTGACTCTGCTCCGATAACTTCCATCATCATCAAACTCATCATCACCTCGATATCAGAGTGATATCAATATCGACAGCATCAGCATCGACGGTACCGACATCATCAGCATCGACGGCACCCGCGCCAGTATCACAATCACCGAAAATACCAACTTCGACGACACCACCGTCCACAATAACAATAACCCCAAGAAAACCACCCTTAACAACCCCAAAAAACCTTGCCTGGCATAAAAATGGCTGGCCCTCCACTAAGGCGATATCTCCGTGAGCCCACTAGTACGAGATGCCTCGTACTGTCCCCAGCACTGTCCCGAGAACCAGACTCCAAACCAGACTCCACAGTCCAAGCCTCCGAGTCGGGGCGAAAGGGAAAAGGGAAGAGGTCACTCACGCAAGCGGCCCAGAGTGATGTGCCTCTACCACGCCCACGGGCTTTCCCAACACGAGGAGAACGGGCTCGCTTCCCCCCGCGACGCGAGGAAGCGGCGGCAGAAGCTTTCGTGCAGCTCTTTGGCGAGCAGCCAGCAGTCTCTCCTCCTCTTGATGATGACCAAGCCACCGAGGTCAACAGCGAGGTTGCATTCCTGGAGGCTCAGGAGCCGGAGATTGACTTGAGCGTCGATCAAAGACATTGGTACGTGATAGCCCGAGAGCACGCTGCTCTCGAGGGTCGAATCATGACCGATAATCTTTTGCGTGCCGGCGAGAGAGCCTACGCGGAGCTGCTGGGGAGAGTGCCCACCGAGGCGCAGAGCGTGGAGGCATGGCTGCATGGCACCCACGGCGCTGGTGATGCGGAGGTTCGGAGGGCCCGATATCAGATCCTCTATGACGAGGAACTGCAGGGGGTCGATTCGGAAGGCACTGTCGATTGATTGACCAAGTCGGGCAAGAGAGTGGTGCTGTGTCGTCGCAACCGTGAGTGTCTTGTATATATGGAAAGTGAAATCTTTGTGCGGGTAGATAAGGTATTTGGCAACGTACTATCATTTTTCTATCGTCCCACTGTATTGCGGCGCGGCCTTGATCGCAGTCGCAGCATCTTCTCGAACGCACCAGCAAGTAAGTACATCCCATGTCATCAGCAAGTACAGGTACCTCAGTAACTCCTCGCTTCCCATGCCGGCTTTTGAAAATCTCTCAAGGTTCACCGATTGGTCGTAAATAGGTAGGTACGGTAGGTAGCCAAGACTCGTCCCGTCCCAAGTCTTGTTTTTCAACAAGTACATTTGTACCCAAGGTAAATAACAGCACATCTATGATGCCGGGACAATCTCTTCTGCCGGATATAGATGGCTGGCTAGCAGTTTGTTCATGGTGAACATGTGCACCTTGTCGGCCTTGAAGACGGCACGCATCTTGTCGTCGCACAAGATTTGCCGTTTGTCGCTCGGGTCCTGCATGTCGCGTGACTTGACATAGGCCCATATCTGTTTGACGGTTTGTGGTCGCGAAAGTTGTGTCTCGCCCAGCATTTCCGCCAGAGGCTCTGACAGGACCATGGGTTTCTGTGGGACACATGTTAGCAGGAGGCCATGCGCTCCTCACATCATGAGATGCATCTTACATGGAACCCGCCCTTTCGTTCCTTCACGGGCTTATCCCCACTTTCCAACGCGCTGTCATCATCGCTGTTGACCTTTGCAGAACTCTTCTTCTTGGGCTTTTTTGCCTTGGTGACCATGGCTTTCCGCTTGGCGCCTCCGCCTCGCGTTGACCTCGCCGAGGTAGCATTGAGCTCCTGGGCTATTCTCCTCGCCATTTCCTCGTCCGTCTCCTGCTTCTTTTCCTTCTTGACCTTCTTGGGTGCCGGTGAATCCTCCACATCGCTCAACTCTTCGCTCTCGACTTTGCGCTTGTTCGCGAAAGGTGTCGGGGAGAGGGAAGACTCGGCGTAGTCGTGACTCGGCTGACCATTGGTTTGCGGGGCTGGTGCTGTTTCGGCCAGCTTTTGTCGTTCCTGCGCCTTGTCGAATCGATTCATAATCAGGTCGGTGATTGCTTTCTGGGGGGTTCTGTCAGAAACTTCGATGCCGTGTATTTGCTTCATCCACTCGAGGCAAGATCGAGCTCACCTTCTGGCTAGACAGATCGTAGCCAACTTGTTCCTGGAGTTCCTTTCGTATGCGTTTGGCAGATATGGTGTTGAGGTCGGCGGTCCGCAGTATCTCATCGATAATTTGGCCATAGCTGGCCGGGACTGTCCAGTGATCTCGTTAGCCAGTGCTTTCTGTCTGTCTAGTCCGGCGGCGGGATACACTTACGAGCGTCGGCCATGATGGGCGCGTCGCCGGGTGGTTCGCAAAGTCGAGGATGCCGAGTGATACAGTGCAGCACAAGAAGCAGGCGGAGGAGATGGCTGTGCGCGGTGAGAAAGAGACAGAAGAGAAGCGAAGCGAAGTGAAGTGAAGTTTGCTGCAGTCGTCAATAGCGACACGAAGTTAGGTACATGTACATGGAGCAAGCCTGAGACCATGTGCCGCTGTCGACGTTCTAGTTCGACTTCGGTGGTGGAGAACAACGGGACTGGAGACGGCTGGGCTGGGCCGTGTCTGAACTCAAATGCCGCCTGCCGTATACAACTACATGTACAGTATACATGATACTTCATGATAGAATGGAACTAGGAGGTACATAGGTACTTGTATGTACCTGACATGTCACGGGTAGTACTACCTCCCAGGAGCTAACTCCTACATTACAACATTGGTTGTTTCTCTCACTACTTCACTTCGCGCGCCATCCATTACTCTACCCCTTCCCCTTCCCCTTGCCCTTCCCCTTCACCATTAGGAGGTACCGAGATGGATGTACCATTCGTTTGTCACGTCAAATGCAGGTCGGACGAGGCATACATGTAACGTCTAAGGTCGGTACCCAACGTCAGATTCTCCAGGCCGGTAGGAAGTACCGCCGCACCGTGCAACAAGGTTTGCTCCTTCGGCTCGTCAAGTTTGACTTCAGCTTCTGCCTTCTACTATGTATCCTCTAAAACATGTCGGGAGGACATCTTCCACTGCCGGAGTTTCTCGTTAACGCCCCACGAGTTTGTCAGTATCGACGACCCAGAAGTCATCCTACTTCTCCTGATGAATTCTTTATCGGGGCGTTGGCGTGAAACTGCATCAGAAATTGGCCTTTCCACCAGTGGGCTGAGAAGAAAATGCTCCAAATACCGTCACTACGCTTCATGGCGAAGGATGATCATCTGTCAGCCACCCATCAAGAATGTTCATCATATGCATTTCAAAATACAGCGTAAAATACGCGCTGAGCACCCAGATCCCCTGAACATTACACACATTCTGATATATATTATCGAAAACACTGACTACATTTTCCACGATACTTACTTTGTTACTACTGACGTCTTCGAGTCTGATGAATCGCATACAGTAGAAGCTACGAGCTAGCCCCTTTTGAATGGTTACAAGTGACAAGATCTGACGCTGCGATGATGTTGCCAAGGGCTGGAATCTCGAGAGACGAGAATCTGGAGAAGTGGATCGCAATGTATGTATCTGTAGTCGTTCAGGAGAGGGCATACAAGCAATAGGTAGGTACTTCAGCGCTGCAGAGAAATACACGTCGAAGTATTTGGCTGTATTGTGCCTACATCGCAAGAAATCGCATGGCAAAGATGAGGCTGTGCATAGCTTGGCGCTGTCTCATGCTTGATTTGTTGATGAAGAATCTTTCCATGTACACTAAGGTAATGTATGCTCATCTAAGGTATCTCGACGGAGGTAAGGTTGTCTACATGATATTGATCGGGAAGGAGATGGAGGCCGGTCCTTGTAGATTCGCGTAAATAAGGTTCGAGTAGTTCTGGAGACCCACTTAAAAAGATACTCGACTTGAACTCCCACAACCTCACTTTCCATTTACACTCTCCAGAAACACCCTGTGCGAGTCTGGGCCACCGATACAGAGCGATGGCGACCTCACAACAAGCCCGATACACCTCCTTCCCGCCGATGAAAATCCAGAGGTCAGCGCAAATTTCGCAAAAGGACGCACAACCAATCCTCGCAAATTTTCTCGAACGCACCAAAACGAAGCCACATCTCCACCCCGACGCGTGGCTCGCGACTGAAGGAGTACGATGGGGTCCAAAGGGAGGACCGAACGGTGGTTGGGCGATTCACCACCTGAAGCGCATTGAATCGGGGATGCGAGGCGTCAGCTTGATGCCAGAAAGTAAAGACGAGCTTGTCGCAAAGTTTGGTGATGAAGCCATTCAACACGGCATCAACAGTAGTGATCCGAATCAGCTAGGCGATGACACTGCGCTGGATGAGTCGATTACGAAGACTGAATCGCATCATGTGGAAGAGCCGATCGATCTCTCTGGTAAATCTGGCAAAGACTTGACTCCTGCGGAGAAGAAAGCTAGAAAGGAAGCGAAGAAGAAGCGCTCGTTACAGGAACAGGCCGATGGAGAACGAGCGAGTAAGCGAAAGAAAGAGCCGGGAGTCAAGAGCGAAGCTATGGACCTCGACAACGATCCAGATGCGCAGTCGAAGGAGTCGTACGAGCGAGAGCAGAAGATTCTGGAGGGTGAAGTGGGCGAACGTGAAGGCGCCCCGTCTTCCAAGCAGAACATACCAGAACCAACCCTTGTCACGCATGATGCCGATGGAAAGGTCGATGTGCCCAAGGAAGCTCGCACTGCAGAGGAGAAGGCTGCTAAGAAGGCTGCTAAGAAAGCACGACGGGACGAGTCCAAGACGAGTAAAAAAGATCGTAAGGCTGCAAAGTAGGCCATGTCGAGTTGTTGGGAATCTATCAGAGCGTCTCAGCTTGCTCCTACAGCGAGTATTCCGACAGCCACGACTGGACGCGCCGCTGAGAGGGTCGAGTCTGCCGATCGCCCTGATCTTGAATGGGTTGGGCCGTTATTATCACGACCGGATTACATCAAGCAACTCAACAAAGCGATTCCGGAGAGCATGGACAGCCTCGACAATAGCGACGTCAGTGGTCGAAGATGGTATGGAACAACTCAAGCGACAAGAAAGAACAAGGGCGAGACATTCCAAGACAAGGCCATACGTGAGGCATCAGAAGCTGTGATCGAGCCATTGCAGTGCCACGAATCGCCAGGCGAGCCTACCGCAAGGAAATCAGGGCAACCATTGAAGCACCGCAAGCAGAAGCTGTTACTCTAAGACCCAATTCCAGGGCACATGCACGACCTAGCACTCTCAGTCATTCTGATCTGGACGAAGTACGGAAGAAGAAGAAGAAGAAGAAGAAGAAGAAGAAGAAGAAGAATGCACTCCCAGGCGGGGCGCGATAGATGGCGGCGAGACCTAGAAGTAAAGAGGACAGCTGCGACGCTCACTAAGAAATCGAAGTGCTGAGATGGGCTCCCGCATGGCGTCGTGAGGGGACCAGAATGCGCTGGCTGGAGGCGATGGGAACAAAAAGGTACATGTGCATATGTGACGGGTGTGTGTGTGTGTGTGTGTGTGTGTGTGCGCGCGCGCGCGAGAAACGATGCCTACTGAGGCGGCAAGCGATCGATGGCTCTGACCAGAATGGGGATCTATTTTTATCCAGAGAGATTAGTCGTGGCTCCCGAGAACAAAAACCTGAAGATGGAGAGAGAGAGAGAGAGACAGCAGCAGCAGAAAAGGTCGCATGCAATCTGTTGTAGAGACTATCAGCGTATTACACAGCACAGCACAGCACAGCACAGCACAGCACAGCACAGCACAGCGAGTCAGCACCAATGCAAAAAAGTGAAAATCATAAAAAAGCGACATGGATCTCAGCATGAAAATTTCAATAGCTAACGGTCTTTACTTGGAATTATTCAATGCTACAACTCCTTTTTCTCTCCACTGCCACCCTTAGCAGCAGCAGGAGCATCTTTCCCTCCAATCTTCACATCTTCGTCCGAAATCTTTCTCTCCGACGTCCACCCGATGGCCTTTAGTCTTTCCGTCAAAATGGGATGACTGTAGTGAAAGGCAGAATACATCCAATCAGCGTCCATGGAACTCAGATTCTGCTTCTGGAGTTTGATGAGCGCCGCGGCCAATTCGGATGCGTAGCCGAGGGAGTGGGAGAAGGCGTCTGTTGGGATTGAGTTTGTCAGTTCTGTTTCCAAATACCTTTTTTGTGATAACTCAAGAGGAGAGGGCGCAATGATGGGGAGGGAAAGAAAGATGGAACATACCAGCTTCAAATTCAAACTTTCTCGTCAAAGCATTCATCCCAAACTTGACCAGACTATCGGTGGGGCTCAAGACTTCGTTGAAGAGTAAGAAGCCAATCAAGATGGGTCTTTCCACTTCGAATCCAAAGGCCTTAAACAAGCTGTTGTTCTTGATAAACACGCTAAACAGTGCGAAGATGTAGAACAAATGGAAACTGCTGATTCCCAACAGTTTTACAGTGTGTCCCATCTTCCAGTGTCCCAGTTCATGTGCGAGTACGGCTTCGATTTCTGGAGTCGTGGATTTTTCGATCAAGGTATCGTAGAGAACAATCTTCTTGGGTAGACCCGGGAGACCGGTGAAGTATGCGTTAGAGTGGGAGGAACGTTTCGATCCGTCGATAACTTGGAGCTTGTCGAGCGGGAAGTGGAGTTTGGCTGCGAGAGCTTCGATGCCTAGAAAGCGGATGTCAGGAACTGTTATTGGGCATGTGGTTGTTGCTTGATTTTCTTACGTTCTTTGAGAGAGCCGGCCTCTAGAGGTTTGAGTGTGTTGAAAAGGGGGACGATGAAAATCGGGTATATCGTCACAGCGAGGAGTTGGACCACGAACATAAAAGCCCAGATGTAGAAGAAGAACTGTAAATCACATCGTTAGTCCATCGGTCTGTTGTTGAGAACCTCCTCAAAAGCAACCAGCAGCATGCATCCTCCAGCATGAGGCCAACTTCAGCTTCAACAGAAAAGAGCAGACTCACCTTATCACCCGTAGCCTGAATAATCCTAAAGAAAGCCGCCCCAATCGGTATCCCAAACGCCAAACTCAGCGCCTGCCCTTTGACCAAATCCGTCAACCATAGTCCCACCGTCTGCTTATTGAATCCAAACTTCTCTTCCAACACAAAGTGATGCCAGTAACTGAACGGCAACCCCACCAACGTGTCCAAGAAACTGTACGAAAAGACAAACACCAAACTCCTCGTAATCTCGCCCGAGAACCTCAAGGGCGCATATTTCGAAATCAACAGCCCGGACACCGCCCACCATGACGGGTAGAAATTGTATGAGATCAAAGCGATATTCTTCATCTGATTGAATGTGGCAGAGACGACGCCAAATTTGGCTTTGGCGCGTCCGTACGCTTGCGATTTGTCGTGGGTTTTTTGGTCGATTTCATTTTTGAGTTGGGCGGGGATCTGTTGGGAGCGGAGGATTTGGTATTGGCGGTAGGTGAGGTAGGACTCGAGGGCGTATTCGGCGACGGAGAAGGTGATGATGAGGGTCTTCCAGGGAATGTAGTCCTGGTCGATGGCTGCGCCGAGGCGCTTTAGGAAGTCCATGGGCGTGGTTATTCGGCTGGTACCCTCATGTGTTGTTGGTATTGATGTTGTGGATGTTGGTGGTTGGTGGTCGGTGGTCGGTGGTCGGCTGGGAGGTGTTTGGTGAGAGGTGGGAAGTGAAAAGGACAACGGAGCGAAAAGGTCAAACGTGTCATGAGTACCTTAAGTTACGGTAATATCTCTTGCACGCGTCCATGGCAAGGATGTGCATGTCCCGCGTCTACCACTGCTTGGCGGTGACTTCACTCTGCTCTACATCGTCAGAAATTCACGACATATATCTGCATAACCCATAATTCGATACCGCCCTTTCGCCAACGGCATACATATTGAGAAATCAGACTGGATAATCATCAAATTAAGGAAGCCTCAAAATTGCTAGCAACTGATCACTGTGTGCAGATGTATTCCAACTTAGTCCTGTATGTACTGTGTCTCCTCTCTCACCATCCGTGCCCTCCAAGTTACTCCCCAAAGCAGAGCCTTCTTCCTCGCATCGCCCAGAACCCGAGAGAACCCCCTCCGAGGAACTTGATATCGTCGAGAATGCGTCGCCCAAGCATAATGGGTCGCCAAGAACCCAAGGAGACAGTCCGCATACTTCCTGGACGGGCTTGTCAAGTTCCGGGCGCGAGTAAGTTGAGTCCAGCATGTCAAGGCGGAGTCCACGGCTTTGTTATGCATATCGACGACTGTAGTGAAAGCGGATTCCAGGTCCTGACTCTGCTGCTTCACGAGGAGTGAGATCATGTTGAACTGCTCCCCTTCGGCCATGTCCTTTTCGAGACCGACAATGTCGTTTTGAAGTCCCACTGCGAGCGTCACACTAGAGCACAGTGAGGCTAGAAGTTGAGAGATTTGGTCGTCTTCGCTGGGACTGGGGCTGCACAGGAAACATCTTATAATGGCGAAGAATGGCGCCAGGCCGATGGTATGCGTGCGCAAGCAAAGGTAATCCTCGGGTGTCAGCCCCTCTGATCCCATTCGTGACCCTCTTTCGAGGTGCATGAATTGCAGCACGGATATAACAGTCTCTGCACAGTGTCTGATATGCTCGGGCGCAAGGACCTTGTGATACCGTCGAATGAGCGCTTGAGTAAGCTGCACTACGGGACCGCCTTCGCTACCGTGTGAGCTGGTATCACTGGTGGTGTCCGAACTCGCACAACTGATGCGATTTGTTGATGGCGATAGTTCTTTTCTGGTGCTGCTTGAGCTGCTCTTGCTGTCCAGACCTGGTCCCCATACGCACGACTCTCTGATGAGGCGGATACTTTGCTGCAGTGCAAGTCGGCCGGCTGAATCTGTCATACCCTCCACCAAGTCGTCGATCGTACAGAGGAAGTGGAACCAAGCAGTCATCGCCATCAATGCATGTTGGTCGTCGATCAACGGGAATGCCTTGCGGACAGACAATACTTCGATAGCTGCCTTCTTCCATGTCCAAAGTTCTGACTTGGGGCATGTCGAGCTCACAAACGCATAATATTGCGCGCGTATGAGTGCGACAAGATCGATAGGAGTCCGCTGGCCCTCGAGTTCGTAGCGCTCGAACGTGACTGTCGGAATCCTGAGTGGTTTTATGGCGACTTTCGGTTCAGGGCAAGTAGGATAGTGCTCAATACAAATTGATGCTGGATTGTAGCCCTCGACTTCTGCGCTGTCCTGTCCAAGTGTGCCGGACAACATTTTTCAAGCGAGTAGACTCCAATACGGAGCGGATCGACAACGGGCGCTGCTGAGTCTGCACAGCGACAGAGCCAACGATATAAGTGCCGAGATGCTTCTTGAGTTTGACCTGCACAACAGACTTTGTTCGCTGGCACTTCGGGGTCTTATAGAAAGGATACCTGACGCTGGAGCAAGCTGCCATGCTGCCATTCACGGCGACCAGGCATCATTCGAGTTTTCCGAGAGTCCCGTCGTCCAGCTGAATTGTCAACGTGGGAGACAGCTCTCCTTGCTCACATCGGACCAACAGGAGAGTCTGAGCGATGGACACCGCCTGTCGTCGAGGTGAACAGGATGCCAGGAGTCCCACATCACCGAAGGGTCAGGATCGGCAACGACGGAACGTTCACAATATTTTTATTCTCACCTCATCAAGCTCAACGGCCCTGAAGCCTGCACCTCTGTCACATCGATGGCAAGTGTGTTGATGGGTAGCCTTGAGAGAGCACATTGATACCACGCTGTCGTTGCTGCACGATTCGTCGTCCGGATCTTGCTCGGAACATGTGTGATGTCCGCGGGCCACCAACCATCTGCGTGGAAAGCATGCAACATACTTGACTGAGTCCTGGACATGACACGGCACTCCCAGTCGGAGAGCGAGGCTTAATACAGAGCATGGATCAGGATATTGTCACACATGCCGACGGCTTTATTGCCACTTTGGCTTTGATATCCGCTCTGTACGTCGCGATTCTCGCTTGGTGTAAGCAATCGACAGACACCTGAGACGCTATATGCTGCTCGGCTGCTCGGTTATTCAGCTGCTCAGCTGCTCAGCTGCACAACTGCTGCAACTGGCATGGGGGCCTGTTCTATAGATAGATGGCGTGGACTGCCCGACCTTGGGGCGGTATGGGCAGTAAACCGCTGTGACCCGAGAACAGTCTTCTTAGTTAGGCAGTCGGTCCTGACCAAGCTTTGTGACGATATGTCCTGGAACACGCCTGTTGGGCGAGTCGGCGTACCCGAATGCCAAAGTCGGCATTGATTGCAGCGGGAATCCTGACTGACTTCGGCCTGGGAGCGTCGCAGTGCCTTAGGCGGTATGTCTGGCATGCCAAGCCTCTCGTGCAAAAGTCAATCGACAATGCTTGAATCTCGCCGTCGCAACGTGCACTGTATAGCAAGGGTGTCGCTGACGTGCAGATGAGCCATTTTGCAGTCTTGACATGCAAGCAGCCCCCAGTCATTGCAGTCAATAAGATCAGATAATGTCTTTGACAGGTCTATACTGTCTATAGGCGTCGCAATATGAACCCTGACGCCACCCAGTGGCATCCACTTTCCTGTTTCTTGGTTTCTTGAGCGGCTGAGCCGGATTTAGATAATGTAAGATTGGGTTGAACCCTTAAGTTCTGGAGTCTGTGCAGTGTGCAGGCATGCATAACCAGTCTTCTTCCATATGTAGCCTGTACATATATATCCCTGCTATGCTCGAACTCGCCGTCTACTTTCCCGCCCTGTGGATCGGCTTTCGAAGTCTGTGATCGAGCGCAAGCAGTTTCGAGCCAATGAAGGAACAACACGGCATACATCCATGGACAGGCTTGCATAGCGAACCTCCGTCCATGGTCGGGTCCAGTCCAATCCGCAAAAATACACATTCAGTTATACACCAACCAGCATACTCGGCCATGAGTGCTCAGCCTGCCGAAGGCAGACCGCCCGAAATAAAAATCTCCTCGGAGCACTAGCACTCTGGCCCTCGCATTATAGGTGCATATCGTGCGCTCCACACTTTTGCGTTCCAGACTGCAGAGCCAGCACAATTGGAGAGAGTCGCTCACCATGGGAAACGTTATCGCCAAGGCTAATGGTATTTTCTTCCTACCTCGCTTCCAGCCATTGGCCAAATCCAGAGAGAGTCGACTGACACTGTCCACTTGCAGACTTCGAGACGGGCTCGCCAGAGTACAACCGCTTCTTTCCTTTCGCTCTGCCGTACACGAGCAACCATTATCTCCAAACTGGAGGTCCTCTGGCGCTGTACAGTGCCAACTTCGTGATTGCTGGGGAAGTACTTTTAATGCATGGCGTCTTCTTCGGACTCTTTGCCATCCTACAGGGCTTCTCGGTGCGCAGAATGATGGACCAGCACTATCTGTCCCTTGTTCTGGCCTTCACCTTCATCCTCCTCCCGATCCATTTTCTGTTCGATATGAACTTGGACCAGTCGAAGTTGACCTTTTTCGTCGAGCACGTTGCGATCGAATACCTGATCGGAGTGCGAGTCCTTGCACCCGCGAAATTCGTTGCAGCTAGGTCTGGCCTTATTCTTCTTTTGATGTGGCTTATGCTTGTGGCGAGCTCGGCGGTCATTGTTGGCAACCATGCAGCAGTGTTTGTGGTGGTCATCGCTTTCATATCGGACACTATCTTGGCTGTGTCGGGGGCGGTGTTGATCTGGAGATGGTCGCGAGAGAGACACTCCACGGCCGGCTTTCGTCGCCGCAAACTGGCTGCTGAGGCTGTATCTGGCGTCGGCTTCATGCTGCATGGCAAGTCGAAGCCTCATGCTACTTGATAATCAAACAGCTGCTGACACATGTACTGCAGGTATCACCGCAATGGTGAACGCACCAGTGGTGGCAGTGATTCTGTGGGGCAACTATCACGCTCAGGCTTTCGCGATCGAGTGGACATCCATCTTCATGACGGGACTCTTGTGCCAAGGGATGCAGGTGCCCGTGGCAGCTCTGTTCTTCCAGAATCTAGCTTGCTGTTGCACACGTCGTCGTAAAGTATCGCCAGGCCAAGCTGAGTGGCAAGATGAGCCACTGCCCGACGACGACAGCAGCGTCCCATCGACATTGTTCAAGACGGAGAGCCCAGTTTAGCAAGAAGGACGGAAGCGGTAGTTAAGTTCGGACGACGGAATAAGCCATATCACATCACATCAGCATCATACCAAGGCTTTCGAATACATGTAGATCCGTGATGTCGTGTTTGTTCCTGAGTGGTTGTCGAGAGCTCCGGCGAAACATGGCTCAATTCAGCAATGATCTCGGCCAAACCGCACATTTGGCGAGAAGCTACCAGACTTCATCGACAGAGACACCGCTTCTGCGTCCCAAGTCCATACATAAGTCGCTTGCGGGAGTCTTGCTGATAGTCTGGTCAAGTCGAGTGGGAAAGGCAATAGGCCGCATCGTATCGAGTGATGAAAGTGCTCTCGCTGCAGTCAGAAAACGGCTCAATTATTTGATCAGATGCCCGAATGCATATCACATCCGTTGTTAGCGTTCGATGGTGTGTAAACATATGTGCCCGTGTATGTGCACATTGAAGGTGAAGGTGAAGAGGAACTTGAGTTTGATTATGTCCGTCTGGGTCGAATAGGAGTGTCTGCCGGCGCGGCCTTGGGTCTTGGCATCCATCGACCGCAGTCTTCGGGATTCCGCTCAGCTCCATCAACATCGACGTCAATTCACCCCCATCACGGCACCGATAAACTACTTTACGCAAATATGCCGTGCTCACGCTGTATTCGGGTGGCCACCAGCGCCGTACGCTTCTCCACACAAACCACGCAAACCACACAACGCAGGTACGATGTCTCCATGCTCCTTGGAGAAAACCACCACTAATACCATGCCCTCCTTCTAGATCGCTCTCCCTTCTAAGCAGCATCACACCCACACGACCTGCTCTCCTCGCGTCACGACCCACCAGTATCCTTCCCGCTGCAACGCTAGATTCTCAACTCACAGGCCTCTCGATATCGCAAGTCCGAGGCGCGAAGCGAGACACATTTAAGCCTTCGCACGTTGTGCGGAAGCGCAGACACGGCTACCTGAGTCGCATCAAGACGAGAACGGGCAGGCACATACTCAAAAGAAGAAGAGCAAAGGGCAGGTCTACGCTGAGTCATTAGCAGTGTTCGGGAGTATGGTCTCGCGTGCTCGAACTGTCCGACTTGACTGGGAAGAACTGGGGATTGCACCAGCTATAGAGGGAGGCGGGCGAGCGAAGCAGGACGTCGGACCTGAAGCTAAGATGAAAGAGCCAAAGCGAGGATGCATCGTCTCGGCCTGCGAGTAAGGACGCTTGATGGGATTCACAGGCATGTAACGAACGCAGGTGGCAGGATTGCGGCTGCGGGAACTGCGACATGTCCTCAAGAAGAGTACGTTAGTATACACAAGAGCCGACAGAAGTGCTCACTTCTGGCTTTTGACGAGGAATCTCGTGAGACAGTATTGTCAGCCGTTGATGTTTGGTTTATTGTAGGCTGCTCACCATCGGTGCTACATTGTTCGTTCCCCTCGCCGGTGTCTCGCTGCCATGACGGGATACGGGGGAAAGAACTTGGTGAAGTAGGTGAGGTAACGTAGAAAAAGCTCTGGTCGCTTCCACGTATGAAGGGCACTTCTAGAACATGTCTTGACTCCAAATTTGCGACCATTTCCACGCTCTTCTCGACACACTTGCCTGTACACGACTTCGCAACGTCGCCCCAACCACACACACACACACACACACACACACACACTAGCACCCGGACATCCGACATGGACGAATCTACTGAAATGCAGACCACCATCCAGGAATACGAGGCACTCATCACAAGTTTCGTGTCATCGGACATATCTCCCGAATTCATTCGGAGTCTCGCCATTCGAAACGCACGCATGTCTGACTGGGTACGAAATGCCCGTCACCGAGTGAAGACTGTGCTAATCAGCCGCAGCACGATGCAAAAGCGGCCACGGAGCCAGTAGTCGATGAGCAACGAACCGACCGACACCACTCGAGGGACAGCGAGAGCGCCGCTCAACATGTCAAAACACCACCGCAGGACGAGAGAGTCGATTCGACGCAGGACCGCGCCATCCACACAACGCGGTACACCAAGAATACCACTGTAGAGCCCAACGCCTCGGTGCAGGGCACAGTCAAAGACACATGGACTTGGGACAAGGTTCGCAGCGACATCAAACCAGTGACCCAGAACGAGGATAAGCAAGGCGGTGACGTCGAGTTTGCGCTTCTGACTGATGTACGTCACGATATGTCCTCACATCGCGAGCTTCGTACTGACTCATCACAGACTGGAGAATCCGAACTACAGACACCACCAATGACTCCCGAGGCAGCTATTGCACGCGATAGCTCCGCAGACAGCCTTGAACCAGCGTGGAACGTAGCGCGCGAGGAGCGCCAGGCGCGAAAGGCCAGTGAGCAACTAGCGCGGAAGGGCAAGAAAAGTGACAAGGCAACGAAACATCCAAAGACAGCCACGGCTGAGCCAAGACTCGAGCGCCGAGACTCAAAGCAATACAGTAAGCTCGTATCACTACAGAAAGGTCCAGACACCATCCCAGTATTTTGCGCACTGCCACAGTCCGCGAAGATCGAGGTGAAGCAAGGCAGCGAGACCGAGATCAAGCCAGTCGACACCACTGAACCGGAGCCGCACGGAAGCGACGAAGGACCCAAGACTTTGGTATGGCAAACGGCAGAAGCACAATACTTCCGCAGCAAGTGCGGTAAGACAGTCGCTCTCACGACCCGTGAGCCCACGCTCAAAGTGACTCCCACTGAACTTGCACCGCAACCACGACTACCAACACTGGCAGAGTCCAAGCCGCAACAAGAAGTAGACCGCCCTACCGATTTGGCCCGTTCAGCTCTTCTTCCCTTACAGACCATCTCATCATCCTCATCACCATCCTCATCGTCATCGCCATCACTGTGTTCACCACCAGATATCTCCCCGCCACTTAGCTGTTCACGCTGCAGCTCCAACCACGGAATCTTTATAGCTCCTGCCGGTAATACCCACCCCATCACCGATACCCAATACACCGTGATGCTCGATACATTAGTTGAAGCCGGAACAAAAGGTGAATTGACGCTCGAAGTCGGAGACGCGATTGTCAAGCGCTTCATGTGTGGCAAAATGAGCTATGCGACTGCTTTGAAGGATGTCTGCTGTGGTCAGGAAGGGGCTTTCTCTGCGGTGATGTTGATGGTGCTCGGGGCGTTGGCGGTGGGGGTGAGAGGATGAGGTGATGGACCGGGGAGAAGGAGGGGTTGGGTGCAGAGGTGAAGGACCAGGACGGGAAGAGGATGAGATGTGGTCTGGTGAGTGTGCGCTGAGCTGAACGGGCCGAGCGAGTGTCAGGGAAGATGCATCTTTCGCTTTTTGCCGGTGGCAGACTTGAAGTTTTCAAGGGACAGTTTCCCCATTCGATGAAAAACATATCCCATCATCCATGAACCCCTCGACCGGTCTATAATGTATTCAACTTTTTTCAAACCCCCCACTCATCCCCAAACAACTCTCAGACCCAACAACATCCCCCCTCCCCTTCCACCCCCCACTCCCCCTCCCCCCTTCTACATCCCCCTCCAAGTCCTCCCCATCAACCGATTCGCCACATCCCTCACATACCCCTCGGTCGCGCCCTTGCCATCATTCAACTCCTTCTGATTCACACTTCCCGAATTATACCTCCTGAACGCACGATACCAATTCTTCTCTTCCGCCTCATAACACTGCTGAAGTCCCTCTCCGCCATCTGGACCGGCCACACCTTGGGTGCCGTCGCGGATCATTTGGAGAATGCTGCCTTGTGGGTCTGAGGGGTTGAATTCGACGCCGTTGTGGGATTGCATGAGGCCGGGATTGCGGACGCCGTTGTTGGTCTGTAAGGGTTTTTTGTTAGCGGGGAGTAGGGGGTTTAGGAGGATGAATGGGGTTTCTGGAGGTTGCCGTTGGCGGGGTGTGGGTGGATGAGGAGGGGAGGAGGAGAAGAAGTAGGGAGATGGGAGGAAATGGGTAAGTCAGGGAAAGGGGGGGATGAAAAGTAAAAGAAAAAAAAGAGACATACAGTCCTCACACGAACATCCCCTCCCGATTCCTGCACAATCACACACACAATCACACGAGCATCGACTCCAGAATCCTTGGAAACAATTTCGATTGCATTTCGAATATGTTCAATTTCGCTCTCGGAATTATGAAGTCCCATCAATTGGCGATTCTGTTCCCACAGAAGTTCATATTTAGCCCAAGTTTGCGGATCAGGAAAATTCGAAGCTGGACCGCTGTAGCGGATATATTCTCCCGTAGTAGGAAGTGAGCTGACTTGAAAAACTGCTTGATCTCCATTTGTCGTAGCAGGCGAGATAGTAGGAGGAGGAGGAAGTCCTTCACCTCCGCTCTTCGCAGGAACATTAATCACTTGGTCCACTTGCAAGTTAGTAGCTGGAACCCCTGGATTCGCGGCTTCGATTTCGGCAACGGAGATTCCAGCTGCTTGACTGATGCTCCAGAACGTGTCGCCGGACTTGATGGTGTACTTGGTGGATCCAATAGGACCAGGAGCTGCAGCGGGCACATTTAGGATTTGGCCGACTTGGAGGTTTGTAGCAGAGACGCCGGGATTGGCAGCTTCGATCGCTGCGACTGAAATTCCCAGGCCCTGGGCGATGGAAGAGAAAGTATCGCCCGATACAACTGTGTAAGTCATATTAGTGGTCGTGCTGAGACTTGGCGAATGGAAGTCGAAAGTTTGTATGTATTGATATACTGTACTGTACAGTGATACTTCCCGCTCGCCCCAAATGCAAGAATAAAAAAATAAAATCTCAAAGAGTCGGTAAAAGATGTATGTACCTCCTCCCCCAACCGAACGACAAGTCTTGTTCGCCACCCACTGGGGGGACCTAGCCCGATGATGACACCAAACCTCTCCAAAGTGGCAAGAAGTAGCAATCCCTACCTATGTAGCAGGTATTTCAGAGATCTGCTTTTCCAATCAATATGCCCAGTTCTCCCCGAGCTGCGAGCATATTTTAAGCTCCAAAAAAGACGAGATCTGGGGCCCAGGATACGGACAGCAAAAGCTTGTGCCTTGTAAAGCTATCGTACAGTATTTTATCCCAGAACCCTGAGCACATGTTTTGTCTGTATGGCATATGCTCTCAAGCCTCAAGGTATGTTAAAGAGTTTGTAGAAGTTGCGAAGAAGCTCTTTTGTGGAGAGCTAGGGGGCTAGATGGGAGATGTTGTGTTACAGCTGGTGACTTGTTGTGTAGCCGAGGAAGTCTTCAGGAAAAAAGGGGGGATGAGGTCAGAGACAGGAATAGTTGGAACTGTGCGGCGTGTGCGCACTGGCTTGGGAGACAGGGGATTTGGTTGAGAGAAGAGAGAAGAAGGAAGAAAGGGGGGAGGGGGG